CACTGTGCTGGTGAGTTGCATGTGTTTTGAAGTAACGTAACGTAACTTTAAAAATTACTTAAGATTAAATATAGTATAATAAGTATTCGGCATTGTCAAAAAAATAACGTGAAAAAAATTCTATTTGGAATTTTACTAATACTTAATTCCCTGGTTACAGCGCAACACTCAATTTCATATCAATTTGTGAAGTATGAATCATACGAATATACTATAATAAATCGACCCCGGTAAAGATATACCCACATTAAAGAAGAAAGGTAGCTCGAGTTTTGCGAGTATGTTGTATCATAACTTTACATTTCTGCTCTGAAACTTCTTAAATGTCTCCAGTCACAAACTATTGCTTGTAGGAATCGATGATATCACTTAATAGGTACGTAAGCTTTTGAAGAGACGGTTATTTTATTTAAATTTACATGAATAACTGCATTTCCAAATTATATCTGTTATTTAGTGTCGCGCCATTACAATGCAAATTGTAACCTTTGATAAGTGAAATCCGGGTACAGGAAGACGTTTCATAGATCTCTATCACTCAGACGCTTGATATACATGGTGACAAACCAAGTACATTTCACGTGTTCCCAGTTCTTCATTTGACCTCGGCCTAGATTTGGTCTCACTCTGACATTTTGGTTACTTTGAGGACAAAAGCAGAGATACCTTCTTTCGCGCTATCCCCTTTACTTTTTCTTATCAACTGCACTAATCACAAAGCCAACTTCCGGTACAATATCCGGATTTAAGTATATCAACATGCTAAATCATGATTCATATAATATTTTATTTCTGCACTATGTTGAAGAATATGCGAGCGAGGTGTCGTCAGCAAACATTCTTGACATTGAAAATAAATTTTCACAAATATAATTTATTTACAACAAAAATAGAAATGGACCTAAAACAGAGCCTTGAGGTACACCAGCATTCACGTAACCTGTGTGCGATAAAGCTTCACCCAAGTATACAATTTGATTTCTATTACTTAAGTAATCTTTCAACCATTTATAAATATTGCCTTTAAAACCATATGCTTTCACCTTTTTCATTAGACCATCATGCCAAACGATAACAATATTATGGTAAATTTCTAGTAATTTCGAAACCGTAGAATGACCAGGAACAAACCCTGACTGATGCTTATACAAAAGATTGTTATCAATGACAAAATTATATAAATGTTTGTACATTATTCGTTCAAACACTTTACTAACAGTACTAAGAAGAGATTCAGGTCTATAATTAGAAGATAAAAAAACGCTCGCCTTTTTTAAATAAAGGTACTACTATAGCTGTTTTCCACTGACTCGGAAACTTACACTGACTTAGAGATAAATTGAAAAGCAATTTAAGTGGTATACAAACACTTTCAGCGGTATTTCTTAGCATTTCATGACTGATTTGATCTTTTCCGGTAGCCTTGTTTAGCTTCGATGTTAAAAGAATATCCTTTATTTCGGTTTCAGAAAAAACAACATTTTCAATAGAATTAGGGCACCTTGAAGGAAATTCTGGAATAAAAGTAGGCTCACAAATATTATCAGAAATAGAACAGAAAAACTTACTTAGTACATCTGCTTTTTCTTCATCAGAATAGACTAACTCACCTTTATCACTGTCATATAATGAGGGAATCGATTCTGATGAAGATGATTTACCAAGAAAACGATGAATAAGTTTCCAATATTGTTTAGAATTTTTCAGTGCAAAATTGTCATGAATTCTGTTTATTTTTTCAAAAATACTTTTTCATATTATTAACTTTGGTTCTCTGTTGCTTGAATTTAAGAATGTCGCATTGCCGATTAAGTCTACGTGCATATTTGTGAAGCCTATCTCTTTTCCTGGTTTCCCTTCGTAAATCTGAGTTAAACCAGGGTTTATCGTTCTTCCTGACCGTTATAGTTTTCTTATATATACAAAGGTTAGCAAATTCTAGAAAAAGCTAAAGGCCCTTAGGATCACTGTCGAGTCCTAGAAGGACGAAACAGCTGTATGATGTAGCATCACTGACGAGTCCTAGAAGGACGAAACAGCTGTATGATGTAGCATCACTGTCGAGTCCTAGAAGGACGAAACAGCTGTATGATGTAGCATCACTGACGAGTCCTAGAAGGACGAAACAGCTGTATGATGTAACATCACTGTCGAGTCCTAGAAGGACGAAACAGCTGTATGATGTAGCGTCACTGACGAGTCCTAGAAGGACGAAACAGCTGTATGATGTATCATCACTGACGAGTCCTAGAAGGACGAAACAGCTGTATGATGTATCATCACTGACGAGTCCTAGAAGGACGAAACAGCTGTATGATGCAGTTTCATCAATTGTTTGGCTCTACTGTATCTTACTCTAAATTTTTATGAAGAGGTGTTTTTCATTTGTGTGTCTTCAGCAAAATTTCTTTCTCGAATAATCAGATTCAAAACTATTTTTCAATTTTCGAAGTTTCTTATCCATTAAAAACAATTTATCAAAATCAATCCTCACACGTCTAAAATATTTTCGAGTTTTTTTCTATATTTTTAGTTCCATCTTCAACGTCATCAAAGCATACTGTCCCGTCTGAACCTATTCATAGAAAAAAATATGATTATCTAGCATACATATTTTATAACAATGATATAACCACTCATTACCATAACGGAGACAGACTTTCCCTTGTCTTTTACAAAAACAGTAAGAAGAAATTCTATTCTTAAACATATTTGAATATCATATCTCTAATCATAGCATTTACCTTTATTTCAAAGCGATGTTGATTTGAAAATTTCATTTCTAACACTTCCTTCCGTGTCAGATTGCTTAACAACGTGAATTGCTTACACATTTTTCATAATAATAATTTCGTGCAATTTTTCTTATTATTTCCTTAGGTGCCCTTGTTTAATTCCCCAGAGTCTTGTTTTAAATCTAGTAACGAATGTAGGTACACCATTGTCAACGTGAGTAGCATTCTAAATCTGATACAATATTTAACTCTAGCAACGATTGTAGGTACACCATTGTTCAGGTCAGTATCATTCTAAATTTGATATAGTATTCTAACTCTAGCAACGAATGTAGGTACACCATTGTCAAGGTCAGTATCATTCTAATTCTGATACAATATTTAACTCTAGCAACGATTGTAGGTACACCATTGTTCAGGTCAGTATCATTCTAAATTGATACAATATTTAACTCTAGCAACGAATGTAGGTACACCATTGTCCAGGTCAGTATCATTCTAATTCTGATACAATATTTAACTCTAGCAACGATTGTAGGTACACCATTGTTCAGGTCAGTATCATTCTAAATTTGATATAGTATTCTAACTCTAGCAACGAATGTAGGTACACCATTGTCAAGGTCAGTATCATTCTAATTCTGATACAATATTTAACTCTAGCAACGATTGTAGGTACACCATTGTTCAGGTCAGTATCATTCTAAATTTGATATAGTATTTAACTCTAGCAACGAATGTAGGTACACCATTGTCAAGGTCAGTATCATTCTAATTCTGATACAATATTTAACTCTAGCAACGATTGTAGGTACACTATTGTCAAGGTCAGTATCATTCTAAATTTGATAAAATATTTAACTCTAGCAACGATTGTAGGTACACCATTGTCAAGGTCAGTATCATTCTAATTCTGATACAATATTTAACTCTAGCAACGATTGTAGGTACACCATCTGAATTTAAACATACTCAAGAAATAATGTTTTCATGGAGGAAAATAGGTTCAGGTAGGAAGAAAATATTCCACAGTAAACTTTCAATATCCAACATGGAAAAAAACTCATTTCTTGGATCGTAACTCAAACCAGCAGTTGTGTGAACGTGTAAGTAAATTTTGTTTATAAAACTCTCACATCAAGACGCATCATTCATGGACACTTTTCATCACTTTCCACGACAAAAACATTTACCTCCGAACATACTTAAAAGCAGACACACGAAGAACCATGAATCCATTTCGTCCTCGTTGTCGGACTAGGTTGAAAAAACATCAACTTACATGAAGATATGCCCTCTTCTAAACATACCCAATCACTCTTATTCTATAATTTTCAAGCGCTTGTTGCTTTTGCAGTGAAACAGGCCAAGATCAGCCGGAACAAAATTATAGGTGTGATATTTAATTTGTTCACAATAGTTAGAGTTATTTCCCTTGTCATATGTTTTTGTCGTCTCCGGTACAACTTTAATATGTCACGGGTGACCTCGATCAAAACAGAGGACGCAGCTTCGGAACATAATAACTTATTCTCGTATAGTTTTTCAGTGATGCCTACAATATGTTATTATTATAATATGTTAAATTAGCTATATCTTCATGTATTTAAAATTAAACAATTTTATATGCTATTGTTTTTTTTAAACAGGATGTGATGATTATGTTACAAATATCAGTCGGCCAAACAGCTTTCGGTAAAGATGTTTGAAAAAACACATAAAATAAATACATAGCGAAACAGAAATCTTGTACTTGTCTTCATTATGTGTTTTTTGCATACCTTGTTAAATTGAGAAATGTAAACATTTCAGTGTTGAGCCAATGATTGACCAAATTTATTAAACAAACAAAAGAATAGCATAAACACACTATGATTTAAATTCTCTTTTAAACGTAGGCGGGTTGACATTTAAAATTCAATATCAAGTTCTCCCATTGGCAGTAATACAATGATATGTGTATACTGCCACAAAAACACAGGAAAGTATTACTCACACTGACGTACATATACAAGGAAGTTGTTTTTATTTATTTAGGAAACTACGTTAATTTTTTTTTTTCTGCCGTGTCAATGCAACCTTTGTCTATTCAAATACATGTTTTTGATGAGTGTAGGGTTAAAAGTGGTCAAACCGGATGGGCTGGTTCTAAAATAGAATATTTGTACATTAACCATGTTGTTTGCTTTATATTGTGTGGATAACCGTCTTGATCGGTCCCCCGTGTGTTGAAGAGACTCGGACATATAGGATTATTGGATTTTTACATTGTCCGACGTCAGGGGACGAAATGACTCGATGGTACTTGGTATTTGTGTGGATTCTTTTAGGTCCATACAGAGGTAAGTTTGTGTATGCAGGAGTGAAGAATGCAATGCACATGTACAAGAATTACGCAGAATAATGTTCATGTTCATACCGTGAGGATAGCTTGTTTAAATGATTCACGTACAATACTTAAGGTTATCTGATGGGGATGTTGACATAGATGTGTAAATATTTATTCATCAATTTATTGAATAAAATATACATCTATCTTATATTTGATGAGGAGATTGAAGTTAGATTTTATAAACACCACAGTTGTTTGTGATATCGACATTACACTGCTCTATGACCGTAAAATGTTCTTTGAAGAGATGTTTAATTCATTATAAACTTTCAACACTTTCGATAGCCACTTCAGTTGTACAAACTTCCAACCGAACCATAACTCCAATTAAACCGATACTTATGTAGTAGATTAGTCCTTATATCCAGCTTCAGGGACAATATAAACTTCATAGTGTGTTGAATATAAATAACATTTTCATACCTGTGCCAGTATGAAGAAGTCATATTTTTGCAGTTCAACACCCAAGAAATAATTTTCAGTTCAGTGTTTAGTGTGCTGGAAGTACCGTTTCGGAATCACATACACGATACAGGTATGAACAAATTTTGGTATATATATTTCTTCACGTCAAGTACAATAATATTTACTGTTTACACCAGATGCAGCTGGAACGGAGTGCTCAGATGCAATTACAGATGGAACGCAAGGTAATTCCACCATGCCAATAATGTAACGAAACTTTTAATTGGTTGGTATCTGTGTGATTAGAAAATAGGTCCAATGCATCGATATATGTAGCCGGTATTACAAATAATCCCTTGCACATCACATAAATTCATGGTATTGTTACACTCGATGTGTTTCCAAGCTCTTTGTCATACTCAATTTCCCCGGTTCTCACTTTCAAAACATGACATTATTTTGCCTTGATATTGATGGTGTCGTCAATAAAGTAGCAAGCCTTTCCAAGAACACTTTCTATGGATCCTTGTGATTTTTTTTGAAACGTTTATCTCCATTTTGTTGATATTCTCCCCTTCGCTCTAGAATTATGGTTTTGATAAGACGTTGGCACTCATTGTTGATCATAGCCAAACACTCTCATCTCGACACCTAAACTTCACAACAGCAATGTATACATAGGCTGTGATATCGACAAGTTGTTCAATTGAAAGCACGAGTCAAGAATCAATATATCTTCCGGAAAAAACCACGTGCCTTGCATGTAATAATGAAGCTCTATCAATTAGGCACTGGAACAAACGCAAAGAGTTTTAGCTTGATAATGGTAGTTAATTATCAATATTGCAAGAAAACATCGAAGAAAATACCGATGTGTCAACAGAATCTTAGTTCAAACGCAAATTCGACGAAACTAGGATCCATACGGTCCGACAGAGTCTCCTGAAAAAGTACAAGGAGAATAAGACCAGATGTTCCGGAAGGACGAGTGTCTTCTGCTTCATCAATGTTGCCTGTCATGTAATTCTTGGTCAATCCGAGTAAGTAATTTCACGACACGGTAAACAACAACGGAACCAAAAAGCACAGTAACGAGCCCCAAGCTCATCCAGCTTTAAATCGTGTAAAGAAATATCATATTTCTCCTCAATGGTTGTTATTGTCAGTGATAGAATCAAATTGGGAAAAGGAAATAACTTGGCGATGATATTTCATGAGTATTCATAATACTTTTCACATCCTTTCACTTTGTACTTTTGACAAAATTTTGATTGTTTCATTTGTTTGCTTGCTTTGTCGGTCTGAATAGCTAGGGTCATTTTGAAGCAGGGCCTCCGGGTATGGGCAGGTGGTTACTTCACTGAACAGAATACGGGAAGTCCGTCATTTGTAATACAGAGCAAAGAGGGTAAAATATCATGCCCATGATAGCATAGTGCGGTCCGTTTCAAAGTTTCCACGGAAAACAAACCGGCACTGGTTTGGAGATTCGAACCAAGCACCTCGGATCTTCACCTCTGGTGATGTAGGCAAACCGCTCTATCAGCTATCAGCATCGTGTTAATTAATTGATATTTTGAACCATTTATCACAAAAGACGAAGGAAGAAAATTATATATATATCTGAATTGACAAAAGCAAATGTTTGAGAGAGAAACCGGTAATGTTTTCATATGTCGGACAGTATTTGAAATCGGTATCTAAATAACTTGGTGATCTTTCATAAAGACCAGGTATATTTACAACTGAAGTACTCACATTAACATATTCAAATATTGTTCTTGCAGTACTAAACATGTGTGAAGACGGTAAAGCCGAAGGTGGAAGTGTGGTTATAGACACATACGGGTCTTCTATTTATAGACAAAATGGCGTCAGTATCAACTGTTCCTGTACGGCGACCCTGGAGGAAGTTTCCGGCGGGCAGTCCACAACTCTTAGTTTTGAATCTGTCCAATCTTTACAACCTTCGCCCGGATGTGGAAGTGGTATTTATCTTATACCACAACTGCAAACTTTCCCAGGTCAACCTAACACGTATTGGTGTGTTGTTAAAAACAATACATTCAATGCCGTAAAAGAAAATGATACATTTACTGTTGTATGGCAGTCTGGAAACAACGGAAGTACATCGGGATATTGTCTGTCATTCAGTGCAGGTAAAGAGTGATTTTATTCAATGCCGAAAACCAGACTAGTTATGGTAAGACAAGATGTAGTTGATATTACACGAATTGACAGTCTGTATTAAAAACTATGGTTTTTTAACGATTTTTTTTCCATGTCGTTATATACAGTATGTACCAGGAAATTGTATCTTCTTGTGTTGTATAAGATTCACTAGGACATGAATTCAAACTCTGATAACTTATTGAGCTTTGTATATTAACTGGCATATCAGCCAAACCATATCTAAAAATAGAATAAAAATACGATTATAATAGTCTACGCTAGCCTCAGTGGACAAAAATAGTTAGGAGTCATTGTCACATGGCTTGTATTGTTTGTGTAGTCGGAAATTAAATCGTAATATATATTCGTCTTTGGATGTTTTTCAAATATGAATCCGATTAAATATTCTAGAAACTCCCCTGTCGTGTTTCAGTTACAGATATTCTTCTTTAGGACCAAGTGGAAACGGAAAGAGCGCTGAAAAATATATATGGTATATGTCTTGAAAAAGGAAACTGCCATTTAAACTTAATGTTTATAAACATCGTTTTGCTAATATATGTGAAATATTCTGCTTTTATGCATTTTAAGACTGTTCGTTAATGTTTGTTATTCTTCATTGTGATAGCATGACAAGGATAATCAGCAAAACAGATAAATAAGGGGGAAAAAATAACGACAAGAACAGTGGATCAGTATTTATAATGGTGATTGTCACCCGAGTCGGGTTAGACAACATTACTTATTGTTCTTAGTAAAAATCGTATGTAGTCTTCAATACGTATAAGTTGTTTTTGTAACTCTCTCTCTCTCTCTCACTCACACTCTCTCCCACCCCCACCCCCACCCTCTCTCTCTGTCTCTCTGTCTCTCTCTCTCTCTCTCTCTCTCTCTCTCTCTCTCTCTCTCTCTCTCTCTCTCTCTCTCTAAGATTGTATATATATGTATATATAACAATAGGCCATCATCAACATTTGTATTAAATACTAATTACTTGAAACGGGCTTAGTATAAGTTGGAAAACTTGTGTCCAATCCTTTATGTATATTTATATGCAATAAGATATGTTTAAATCAAATCAACCGCATTGTATAATTACTTTTCTTGACAATAGCACCAAGTTGACGTTATTTGACCAATACATTTCATTGCTTGATAATTTTGAGGAGAGAATTATTTTTGTACTTTTGCCGTGGATTTTCCATGACTATTTATTTGTTGCGCAATAATTCCAGTTAAATGATAAAATATTCCTTCTTTCAACCGTTTTAGGATCAGAGTCACTCCTATCTGTAAAATGTACACCTAGCCCGATTTACGTCACTTCAACATCGTCACCAACATCTCCTACTATGACTGTTGTGACGACAACGATGACGACATCTAGTACAACAACGTCAGCTACAACTACCCCAAAATCATCAATAACAACTACACTAACAACTACTACCCTTTCTACAACCTCTGACAGGGGAGCTAACCCTTCATCGACAAAACCAACGACGATGACAGAGGGAGCGACAATGGCGGATCAGATGAAGGACAAAGATTTAGACAGTAAGCTTTGAATTTTAATTTTATGATTTCATTTAAGACTCTTTTGGATCTGAAATGTTTCTTTATTTAAGACTGTTGAATCTGAAATGTTTCTTTATTAAAGACTGTTGAATCTGAAATATTTCTTTATTTAAGACTGTTGAATCCTAAATATTTCTTTATTTAAGACTATTGAATCTGAAATATTTATTTATTTAGGACTGTTGAATCCTAAATATTTCTTTATCTAAGACTGTTGAATCTGAAATATTTATTTATTTAAGACAATGAATCTGAAATATTTATTTATTTAAGACTGTTGAATCTGAAATATTTCTTTATCTAAGACTGTTGAATCTAAAATATTTATTTATTTAAGACTATGAATCTGAAATATTTCTTTATTAAAGACTATTGAATCTGAAATATTTATTTATTTAAGACTGTTGAATCCTAAATATTTCTTTATTTAAGACTATTGAATCTGAAATATTTCTTTATTAAAGACTGTTGAATCTAAAATATTTATTTATTTAAGACTATGAATCTGAAATATTTCTTTATTAAAGACTATTGAATCTGAAATATTTATTTATTTAAGACTGTTGAATCCTAAATATTTCTTTATTTAAGACTATTGAATCTGAAATATTTCTTTATTAAAGACTATTGAATCTGAAATATTTCTTTATCTAAGACTGTTGAATCCTAAATATTTCTTTATTTAAGACTATTGAATCTGAAATATTTCTTTATTAAAGACTATTGAATCTGAAATATTTCTTTATCTAAGACTGTTGAATCTAAAATATTTATTTAAGACTATTGAATCTGAAATATTTCTTTATTTAGGACTGTTGAATCCGAAATATTTATTTATTTAAGACTGAAATATTTCTTTATTTAAGACTGTTGAATCTGAAATATTTCTTAATTTAAGACTGTTGAATCTGAAATATTTCTTTATTTAAGACTATTGAATCTGAAATATTTCTTTATCTAAGACTGTTGAATCCTAAATATTTCTTTATTTAAGACTATTGAATCTAAAATATTTCTTTATTTAGGACTGTTGAATCTGAAATGTTTCTTTATTAAAGACTATTGAATCTGAAATATTTCTTTATTAAAGACTATTGAATCTGAAATATTTCTTTATCTAAGACTGTTGAATCCTAAATATTGATTTATTTAAGACTGTTGAATCTGAAATATTTCTTTATTTAGACTGTTGAATCTGAAATATTTCTTTATTAAAGACTAAATATTTCTATTTATTTAAAGACTATTGAATCTGAAATATTTCTTTATTTAAGACTGTTGAATCCGAAATATTTATTTATTTAAGACTGTTGAATCTGAAATATTTCTTTATTAAAGACTATTGAATCTGAAATATTTCTTTATCTAAGACTGTTGAATCCTAAATATTTCTTTATTTAAGACTATTGAATCTAAAATATTTCTTTATTTAGGACTGTTGAATCTGAAATGTTTCTTTATTAAAGACTATTGAATCTGAAATATTTCTTTATCTAAGACTGTTGAATCCTAAATATTGATTTATTTAAGACTGTTGAATCTGAAATGTTTCTTTATTAAAGACTATTGAATCTGAAATATTTCTTTATTAAAGACTATTGAATCTGAAATATTTCTTTATCTAAGACTGTTGAATCCTAAATATTGATTTATTTAAGACTGTTGAATCTGAAATATTTCTTTATTTAGGACTGTTGAATCTGAAATATTTCTTTATTAAAGACTATTGAATCTGAAATATTTCTTTATCTAAGACTGTTGAATCCGAAATATTTATGTATTTAAGACTATTGAATCTGAAATATTTCTTTATTTAGGACTGTTGAATCCGAAATATTTATTTATTTAAGACTGTTGAATCTGAAATATTTCTTTATTAAAGACTATTGAATCTGAAATATTTCTTTATCTAAGACTGTTGAATCCTAAATATTTCTTTATTTAGGACTGTTGAATCCTAAATATTTCTTTATTTAAGACTATTGAATCTGAAATATTTCTTTATTAAAGACTATTGAATCTGAAATATTTCTTTATCTAAGACTGTTGAATCTAAAATATTTATTTATTTAAGACTATTGAATCTGAAATATTTCTTTATTTAGGACTGTTGAATCCGAAATATTTATTTATTTAAGACAATGAATCTGAAATATTTCTTTATTTAGGACAATGAATCTGAAATATTTCTTTATTTAAGACTGTTGAATCTGAAATATTTCTTTATTTAAGACTATTGAATCTGAAATATCTAATTCTCTTAGTTTTCATTTCAATATATTTTACATATTTGAAATTATTTCTACACCGTTTGTTGTAAATGAACAGTATATTATTATTTGAGAACAAGTTTTTTTGTTTTGTTTATGTTTTGTTGTCATTTCGTCTTTTATGGGTTTTAATTAAGGCGTTATTAGAACGTCGGTTATCTTTTTCATTTTAAGCGCAGATTAATTGTTCGGTTATGTCCGACTAATCTTCACGTTACACCTGAATGAATAACTGTAGTCATTGTCAACCTGGATGTTCATATGATAAGGAAGAATAAAACAGATGTTTGTGGTGCAAGATATACAAATATTGATACATTTTTTGTAAATATATAGCAAAATTTTATTACAGATAAAGGAAGTTCATTTATTTATTTATTTATTTATTTATTCATTTATATATTTTTAGTGCATATCTATGTTTCCTTTATCTCCAAATTTAAGTCGGACTTTATGCCTTGTTTCCCTTTCTTTCACGTGTTATGTAAATACGAATGGAACACACTAAACAAATTTTGAACATTTTTCCTCAACAAAATATACTCACGAGTAGCTTAGAAACTCAGAAACATATAGCAGAACAAGGTAGAAAAGCATTGTATTAATTAATATCCTCATTACGAGATTACTCTTTAAATCCAGAAACGTTATCTTCTGTTTTTGATACATATATTAGTAGTATTCTTTGTTACGGAGCAGAAATATGGGGTTTCCATAAGGCTTATGATATAGAAAAAGTACATTTGACATTCTGTAAGAAAATTCTAGGAGTAAGAAAAAGTACAAACAATGATTTAGTTTATAATGAACTAGGGAGATTACCTTTATTAGTAACTAGAAAATTAAGAATTCTTAAATATTGGTTGAAATAAAGAGTTCCGATAATTGCATCTTGAAAGCATGTTATGACGAATGTGTGAGTGAAAATGATGTATGGATGAGTAATATAAAACAAGAGTTGTCAATATTAGGTCTTGAGTATTTATTTGAAAATGATCTTCCTGCTAGTGCTGCGTATAATAGAATAAAACAGAGGTTATTAGATGTAAATAAACAAGAAATTTTAAGTAGAATTAAAGACTCTTCTAAAGGATATTTGTATCAATATCTTACTGATAACTTTAATTTGCAATATTATTTATGTAAGCCAATTGAAACGAAATACACACGTTTAATTACAAAGTTTAGACTATCTGCACATAATCTTAATATAGAAACTGGGCGTCGTAGAAATATTGGAAGAAGAAATAGAGTATGCATCAGATGTAATGGAGAAGATATTGAAGATGAATTCCATTTTATTTTAAAATGCCCATTTTATGAGGAATTAAGGAGAAAATATATAAAAAGGTTTTACCACAGACGTCCAAGTGTTTTCAAATTAATCAAACTTTTGAGTGTAAACAATGTAAAGGAACTTTGTAATTTGGGAAAATATTTGTTTTATGCTACCAAAAAACGTGAAAATCTCTAATAATGCCAACTCTTTTTGCTAGGATCATGTATACAGCTATATATATATGCAGGGACGTCCCTGATATATGTATGTTATGTGTTCAGCTCTCCCGATATGTCAGCGTGTGTGTGTGTGTGTGTGAGGTGGTGTGTGTGTGAGGGATGGTGTGTGAGGTGGTGTGTGTGAGCGTAAGCTACATGCTTGTATTATATATTATTATATATTTATATGTAAATGTATTACTTTTGTGCCTATGAGCCGTAAGGCTCCTGGCTAATAAAGAATCAGCTTTCGGCACCTCTTGGATGCCGTCGTCAGCTCCAATGCGTCAGAGAGGGGCTTATTGCTGATTTGGTGAAAAATTCAGTCACGTGACTAATGCATTAAAATTAGGTCATGTCAATGGGATCTTTCGATTGGATCATTTCCTGAGTAATTATTTAACCAACGACCCTTCAGGTTTGTCTCGATGTCATGATACGGTCATTCATAATTCTAAATTGAGACATTTTAAAAATCTGTCTTCTCTGTTGTAAATTTCATTTTTATATATGCTGGAATCTGTCTTTAATACCATCCTATCATAGAATTAATGAAATTTTATTTGATTTCAGCAAATGTAATTATAGGCATAGCTGCTGGAGGCGTGGTCTTTGTCGGAATTTGTATCATAATAGCGGTCACGTGTGCACGGTTAGTATTACAAATAAAGTAAATGGTCAGAAAAAAGATAATGGTTGATGGTTATATAAATATACATAATATTAATGAAGTAATAGCAGCAGTACTGGCAAGCGAATTGTCTAAAGTGCAAAAAAATACGGAGATTGATATAAAACATTTTTGATATTTTAATCACCATCTTCCATACAACAAATTAGAATATTTTTGTCTGCTATAAAGGGCCTTCGGCGTCCATCGGCCGAATGGATTCTCAAGACACCTAAATTTACACCGCCGCTCTCGATTTAGATTTATAACTTTGTATTTTTTCTATGTTCTATGTGACATCCCAGTTGTTAAAATTCTATTTTATTTATAGATATACAAACTTTTCAAAAACTAAAAAAAAATTAGATGCCCGATTTTTAGAGTTACTAGTTCCGTTTTAAGTTTACTGTTCAAACTTAAAAAGACAAAAAAAAATCATGTCTTTGTTTTTTTTTCTTCTTTAAAAAAAACCACGTCATTTTAGCGCCATAGAAATATATAACTGTAAATTATATTTCTAAATAACATTGTATATGAACATTATTAATATTATTTGGAAATATTCTCTTGGAAATTTTCAAACCTTTGTCATGTTTTAATTCCAACCATTTGTGAAATATTTGTTTGACAGAAGGAAAAGGAAACCGGATGAGCCTGGAGAAACTTCAACTGTAACCCATAACGTATTGTATGAGTCATATAAAACACCAGAAACGGAAATGAAACATATAGTGACCCCTAGTGGCGATATATATGCACAAGTTGAAAAGGATTCGAAAACCGAAACAACAAATTCCAACGACCAATCTCGAGAACCGGAACAGGAAACACCTCATATAGTGACACCTAGTGGTGATACATATGCTCAAATTCACAATACGCGTAGTGATAATGTTTTATATTAGTCAAACCAAATAGATGCAGTGTATGACATTGCAAGGTTGCATAAAATTTTGTTTCGTGGCCGTCCAAAAACCCTGCCGGGGAGATCTAAATCCGGAGAAAAAACGGAATATTACAACACTATAGTTTCATTGGTGGATACTCTACACCTTAGTGTCTGTATTGTTGTACTCTAGATGGAGTTTTCATTTCTATTTTATGTCCTGTCAGTCTGTTGAAGGACGTAGAGAAGAGCAGATGAGTCCATGGGTCTTACAGACATCGCCTAGTTTCCTGTACATTTTAAGAATGTATTTCTTTGTGAAAACTTTGGTTGTTTTGTGTAAATATGATAAAATATATATGCAATGTATAATATAAGCAAATTTATCAGATATATGTTGCATAAACAATAGTAACGCCTAGGATTTCCTTTTTTGTTTTCGTATCGACAAATGAAACTGCAATACAAATCTCACACGTCCTATACAAACTTTCTTACTTTGGATATATTGTATATTTTTAAGCAAATTTGTCAGGTTGTGGAGAAGAATGGTATGCTGTATTTCCAGAAAAATATTTTTCAAGAATGATATTGTCTATCGTTGAAGCTAAATATTGATTTTCAGCTTGTAGTGACGTCACGGTAAATGGATCTCGGTAAATGGATACGCCATACACCAACAAGGGCAGACAACTGCACTTGCCATCCACATATACTTATAAAAACATATTCTGCTTTAAAGACATTACAGATGGAACACATTTTTATACAACGTTGTGGACGTGCCCCTTTTACGATAACTTTTGGTGGGCAGTAGAAAAGAGACTTGTCAGTAAAAGAAAGTTGTTTTTCTGTAGAGTGCGTTTTTGCATATTTTAATTAAAGATGGAGACGAAGTTATGTATAGAGTTGTCGACAGAGAAGTGTTAAGGTTTATGTAATGTAAAACATGTCTCCTACCTGCCCCCACAATTATTTCTCTGCTATCATATATAAGGATGGTGCCCCAAAAATTAAACAAAATTCTATATTTTCACCATTCAAATCCATATCATACACGTATGCCCTATGAAAAGTTTCGGCAGCCCCTTACTAAGTAAATACTAAGCTATTAACTGGCTTCAACTATAACCTGAATTCAAGACGGACGAACAGACGAAAGCAGCTTAAACCTGTGGTTCCCCATCTCGCCACCTCCACATCTCCGCATCTCTCAATTTTAAATTACGATTTGTATGTATTTTGTTAAATTTCACATTCTGTCCATCTTACATAACCGTAAAGTTTATTAAGGTCAGCTGACTTCTGAAGTACCGCATATAGATTAGGAAATGGTTTATTATTAATACTTTGGCAATGGTGGCTACTGCACACGGACGTGTCATGTCAAGTGGAGGTGAACATCACAAACACATCAATTTAAGATAAGTATTTTCCTCCTAATGCGCAGGACAGAACGATGGTGGTGTTTTGTGAGCTGATGTGTTTCTAACAGGTATCTGTTCCAAGTCTGTATATCGTGTGTTTGTTTTTCATTGAACCATGAAACTGTGTATAGAGAGCTCGGGTAACTCAGGTGTATATACGGGTGGGTTCCGCACGTGCTGTCTACTCGTATGAACTCTTTGGTATTGTGCTGTCAGCATCAGAATGGACACTACGATGTACGCGTACATGTAAACAAACGAAATCCTGCCAGTCTTATTGAGGATACTGAGTCCGTCTGCAGGAGGTACTAAGTCCGTCTGCAGGAGGGGGAACTATTTGCCTGATTTAACAGAAAAGGAAATAAAGTCGCCCTGTCGGCCGGTCAACAAGGTCAGGTCAGTCAGTCTGATCTAAACATTCAGTGGTCCAAATGTCCGTAAACTTCATACATATAATCAACACGACTGTCTCCAATCCAGAATTAAACAAATGTGTGAAAATGTGATTACTGCAATGTACAAGACGCCATGTACGAAGTGGTAAGGCCCCTCCCAGAAAAAAGTACACTCAAGCAGCCAAGATTGAAGCCTTAACTGCACAAAATCAAGAACTGAAGGAGGACATTTTGTTTTTAACTGATCAAATTGAGTAGGTTGGTTCAGGTCTGCAAGAATTGGAGTAATACGGAAGTAGAAACTTCATCATCAGATTTCAAAATATGCCTCTCCCTACAGACCAACTCCCAGACACAGATTCCGTCATCGTGAAACTGGTGAGTTAAAAACTGAATATCAGTATATTTGTTAGTAATATTAATAGATCTCACACAATTGGTTGTATATGTGGCAGAGAGGGGTAGTTTATGGAAACAAAACGATAACCTCTAGAATTCCTTGTCAATCGTTTATTGTCGTATTAATGTTGACAGTCGAAACCCTGTGTATTGGCACAAGGCCCTAAACAACTTGTCAGCGAGCTTGTATCGTATAACTTCTGGCAATAATCAGTAATATTAGTCAGGCACGTCCGTCAGCTATGAGTTCACAAGGGGTACTGACAAAATCTGCACGAAACACAAAGAAAATCCCGCCAAACTGACCACTAAAAACCAGCCAATCAGAGTAAATGCACAACCTGACGAAAGTGACCAAACAACAACACACCTTAGGATACTAACGTCACAAAACATACATGATGAGCAAAAGTACACCACAATATGGAACATGACACGCGGGCACGGTTTTTCGGCGAGTAAACAGAAATTGTAATTTAAAAGATAATTTCACCCTGCTACATATAAGAAAATCATGCGAATTTCAACTAATTTGCCGACTACGGAATTGAAAAATAAAAATCTAAATTAGCTAGAAATTCAGACAAGACATCTATCACCGATGATCTTACCAAACTTCGCCAGGTGATAATTGCTGCTTTCGATCAGTTGGGAAAGGCTGGGTACATTTGTTTATTTTGGACTAAGGATTGGGGGAGGATTCTTGTCAAAATTTCAGATGAAACTAGTAAACAGCAAATGTATTCTCCCCGTGATATTGTGTGCTGAGTAGTTACTGACTTCGTCTGTACACAATACTGTTGTAGAATACATACCAGTACCGCCTACCATTAAAACTATACATATTTTTAAATATAATTTACATAATATAATGCTTTATTATAGATATTTAATATAAACCATTAGTATTTTTCAATAGGCATGTAAGATTTATATAAATACAAAATGTAAAATATGTATTGAACTCTTCAGTTCCGAAAGCTCAAATAGAGAAGTTCCGAGTGTAATCAGAGTAGCAACTACAGTAGAGGTACAGAAGGTTTGGCGATTATTCGTCCGTTCGTCCTTCAAGCAGTCCGTCATTTTATATAGTATCCGGGATCTAATTGTTTTTTTAGTATTTCATGGTACAGGAATGATGTGTTTCGTTCATACAACAGGTTATAAATCTATGGCCCCTTATTTTGTGTCAACACAGTCGTACAGTTATGTGCCCCTTTGAAGTCTAATTTATTATACCGTTTTGTAACTAATTATACCGCGTTACTAACCGCTGTTACTTCTTCACTCGCTGTTCGTTAGCTTATACGTTATATTGTAATGCCCTTTTTATCTACAACACTATCATCATATTGATAAGTACGAAAGTCTAGAAAGGTTTAATTTCGGAGGGAAAAAATATAAAATCACGTTATTATGCGAATAAAAGCGTAACAACGCCTTCTAAAAGTCGTAATAACGCGAAAAAAGTCGTAATAACGCGATTTTATGTTTTTCCTTCGAAATTCCACCTTTCAAGGCTATCGTAGATAAGCATGATGCATTTTACTGTCAGCTGTATTATACGAACCTGGTTATATAGGAGAGGACGTTAATAAGTTTTTTTAAACTGTGTCCAATCCTGCTTGATTTCATCAAATAAAATATGTTTGTGTCACTTGTGTATATTATGGGATGTTTATCATGCCAAATACCACAGTCCTTCGGAACATCACTGCAGAAAATGATAGTCTTTTCTGTTCTATTATATACCAAGTTTCTTCCGAACAGAGACAAAGAGACAAGATGGTTTCTACACTTCCCCTCCATACTAGTTCGGAACTCCGGATCTTTAGTTTTTGTGAATGTTGATATGTATTGTCTGATGTCCACATTGATTTTCAGTTCTTTGGCATAACCAAATGAACAAACTAGGTTCTAGTCTCTACTTCTTAAAGACTTTAGCTGAATTTCAGCAGTAGGTATCTACGGAGATGTAGAATCAAACTTATGATTTTCATTTAACAAAAGTTAATAAATTCACAGATACATTTATTAAGTTTTTTTCACCAATCGTGGCCTATAAATAAACGTCGGCGACAGCCATCTTCACACAAATGTGTCGAGAGAATATTTGACCTCGGTATTTCACGGTAACTGTACGTCCGAGAATCGCCAGGAAACTAAACATAGGTAAAACCAACAGCGAGATCTACCACAACTAGCGAAAGGTTGATGTCATTTTTTTTGCATTAATCGTCGCATGTGCGACACTTTGTGGATAAGATGAAAAGTATTGTTTAATCCTTTAGCTTTAAAGCTGGATGTCGCTCTTAGTAATCGTCAAAAGCATCGTATCAGCCTGGGATTGGTCATTTTTTTCTTCAGGAACCAATCAAATCACTTTGTTTGTGTCTTCAATATTGCAATGACATGTTCCAGGGATGCAGAAAGCTAACGTGATCGTAACCCCTGGAGTATCGAGTATTTATAGAACAATTTGGATACAGGCTGTATGTCCCTATTTTTTCCACTGAATGACTGATGATAATAAACTTTATTTATTTACCAACAATTGTGAAGCAAGTTTTTCCAACTTATATTAATCATTCTTGTTGGCTCGGATGGAAGCGCGCGAGGGGTCTTACTGTGGGAGAAAACCGGAGTACCCGGGGAAAACCCACGTGGTCGGGCAGGTGAACCCTTACCTTTTCACATCAATTCCAGGAATCGAACCCCGGACGGCTAGGGTGAAAGACTAGATGGCTTTGCTGATGTTTGATTGTTTATCTGTTTCCCACTCGAATTTATTATAGCGGAACTTTCCTCAATCTGGCTCCAGTACCAGATGTTGGAAATTTCCAAAGACGGATATATCGGATGGATATTAGATAGGTGACAAAGGGAACTCTGCTTAAAGACATTGTCGATTATTTTTGACAGAAATAATATGCAAATCAACTCATTCATAAAATCTTAATCGTTATTTCTGTATAATATCGATTATTAATAAAAAAAAAGTTGAATGAAGTGTGTACAATAATTCAGATTGAACACACTTTTTTACACATGAGAAAACTGACGTTATAAAATGTATATACACAGGTTTCATGTCATTTAACAGAAACGATAAGTGTCTAGAACACTTTATATAGAGTCACGCGGTCCGGATATGACGTTATTTAAGATGTGGGAGGATGGTCACGAGACTTGTTTGTATATTGATAACGATGTAATATTACACATCTGCACATATGAGGTCAAGGGTCGCGGAATGACTTGAAACAGGTGCATGTGACTGACTGGATAGAACCAAGGTAAGTTAAGCGCGACAAGTACAAGTATTTTTGTCCATCATTTATATCAACTCATTAGCGTATTTTATGTATATTTTTTTTTCAATCGCCGATTTTCTACATTCATTGACTCATGTTAGTTAATATACAGTAAACATGCTTTGTAAAATATCCATGTACATTTGGAACAATTTTTATTACATTGCTACGAGTTTGATGTGGATTTATTTGAAGACTCACGGGAACTAAATACGGCAATTAAGATAATGTAATTTCCAATACCTACGAAGTATACATTGCAATAGATTTCAGTAATTATTTTTTTCATTTTATTCCAGATATTGAATGACCGAAAGTAAAAACTAGTCACATGGATGCCGGAAATGAGGTTAGAACTATACAATATAGTACAAATCAAATAGATATTGATGTAGATAAATGAGTGATATTCGAAAAAGAAAACGTTTTGCTGTGTGGCATTCACTGTATTTTATGATATATCATAAACGTGTATATCTTACTTATCGCTCGTCCTCTCTCGGAAACCCAATGTGACATATCAGATGGAAATATATCCTAAAGCACTAGACTGTTTATATTATATATATATATATCGAGAAACTTGCAAATCCAAAAAATATTTGAAATGACTCTGTTCTACTTTCGGTTTGTGATTTTTAGTATGGATTACATCCCTTTAATCGTTTACGCTGGATATATTACTGAATGTCTGTTTATGAATTACAATATTTTACGATGTTGTAATTTATGCTGATGAGTTTGTATGCGTGTTTATCAAGATAAATCAATAAGTAGATAAAATGATAAAAAAAATGTGAGGTTTATTTTTATATTTAGTCACAAACTACAGGTCACTCTAAAGCAAAACAATGGCCAGGAGATACAATACTGAGAATTAGGATGTTCCCAGTGTTTAGGCCAGGATGCAGTTTTGATGGGTCATTTTGGCCCATTACTAGCCAAAAGTAGGGGTCAAATTCTGTGAGAGGGGGTCAATGATTACATAACTAGAAACATACCCAAATAACTTTCATTTTTTATCATAGGTACATTTTAGGAGTATTTCAGCATTTATTGAATATTCTTCTGGTTTTCTGCTCTTTCCAGTGAGTCATACTAGCTGTGAAATCAAATGTCTTTAAATCTGGGCCTTGTACACTTATTGTCATCAAAGTGTTCAATCTCTCAGGACTTAGTCTGTTCCTCTCTGGAGTTTTCAGTTGGTTTTGTACTGAGAAGCCCTGCTCGCAGTCAGCTGTATGAGCTGGCAAAGTCATTGCTAGAGCTGCTAGTTTGATTAAATTAGGGAACATTTCTTTGTGGTATTTGTAGATGAGAGACCACATCACCTGAAACTGATCCCTAGGATACTGCTCCTGTAACACAACAGATTTCAGAAGTGTCCATTCATGATGGGACTTATCCTTATCTATGTAGGCAGGGCTCTGTTCTTCATCTCCACAATGGTCTACTAAAACCTTTAACTTTGAATTCCCCCATAATTCAAGCTCATCTTTACTCAGAAAGGATATTGGCTTAAGACCAAGACATGTGAAGCAACTAACAATGTTTCCATCACTTTCAGGAAATCTTTTGTTCAAATTTTCAATGAGCTTTTCGATGAACTGTGATTTAATGGAATTAAAGTGTTGCTTGGGTCTATCAGCATATGTTATTTTATGTCCCTTGAATTTTGCATTTCCAGCATCCAGTATTTGAATGAACTTCTGATATTCAGTATTCTTCAAGTTGACAACTTCACCACTCAAATGTTTCTCTAGCTCTGATTTGCAGGCCTTTAAAGCAGGATCTATGATAGTCAAGTCCAAGTCCCTTTTCTGGAAAATTAAACACAGTTCCATAACACAGGGCATAACATCAATCATCATGTGTAGAGTGGCAATGAATTCAAATCTTGTCATCTTTTTATTAAACCCTTTCATAACAGGATCTGAATGTTCTTGTTCAAAGTATGTTACTAAGGAATCCCATGTTAAATAAACTGTTTCTAGTGCTTTGTAAAATGATAGCCAGCAAACAGCATGACACAAATAACCTAATTTCATTTCCTTACAAAAGAAACCCTGAAATAATTATTGTTTAAATTGACTGATCTCAACTTTTACCCGTTCAATAATGATTTTAACTATATGGTGAAAACCATGCCTTACTTTCTAGGTACTGATGTACTAACAGGAACAAACTTAACACATATCTGTGTGCATTATTTTATTTTCGTGGAATTTTATGGACCAAGCCTTGGAAGGTTTTATTTTTGTGAGCCTGTGGCGAGATATATAAACTCATTAATTGGGATTGATTCAGAATCATCACTCTCTCCAAACAGAGACTTATATGCTTAAGATGGAAATTTTTGCTATATACATTGTATATCTTGATCATCTTACATCTTCTGTATAGTACTAAGTCAATTAGTTTGTAATTTGAATGACAGGTGACAGGGACGGCAGTGACAGGCCACGGGGGCCACAGTGGCCTCTCTATACCTAAGGCCGCATTCTTTATTGTCGGGGAGATTGCTGGATCAGGGGTGTTGGCTCTACCCAAGGCTGTAGAAGATACAGGTCAGTGAATATTTCTTGACAAATCCAATCCTCTTTATTTTCTTTTTGACACATTTCTCCTACATCAGATGTCTGCCTCGGACATTTATGCCTTTTCCAGCTCATGGAAATGGGTTTTAACAGCATAATTACCCCCTGATATCTTTTCGGCAATGGAGAAATTGTTTGTAAGCTGAAGTTATTGCATTATGAATAACCAGGGTATTTTTGAAGCGAGGTCTCCTTGAAGTAGCTGGTGGTTACCTCATTGAACGCAATATGAGAGGCTCATCACATGCTATTCAGAATAACTGCGGTTAAGTGACTTGCCCAAGGACACATCCAAATTAGCACAGACCGTTTTCTTAGATTCTTGTGAAACACAAACTGCTATGGGTAGTTTATGTCTAACCACTCATCTGACGCTCTGAGCTTATCATGCGGCATGGGCTTATTACAGGATACATGTCTGATGACAATAGTTTAGAAATGATTTTTCTTGAGTTCACTATTTGCTTTACTTACTAGTAATTACAAATCTTTTTTGGTTCAAATTTATTAAAATATAAGCAGTGTCTAGATAGCAGTTACCTCCCCTCTCTGTTATATCATAAATGTTGTGGCTGTGCATTTATCATTATTGTTTAAAACTGTATTATTAAAGCAAATTAAAAAAAAACTGATGATAACTTTGGTTTTATAATTGTAGAATTCATTGCATCATGAACTGATAGCTAGCTTATTCTAATGTTTTGATTTTTTAATATCTTTTTTATGCTATTTATTATAATATTAATATTATTACATTCTTAACGGCCCGGCAACACATAAAAGGTCATAAGGGTCATCAACCGGTAAAACACATAGTAATCCAACAAGGAAATAACATCAAACAAACTAAAACGTAAAAGACAAATGCTGAAAGCCTTAAATGGTTATATTATCATACCATTTATAAACCTCGATGAACATACATTATTACAGAAACAATAAATGCATACAAACGATGTTAGAAAGTAATTTTCGTTCAGAATACTAAACTAGAGAATCCTTCAGTATTATAGAAGTCTTCTGAAAAAAAAGAAAAAAGTCCTCAATTATTCTGAATTTCATGTTGTTGCTTGTATGTTGATGATTTGCTTTGTTTTAACCATTTACAGGATGGATAGGACTTGTGATAATCACAGCCTGTAGTTTGCTGTCTGCGTACACTGGTCACATCCTGGGTAAAGCATGGATCATTACCTCCCATAGATTCAAGGAGTGCCGAGGGCATGTTCCAGACCCATATCCTCTGATTGGAGAGAAAGCCTACGGAAAGTGGGGCAGGTAGATATCACAATGCTTATTGTATTATTAGAACAGAAACAAGCATTTCAGTGAGAAACTGTACCTATCTGTCAACTAGCACAAGGTGCCAACATACAAATTTATCTCCAAAGTCAGGGATTTGGCTTATTGAAGACCAATGAAAAAATAAAATTGCAAGCCCTTTATCCATGAGTTGTGGTGGGCTTATTACAAGGCATGGCTTTGTTGTCAGATCAATGTTGTCAGTCTTTTTTAAAGGGGGTGAGTTTAAATACCATTTTGTTTTTCATTCTATTTTTATAATTTCCTTATACACCACCTGGATGTGGAATTATGAATTTTGCACTTAAGTTAGGAGTTATGAATTTTTAGCTTGTAGTCTGCTGAGATAAATAACCTTGAGAAAATTTTGAGAAAAAGATTTTATGGGTTAAACATTGAACAAGGTCAAACAACTTCTTCTAAAGAATGAAAAACCCTTCAGTTATGATGTTATTATATATGTTTGTGGGCAATGAGTGACCTTGACTAAAATTTTAGGTCGCAGGTTCATACATATGTACTTGTTGAAAATATACTCCATTGTAACAACTTCTTTTAAAACTATGATTAACAATGACAATACTCAGATAACTTTTTAAATGATATATTTTAAAAGTTTGTTAACATAACTGACCTTGACCTATATTCAAGTTCATCAAAGAAAAACTTTTATTAACTTATTTTGCCTGTCACTAATAAATATATACAATTAATGTATAAAATATTACTTGACAGCTTACCACTAAAATTAACAGGCTTATCATTGGTCAGTTAAGCAACCAATCAGAGAAATTCTTTGTCATATCTTAAAACATAGCTTAAAAATAATTATTTTCATGTATAATTCAGACAGATAGTAAACATATCTATCAACTTCACCTTGTTTGGAGTAGGAACGGTATTTCTACTGTTGGCTTCGGAGAATATTGAAGCCCTTTTCAAGGATGTTGGCTTTGATCTTAGTTTTTGTGTATGGTGTATCATATTGGCTGCAATTCTGACCCCTGTCACTTGGCTGGGAACACCACAAGATTTCTGGTAAGCATCCTTTTTTCCTCAGTCAAGGTCAGTCTTCCTTTTTTCACATAAAAGATTTATCTCTCATTTGTTTTTTCATGTGATATAATCTGTATTTGGTTTTTTTTTTGTTTTTTTTTTCAAGAAAGGGAGATAACTATGCAAAAATCTTCCTTTACTTCTCATTTCATACTGTATTTGTATCACCCATCATAAAGCTTATTTTCACGGGGTTATTATTTTCACTGATTCAAAAGGCAATAATGTGGTCTCAAAACTTTGATCCATTAAAAAATAGGACACTTGTAAATTTCATTTTTCATTTTTTTTATATTTTTTATTATTTTCAATGAAAAAGCTGATTCTTCATTGTTCTTTCAACCATTACAATTTTTTTATAACAGATTAAATGATACAAATCATTTGTTATGTGTTGAAGAACATTTGCATTTAGTAGTACAAATCATGTTCAATCACCTTATGTGTTTCACGGATAGTAGATCAACAACCGTTAATTTGAGATCTAATGCATTCAGATTGTGAAAGGTAAATTCATGAAAAACTCTATGAATTTTTAATTTTAAATATTAAGTGAAAATTGCAAAAAAAGTACTTAAACAGTATATAAGAACCATACTTTTATGCAATGTTTGGGCAAGCTTCAATGAGGATGGAATGATATAGAATGTGAGGAACTTGACCATGATATGTATGGACAGAGGTCAGTGACGGCTGATTACCTTTGACCATGTGTCTTTGTTAAAGTAAATTTGCTGAGCTTCTGAAACCAAGAATATATTTTAAATTTACTTATGTTGACTTAAAGAATCCCCATTTTTTAACATTTTTGAAAGAAAATTGACTAATTTAATTACAGGCAAGTTGCTGTAGGGGCCACTATAGCAACAGCTATAGCGTGTGTTGTCCTTATCACCAATATCGGTCTGGAATCCAAGGATAAGGTAGACGAACCTGTGATTCACAATAAAATCAAATTCCTTGATTTCTTCACCGCATTTGGAACAATAGTTTTTGCCTTTGGTGGACATCCTGCTTTTCCAACTTTTCAAAATGACATGAAAAAACAGAAGGAGTTTAAATGGGCTGTTTTCTTAGGATATTTAAGTAAGTGGTTGTAATTTTTGCTAGGTAATAAAAGAATAATTAATGCAAAACTGCTTTCATTGTTTGCCTCATTCAGGATATCTTGAAAATCTTAGGAAAGAATGGATGAAGTCTATTCAATCTGCAAGTAATCTTATTTAAATTCCAATAAAATTTGTTAAACTCAATTATAATTACCATTTTTCAAAATCATAAGAACAAAATTGGAAAGTTTTAAATGAATTTTGCAATATATCAAGTTTTGATATATCAGTATATATGACAATGACCAACTGACAAAACCACAAGTAGATATTGTTTAAAAAAATGGTGTTACCATGGTATCAAACAGAATTTGTCAAAAAGTTTCTGTATATTACTCAATATACCAGAAAAGAGTTGAAATAAACATATCTTTATTCCTATTTAATTTCTACCTTTTTCAATTTAATATCATATAAATATTTACATAAGATATATTCTGTAGTGTTTGTGTGATGTGGCACAATTCCTTGAACAGCTTTATGTGATTTACAAATATAGTTTTATTTAATCAATGTTGAATATTGTATTTATATAAAGCCTGTTAGGTCAAGATAAGAAAAAAATGCTTGTTCAGCTGGATTCTTGCTAATTCAAACCTGAAACAACACAAAAAATCATTTGGAAACATCACATTACAACAAAAACAACACATTACATATTATAATATTTTGATAAAACATTTTTTACTTTTGCTGCATCTGTTTAACAGTCCAATTTAAGAATTGATAAGAAATCGGTTTTGGGCTTCCAATCAGTTGAGAGTGATTGTTCTGTCAAACAAAGCCTGATGAATGTAACTTCTTCTGTTGTTTTGTATAGACATATGTAAATGTAAGCAGCAGAAATAATGTTATTTTCTCTTGAGGCTCTGGTAGAATCAAGTTTATTAAAGTGGAAAAGAATTACTAAGTTCACAAGGTCACAAAAGGTCACAAAGGATACGAAACAGATCACCCATGGGACCTTTTTTTATTACTATAAATGCCGTGTAGACTTCACTGTTGTGACCTTTACCAAATATTTTTTAATTTTTGTTTGTTTTTTTTTTTTTTTTTGCAGTTGTACTGTTGATGTACTTTCCGGTGTCTACGGCAGGCTATTTCGTCTATGGAAAATCTCTCGATGACAATATCCTCAACACAGTTTGTACAGATGATTCACACATACACTGCAAAAAAAGCATGACGGTGGCCATCCAGATCCTCATCACTCTTCATCTTATGTTTGGTTTTGTAATCGTGCTGAATCCATTCTGTCAACAAGTGGAATCTGGCCTGTTCAAAGTGAATTCAACAAGTAAATCTAGATTATTTTGTGAACGGTTTTGGTTAAGATTTGAGTTTCAATCTTTCTGTAGGTTGAAGAAACTGATGACATGAATATATCACAAAATCATTCTGCTCAAATTTCAGGAAAATTCCTTGATTTTTAATATGTGTCCTGATTATATATGAATTATCCTAGGTAAAAATTATTAATATGTACAGACTAACAAGGTTCTTCTGTACACACAAACCAAAGTGTCCAGACTAACAAGGTTCTACTGTACACACAAACCAAAGTATCAAGACTAACAAGGTTCTACTTTACACACAAACCAAAGTATCAAGACTAACAAGGTTCTACTTTACACACAAACCAATGTGTCCAGACTAACCAGATTCTATTGTTCACACACACCAAAGTGTCCACACTAACAAGGTTCTACTGTACACACAAACCAAAGTGTTCAGACTAACAAGGTTCTACTGTACACACAAACCAAGTATCCAGACTAACAAGGTTCTACTGTACACACAAACCAAAGTATCCAGACTAACAAGGTTCTACTGTACACACAAACCGAAGTGTCCAGACTAACAAGGTTCTACTTTACACACAAACCAATGTGTCCAGACTAACAAGGTTCTACTGTACACACAAACCGAAGTGTCCAGACTAACAAGGTTCTACTTTACACACAAACCAATGTGTCCACACTAACAAGGTTCTACTTTACACACAAACCAATGTGTCCAGACTAACAAGGTTCTACTGTACACACAAACCAAGTATCCAGACTAACAAGGTTCTACTGTACACACAAACCAAAGTATCCAGACTAACAAGGTTCTACTGTACACACAAACCGAAGTGTCCAGACTAACAAGGTTCTACTGTACACACAAACCAAAGTGTCTAGACTTACATTCCACTGTACACAAATGGTGTTATTGATCATGATGAAAATTGTTGTGTTAGTATAAATATTGATAATATCATTAAGTTTCCGAATTCCAACATTTTTTTCAGGTATCTTAATAACGTTTTTGAAATAAGTAACAAAATGTATATATTTGAGTCTTGAATTTCTTACTTTTCAAAATATGTAGAAATATAGTTTACTTATACGAAGGAAAATTAAAAGCATGCAGATGAGTAATGCTATACAAATTACAAAAAAAAATATCTTAAATATAACTGTGAATATATTTAGTGTTTCAGAACTCTCCACTGTTTTGAATCATTTCAGAGTTTACTTTGAAGAGGGTACTAGTGAGAACAGGCCTTGTTGCTTTGGTGTTGTTCATCGCTGAGACTATTCCACATTTTGGCGCCATTTTATCGCTGGTCGGTGGTTCAACAACAACTCTACTGGCTTATGTTTGTCCCTCAGTATTCTACCTCAAACTGTGTCGCACACCACATGACGAGGAATTGGTAGAGGCAGATGGTAATATGGCTGTCCGACCAGCAAAGCTTCCTGGAACAGAACCTGATGGAACAATGTAAGTAGGAGTGTCTGATTTAGGTTGATTACAATTTCGAATTTTTCCAAAATATTTTAACCATGTCTTGCTGTCATATAAATATTAATATGTGTTCTCATGGCATTTATGGTCTCCATAATAGCGAGACCTTTGCTTGCAAACATCATTTTGCATGCTAGCAATATATAGTGTATTTGCCTGCAAAATTCTGGCATTTACAATGACAATGAATGACAAAACAAAGATATAGTTTAATGTGTATATTTACATTCTCTAACCATACTGTTGTCTTAATTCCGACATTTACAATGACTATGAATGACAAAACAAGATAGTTTAATGTGTATATTTACATTCTCTAACCATACTGTTGTCTTAATTCTGGCATTTATAAGGACCATGAATGACAAAACAAGATAGTTTAATGTGTATATTTACATTCTCTAACCATACTGTTGTCTTAATTCTGACATTTACAATGACTATGAATGACAAAATAAGATAGTTTAATGTGTATATTTACATTCTCTAACCATACTGTTGTTTTAATTCTGGCATTTACAATGACCATGAATGACAAAACAAGATAGTTTAATGTGTATATTTACATTCTCTAACCATACTGTTGTTTTAATTCTGGCATTTATAAGGACCATGAATGCCAAAACAGATTAGTGCAATTCATATATTTGCATTCTCTAACAATTCTGTTGTCTTATATAGTAGATGTTATCTATCTGCTGTTTCTGTGCCAACAATACTGAGTTAAGGCCCTTGATCAGAAAAAAAAATATAAAATTTATTATTATCAGAGTAAATGCTCATTTTACTGGGGCATAATTTGCAAATTGAACAGAAATTCCGTAAGCAGCACCAAGTCGGACATTGATTAACTTTGGTTGATGAATATTTACCTCAGTAAGTTAAAAACACAAATAACTTTTTATTTCTAATGGGTTGTATAAAATGTAGGTAAGTGTGTTCATATTACATGAAAACAATTTTTTTATTTTCGGCGTAGAAGTAAATCACATCAGGTGAAGAGGTGCGATTCCTAGACTTATTGTTGTTGACTGGTTTTGCCCTCTCTGGCTTCTTAGGTTGATGTAAAAAAGTGTGTCCTGAAGAAGCCCAAGAAGGCTAAACGGGTCAACAACATTATATCTAGGAACCAAGCCTTTTTGCCTATTGCGATTTACCTCTAAGTCTTTCATATTTCTTATTTAGCTTTCAATCACTCTGCATACTTTTGAGTATGCAAACAGCGGGGTCTAGGAACCTATTATCCTACATGTTTACCCTGTGTTGGCTCTGTCTTACCCCTTGTTTAGTTTTCCATACTATAATTTGTCCTTTATTTCAGAATCATTCCTCTGTGGGAAAAGGTCCTGAATTATGAGATAATAGCGATTGGACTGACTGCCGGGGTGGCATCAACTGTCTCAGCAGTGATTGGAATCGTCCAACCAGACACATTCACCGTACCTTGCTATGCGAAGTAATAACTTATAAATATTAAAATGTTGCCACAAATCAGACCACTCAAAGCACTGAATCAATGCTGAAGAATAAAGTTTTGATTTTTAAATACAGAACTAGCATTGACAAGGGAGAATCTGACTGAATGAAGATGACTATACTGCTGAAAAGATCAACTACATGTATGACTGAAGAAATTTAAGCTCATAATTGTTCCAAGTATTGTCAGCTTAAACTAATTCATCTTAATATTGATATGGTATAGGAAGTTTTCTTGATTGATATATCGCAGTAAAAAAAATTATCCTTCATTTTTGTATTTCAAAATATCCTTTTGATAGCAAGAAATTATTTAGAAATTTGAGTTTATGAAACAATGGTTTATGTTAGCAGTATGCATGAATTATCCACAAATTTATACGTCGATTTACATGATAAATAGACACAAATCGACATGGATAATAGTATTAGTGAATGCTGAGATCAAGATTTAGCCATTAAATCAAGTGGCAAGGAAGATAAATATTTTGAAAAAAATAAAAATTTGAACCCCAAGTGGATAGCTTATGAAAGTGTTGTTTGCTGTGTCATTCTACCATCAGGATATTCACCCTTTAATATTTATCTACTTGACCCTGTAATACAGAATTTTTGTTATTCAAATTGTTGTTTTCTCTATCAAAAATTCATCACTCATCTAAGTAAAGGATTTCATTTATCACACCACTTTTTTTTTTTTTTTTTTTAGGCACATTTTGCACTTTTTATGTCAAATACAGTATATATTTATTGTAATACATCTTCTTTATATTTGATCAATTAAAAAAAAATTTACACCTTAACCCTATTTAATTTAACACATTGTGTGTGACATAATGAAAATTAAATTAAATAGGGTTAAGGTGTAAGGTGTACATTATTTTAATAGCTAATGTAGAGCTATTTCAGATGATGTAATGACTGTGTTGAATCACCTGATAGTATATTGACCAATAAGAAACAAGAATACAAGGATGTTGTATCAGATAATACATGTTTGACCAATAAGAAACAAGAATACAACGATGTTGTATCAGATAATACATGTTTGTCCCACAGGTGTTTAGTGATTGTGGTCAATATAAACAAGAAAATGTCGGATAAGACAGGATGTCAGAATACACAGGAATTCAGTTAGAGAGGTTTCACTGCCAACAAACAGTGGTAATCTTACTGAAAACATCCTGTAATATGTCCAGGGGCCAACACATTACTTCTGACTCAAAGTCAGGGAGTGGGCTTATTACAGGACAATGACAGCTTATAGTTGCATAAAAATACATACAGTATTTTTTAGTATGTTTTGTGCTGTACCAGTAGGTGTTATTTTGAATTGTGATTACATAAAGTCCATTTTGTGTTTTTTATCTAATTCATTGTGGAAGTTTGTATACACTCATCAATGTGCCAATCTTTTAAAATTTAATGAGCAATAATTTGATAAAAATTTGTAATCCTGTGTTCTTGTGATTTCATGTTTAGAAGGATTACAGAGGAGTGCAATTCTAAAAAGAGAAAGAGATTATTTACAGTGAAATTACAAGTACTTTTATCTGTGATGTTTTAGAAATTTTATTGATTTAAAGAAATTTGACATTTATTCCCAATATTGATTGATAATTGTGATGTGTGCAATGATAGAGGATATAAGATATATACCACTTCAGTTTTTAAAACTATTTTATCAATGTTACTTTGAGAATGTTGTATTTTACTTACCAATAGATACATGAACAATGTTGAAATATTCTATTATTTTTACATATTTTATCGTTTCATGTTAAATGTTCGATTTCATGTCATTTTTAATATTTTCATTACTGTTGTCCATAATAAAAATGCAATCTGCTTAATATTTTATCCAAAATTTAAATTTAGAAAAATTGTTTAGAGAAATCCGTACAGGTATCTATTATATCCACAATTATGTTTTTTGTGGATTTTTGAATTATTTTTTCAGCTTACAATAATTTTGATAAACCTGCATACGAAGGGCAGGCTTAGCATTTATTTCAAAATTAGAAATTATTTACACCATAGTACAGGACTCTGCAACACACATACATTCATTCATAGAGATCAAATTATTAAAAAATTCACATATACATATATATTTTTTGGGGGAGGGGTTTGAAATCTACATTGCATGAAATATATAAATAGTGTCAATAAATATTGAAATATTATTCTTTCAAATACAAATTCCTAAAATTTATAAGATATATGCTGCAGGAATGAGTAAGAGAAAATAAAGTGCTTAAGATAAATAGCCCAGTAAAATTATTTACATTAAATATAGTAATATTATATTAATTATATATAATATATGTAATTTATATCATATTTACGTGACAGACATATACATACCAATCTTTATATCTTTTTTTGAAAATGTAGATTTTCTTCAATTTTATTTAAGTTATTTTACACTTTACTCAGTGATTGAGCTCTGTTCTACTGAAATATTTCTTTCTTTGCTATTTTAACACATGTTCTAGTGTTTGTATGTGTAATATTTTTTTCTCCTGTTCCTCAGACCTCCTACATCAACCTGCAAACTTTTGTTACAAACATATGTTTGGAAGAACTCTGAACACCTTTCTACCATTTGTAAATATTCAGGGACTAAATATATAATGATTTCTTGAACAATTCGAAATTAGCTTGCATGGCCAGATAGAACTAGAGACCATAGAATACTTGATCATCTTTACCTCCCATCAATTACATGTAGCTTGAAAGAGAAGACAATGAAATACACGTTTGTTTTGTTGTCTAATTTCTGTTCATCACACTGTAAACAATTCTCAATTCCTGACAATATCAGATTTATCATATATGTTTATTTTTTGGTGAGAAAATGACATATCTTTCATGAAATCAAGTTCGTGTGGGTTTTTTTTTCATTTTGAATGTGAATACTTTATAAAAAGTATGAGCTGATTATCAAATAGTATTCAGTAGAACCATGGATGTGTAATAGAATCACATTATACACCCCTGATTGGAGTTAACAATATTATATTTTTTTCAGATTAGATACAGCAAAATTTGTTTTGTGCAATAATTCTTTATTGATGCTCAATAAATGTATCTTTTCAAGTGTTTCTCTTGGTGTTTTCAGTTACAAGACAAAAACAGTGACATTAAATTCACCTGCACAACACTAAGCCAGTCCTAGTCTCATGCTGATGAAGCTTCTAGGATCATAGTACATCTGATGTGTGAGAAGAGTGCCACATACTTTAGAACATGTTATTGTTTGTTTGAATTACAAATGGCATATACATCTTGTAAGAAATCAACAACAGAAATTTTAATCTCTGTTGTTTCAGATAAATATTATGGAGTAAGTGTTGTTTTAGGTACACATCACAGAGTTAACAATGTATGAGTCACCTGTTGTTTGAGGTACACATCACTGTATCTGTGTCACCTGTTGTTTGAGGTACACATCACTGTGTCTGTGTCACCTGTTGTTTGAGGTACACATCACAGTGTCTGTGTCACCTGTTGTTTGAGGTACACATCACAGTGTCTGTGTCACCTGTTGTTTGAGGTACATGTAACAATGTCTGTGTCACCTGTTGTTTGAGGTACACATCACAGTGTCTGTGTCACCTGTTATTTGAAGTACACATCACAGTGTCTGTGTCACCTGTTGTTTATAGTACATATCACAATGTCTATGTCACCTGTTGTTTGAGGTACACATCACAGTGTCTGTCACGTGTTGTTTGAGGTACACATCACAGTGTCTGTGTCACCTGTTATTTGAAGTACACATCACAGTGTCTGTGTCACCTGTTGTTTATAGTACATATCACAATGTCTATGTCACCTGTTGTTTGAGGTACACATCACAGTGTCTGTGTCACCTGTAGTATGAGGTACACATCACAGTGTCTGTATCACCTATTCTTTGAGGTACACATCACAGTGTCTGTGTCACCTGTTGTTTGAGGTACACATCATAGTGTCTGTATCACCTGTAGTTTGAGGTACACATCACAGTGTCTGTGTCACCTGTTGTTTGAGGTACACATCACAGTGTCTGTATCACCTATTCTTTGAGGTACACATCAGAGTGTCTGTGTCACCTGTTGTTTTAGGTACACATCATAGTGTCTGTGTCACCTGTTGTTTGAGGTACAGGAAACAATGTCTGTGTCACCTGTTGTTTGAGATACACATCACAGTGTCTGTGTCACCTGTTGTTTGAAGTACACATCACAGTGTCTGTGTCACCTGTTGTTTGATGTACACATCACAATGTCTATGTCACCTGTTGTTTGAGGTACACATCACAGTGTCTGTGTCACCTGTTATTTGAGGTACACATCACAGTGTCTGTGTCACCTGTTGTTTGAGGTACACATCACAGTGTCTGTGTCACCTGTTGTTTGAGGTACACATCACAGTGTCTGTATCACCTGTTGTTTGAGGTACACATCACAGTGTCTATATCACCTGTTGTTTGACGTACACATCACAGTGTCTGTGTCACCTGTTGTTTGAGGTACACATCACAGTGTCTGTGTCACCTGTTGTTTGAGGTACACATCACAGTGTCTGTGTCACCTGTTGTTTGAGGTACACATCACAGTGTCTGTGTCACCTGTTGTTTGAGGTACACATCACAGTGTCTGTGTGTCACCTGTCTGTGTCACCTGTTGTTTGAGGTACACATCATAGTGTCTGTGTCACCTGTTGTTTGAGGTACATGTAACAATGTCTGTCTCACTTGTTGTTTGAGATACACATCACAGTGTCTGTGTCACCTGTTATTTGAAGTACACATCACAGTGTCTGTGTCACCTGTTATGTGAGGTACACATCACAGAATCTGCCACCTGTTGTTTGAGGTACACCTCATAGTGTCGGTATCACCTGTTGTTTGATGTACACATCACAGTGTCTGTGTCACCTGTTGTTTGAGGTACACATCATAGTATCTGTGTCACCTGTTATTTATAGTACATATCACAGTATCTGTCACCTGTTATTTGAGGTACACATCACAGTGTCTGCGTCACCTGTTATTTGAAGTACACATCACAGTGTCTGCGTCACCTGTTATTTGAGGTACACATCATAGTGTCTGTCACCTGTTGTTTGATGTAAACATCACAGTGTCTATTTCACCTGTTGTTTGAGGTACACATCACAGTGTCTGTGTCACCTGTTATTTGAAGTACACATCACAGTGTCTGTCACCTGTTGTTTGATGTACACATCACAGTATCTGTCACCTGTTGTTTGAGGTACACATCACAGTGTCTGTCTTCTGTTGTTTATAGTACATATCGCAGTGTCTGTGTCACCTGTTATTTGAGGTACACATCACAGTGTCTGTGTCACCTGTTGTTTATAGTACATATCACAGTGTCTGTGTCACCTGTTATGTGAGGTACACATCACAGAATCTGCCACCTGTTGTTTGAGGTACACCTCATAGTGTCGGTATCACCTGTTGTTTGAGGTACACATCAGTGTCTATTTCACCTGTTGTTTGAGGTACACATCACAGTGTCTGTGTCACCTGTTATTTGAGGTACACATCACAGTGTCTGTGTCACCTGTTGTTTGAGGTACACATCACAGTATTTGTGTCACTTGTAGTTTGAGGTACACATCACAGTGTCTATTTCACCTGTTGTTTGGGGTACACATCACAGTGTCTGTGTCACCTGTTATTTGAGGTACACATCACAGTGTTTGTGTCACCTGTTGTTTGAGGTACACATCACAGTATTTGTGTCACTTGTAGTTTGAGGTACACATCACAGTGTCTATATCACCTGTTGTTTGAGGTACACATCACAGTGTCTGTGTCACCTGTTGTTTGAGGTACACATCACAGAGTCTGTATCACCTGTTGTTTGAGGTACACATCACATAATACATCACCTTTTAGTGGCTACACTGCACGTGTTGTATAGAGTACAGCTCACAGAGATAATTGCTCACTTGTTATAAGAAATGAACATTTTTCGTTATGGGTTATTTCAGATAAACAACACAGACCGTGTTATGTTTTGTTTCAGGTACACAATACAGGGATTGGAACCTATGGTTTGGGTTACACATCATAGTGTTTGTGTCACCTATTGTTCCGTGTTTATTACAGAATTTCCGACAACTGTTTTTTCAGTTACCCAACACAGATTTTCTGTCACGTTTTGTTTGGTGTACATATCAAAGACATTGTCCCACCTGATGTTTAGAGTATTGCTTGAGATACTTAACGTAAGGTTTCTCGAGTCTGTTGTTTTGAAAACACAAGACAGTTTGCATCAAATGTTGTTAGGGGGTATACAACACAGTTTGTGTTACATGTCGTTTTGGGGACGCAACAAAAAGTTTTGTTCTGGGTACGCAAAAAATATGGCATCAGTTTTTCGGGGAACAAAACAGTGTCACTGGTTGTTTGCTTTTGGGTAGATGAAACTAAGTTTCTAACGCGTGTAGCTTGCGTCAGTCGTTGTTTGGGGTACACAATACAGGTCGTCGCCCTAGAATCAAAATGTTCTAAGTCCACTTTTTGAAAAAAATGACTTATTGGTACCGTTGGATTCGGAATTATATGTTCTATCTCCCTATATCATTCATGTTTATCAACTGTCGTTGATTTTTAAAATATTTGCAATGCAATTTTGTTCTATATCCATCCAAGCACTTTTCTTTAGAGTAGAAACGTTCTAAATCCATCCACCAATCGGTATTGGCCATATGAGTCACTTGGTATATGATGGTGCAATGGATGCAGAGAAAACTATGCTGAGGAGGTAGGTGCATTTGCATGCCAAATATCATTGGTTTGTTTAATTAATTGTATTTTAGAAAACTGAGTGTTGTGTGGTATATATTGAATTAACTAAAACTACGACACTTAGGTGTGTGAAAGGAAAACAACTGTCCGTCATCTATAATAGAGAAATCGTTATGATCAATCAAACTTGACAAAATCATGTAAACATTGTCAAGTTTGAGACAGCACGGACACTCGAACAATTAAAGAATGACGATTGGTTCCCAGAAAAAAAACTCGTCCTGTTTTGGTCATGCATCCGCCGTGCAGTCTCAAAAACTCAACCACTTAACTCTTAACATATATGTTCTATGTCCAAGCACAATTTGATTTTAAAACATTTTGAAAAAAATTCAGAACTTAAATGTTCTATCTCCAAATTTGAAATGTCTATTTTACCACGTTTAAATTGTTTTCAGACATCCAAATGATACAATTAATCATTTTTTGATTAAAAATGAGCATATACGTAAAGGTAAAACAATGGCTCTAAAAACAACGCATGATCACATGTCCTGAATATTCAACTTTGATTTTCTCGAAACAGAGTTGTGGGTCTTTAGAACATTTTGATTCTAGGGCGACGAGTTCTCATCACGTTTTTCTAGGTTTAATCACCTGTTGCTTTGGGTATACAGAACAGGCGGTGTGTTCCGTGTTGATTGGGGGACATGTACACAACAGTTTGATTCATCATCATCATCATCATCATCATCATCATCATCATCATCATCATCATGTTATTCCTCATCATCATCATCATCATCATCATCATCACCATCACCATCACCGTCAGCATCATCACCATCATCATCATCATCATCATCATCACCGTCAGCATCATCATCATCGTCGTCGTCATCATATTTCTTTTCTTAGTGATCGATGTATCTCGATTACACCTCTCTTGGTTTGAACAGCATTTAGATTTTAGTTTTTTTTCTCTTTTATCCTTGGTATGGAGTTCTAACTTCTAAATCTAAAAGTCACACTTTAGCCCATCAATAATACATACATATATACACTTGTAATCAGTACACGAAGACTGCGTGCGAGTTAACTTAAGTCCTTACATCGAGAAATATATAATTTGTGCGTGATTGTATATGTTTCTGTATGACGATTTTGTTATCAAGTACAAAGAAAAAGTTCTAAATTATGTTAAACTGTTTATTATATAATGTTACATCATCCGCTCTATCACTCAGCCCGAGTCTCACCCCATTCACCCTTCAATCTGAGCCAGGCAAACATGTACATTTGTATACGGTATCTGGGTAGTTAAGTGTACAAAGTTAATATGTCGTAAATCCATCGCTAGCGCAATATGGACTTTTTTCTCTTATTTGTTCTTTATTAATCACTTTATTTAATTATCTTTTCCTCCTTTTATCGAGGTTTTTACTCCTAAGATAATTTATTATCACTTATCTATTTTTAAAATCAATTTCATCTACTCTTTGCGTGTATTTTCTCCTTACATTTGGTGAAAAAATATGCATAATAAAACAACCCTTTTTCTGCCACTGTCGAGTCTCGAACCCTCCAACTTGGGTATGTTTTTTATCAGTTGTAGGGTGTGTTTTCATGGTGTGTACACGTATTAATCATAGGCTAACTCTTCGGGTTAACGATATGCAGCTTCTTAAAGCGTTGCTTCAGTTCATACTCATCGTGTCATACTCGGCTAACTCATTGATTCGTCAAGTAATTAATAATTGGATCAAAACCCAACACAAAAGCATTGTTTAGTCATACTGTTCTATTAATAGATACACGTTATCAACGACTCGACTCCATGACGATGTCAGCATTACGCAAGTCCAAACTACACGGCTGACGTCACCCCTAACTTGGTCCGATGACTACATAGCGGCCGGATGTCGACAGCTTGTGGGCGAGTCCACTATTGCAATGGGTAACCGTGAAGTTAAATCTGTCGGTTTACTTTCGGTTTTGGACTGACTGATCATCACACATTTCACGTTTTCAACGCACCTGAAGAGAAAAACGTGGATGGCATTAGTTATGCTGAAACTGGCTTTATTAGATACTTCTGTTACGTAAGGCGGGATATGACAATGTTTTGTAGATCCCTTTGTTTGACCTCACGCTAACGGTGACGTCACAGGGAAATAGAAAACACGAATTGACTTGGCGAAGGCAGGTGCCCGTTTGCGTTGTTTTTGACGCCTATATTATTCAGGAAGATGGATCAACCTCGGGTTGATTCGGATGACGATGACAGTGTCATGGGGACCGAACACGACCCTGAAGTGGTAACTGCCATACTCTATTTGAAAGAATACGCGGTCACGAAAGGTCTCAGTGTACACAGCATTTCTCAAATGCCACCGGAACAATTAGCTGACTACCTTAAGGATTTCTACACCACGGTAAAATTCAAGGGTATTGAAGTAAAAGATGTCGTTTCTACCCCAGTGGTATCTTTAAAGTACCTTCGAAACGGTTTGCACAGGTATTTTCAAAAACATTACGATGTTGACATTTTGAAAGATGCGTGTTTTGAACATGCAAACAAAGTATTTGATGTCACCTCACGTGCGTTACCAAGGCGCTGTAACAAATTTAGGATTGAATTTGACGATTTGAGAAAGATTTACATGGGACCAGGGATGAGCTTGGACCAGCCTGATACTTTACAAAACAAGATTTTCTTTGACATTAATCTCTACATTTGCAACAGAGGTAAAGATTTCCTACGAGTTATGGCAAAAGACGATTTTGTCATCTCCACAGATGCTGATGGGCGACGCTATGTGTGGTTGAAATACCATCCCAAGTTCAGTACCAGAGAGTTGTTGGCTATGGGCGGAGTAGGAGAACAGGACCTCACCAACAACGGCACACAAATAGGGGACAAAATGTTTGAAAGAAAAGGTAACTTGAAATTTGGACTATGGTTTTTTGTTTCATGTACAAAAAATAATTTAATTTCTTATCAAACAAAACCTAACATTTTTTCCAAAGAAATGTACTATTAAGATAATTCAGTGATACATTTGGTAGTTGGCAACAAAGAATGACAGTCCTGATGATTGATAACAGAGAGCTACAGCCTCCTGTTGAGTCAACTTTTTAATAGGCAAGCTGCAGCTGGATAATATAGCTGTGAGCGATGCCATAAAAAATGAATAAAATGTACAACGAACTGCTGATATCAAAGAAGAGCTTAAGTAATATTTTCTTAATGCTCCTAGCAAAATTGCTAATATCATATCTATTTTATTAATTCAGAACTGTCATTCTTTCTTTAATTTTGCATTATTACAAAAAAATAAATACACCTATTGACCCTCTGACAGCAGTTAAATTTTTTAAATAACCAAAGACTACTGCATGGAAGTCCATATTTACAATGAAAAAATGTATTACATAATATGATTGTGTATATTTTTCTTTTGTTTGACATTTCTTATATCAAATTTTGAATGAAGCAAATTAGTCTTTGAAAATAAATTAAAAATAAAAAACAAATAAAGTCTGTCGCAAAAACATCACAACAAACTTTATTTCTGTAGATTCAACTTGAGTAGTATTTTGAGTGGGAATAAATATATGAATTAAAACAGTGAAATAAATTTTGAAATCAAATAACTATTAACATTTTCATTGATTTTAAATTGAAGTTGATTATATTAAATGTTGATAATTTATTTATCATTTTAAGGTGATCCAAGATGTCCTGTGACATCATTCCTAGCATACTTGTCACACCTCCACCCGATGACGGAAGCGTTTTGGCAGCGTCCAAAACGAAGTTTCGTATACGATGACTATGTTTGGTTTGACAATACCCCTCTGGGAAATAGTACCTTGAGCAAAATTATGACACGCATTTGTCAATCTGCGGGTCTGTTCGAAAATTTCACAAACCATGCAATAAAAAGTTCCTACATTCCTATTATTGAAAACTTATGCAAAATGGCAAATAAGAAGGCTATGCATGCAGAGTTCAAAGACTCTGGATCAGTTCCGTCTCCTTTGGCGACTTGTAGCCAGGGAATCAGAGATATGGACGATGGGATGACTGACTCCGGGTCTGTGTGTTCTGATGCCAAGGAACCTGAATCGGATGAACATGTTCTTGGTGAGTTTCTGACATTGGATAGATCTGACACAATTTTTTTAAAACATTGTCCATGTTTTTAATGAATTTGTTACCTTTTTTTATGTATCAATGAAAATGCATGATGGAAAAATTCACACGTACATGTCATTGCTGTTACCCAGAATGAAATACACAAATTAATATTAAATAATTCATGTATGTGTGAAGTTAAGTATGTAAATTTTAAAACCATGCATTCCCACTTCCTCACTTTATAAGTCTGGAATTTCTGTAAACATGTAAACTTGTAAAGTATGAATGATGAAATTTTATCTAATCCCCTAAAACACCGGAGAATTTTAAGCTTGTGATGACACCTAAAGAATTATGGGATAAGAACCATAATTATTACATATGATTTTTTGATTACAGTACTGTAATTAAATGGTGCATTAAGAGCACTCACCATGACATCAAGAAATTATACATGAGAATAACTGTTATTTTCACCAAAGAGTTTTAATTCTGATGGGTCAGATATTTGTGCTCCGAAATATTTTAAGTTTTATTTCATAATTGAAGAAATCAATATATTTATATCATATGCCCATTTGGTATTTTGTATATTAAATCTCTTGAACCTTATTAAGCCAAAGAGTTTTAAACATCATCCATATTTGAGTTTGTAGCAATTCTAAAGTAGCTTTTAAAATAGCAAAAAAAAATCTGAAATTCTAAAAATGATAATTAACTGATTTTGATGACTTATTATAGTTATGTGTATTCATATTACTATTCATATAATATAACATGCTTGAATTATAAGTTTGATAGATTGAATATTTTTTTAATAATTTTCAAAACATACTTGGTGACCTTATTTGTTGGACAACATTTTCTCCATGAAAAAATGTTTGGTATTCTAACTAAGTTGTCTACCTTTGATTGTTATAAAATAGATTTATTTTCATTTTGTATGTGTCATTTTGAGAGAACAAAAAATCGCATAAAATATGATGTGTTGTATGTGTTTTAAAATTTGCATCATCAGATGATATGTTTTCCAGTCTGCGATAGTAATAAATGATGAAAAAATTAGAAGTTGGTGTGTCAGAATTGTGAATATAAATATCAGCTGTATATGTCAATTTCAGAGATATATACATATGATTTTGGAGAGTGTTATTGAACAAAGTACACAGCATTAGCAAACAGCATTAGCAATGTCATTGCTTTACAATAGTAGAAAAGATATTAAATAGAAGATATTATAAAGTAAAATTTGGAAATATTGCACTACATGTTAAGTGTGCAAATCAAATTTTAGATGAAAGCAGGAGGTTTTGTAGTGTATACACGATATGTTGATTTTTTGAACAGATATTTTTTTCATATAATTGTATATTAAACAGGTCTACAACAGGCAAAGATGAAGGTGCTGGAGATGGTAAATGGATTAGAAGTGAAGGATATCCGATCTTTTGTCGATTGGATGAAAACTTTTCGTGCAGAGATGGATGGTGGAGGTTGGTTGCACATTAATCAAAACTTCCATAGTAACAGTCTGACAAGTATTCGACCAGTGATAAATATTGACATTCCAGTGTTGGTAAATTTAATTCCAGAGTACTCAAGGGAGTGTAATGATATGTCAACGTCTTCAATAAGTTTTCAAATTTTGTTGAACTTTTCAAAAACTTTCTAAAACAAATAGTGTATTCCCACTTCTTCACTTTGTAAGTTTTTGAAATTTCTGTAAACATGTAATTTTTCAAAGTGGGAATGATGAAATTTTATCCATTCCCCAAAAACAGGCAAGAATTTATAGCTCGTGATGATACCTACAGAATTACGGGATATGAAACATAATTATTACATTTGATTTTGTGATTACAGTACTGTCATTGAATGGCACATTCAGCGCACTCTACTTCACAACAGAGCATTTCACAAGAAATGATATATGATATCGCCTGTTCATTTTCTCCTAAGAGTTTTAGTTCTGATGGATCAAATATTTGTGCCCCAAAATATTTAATATTTTTCCCCAGCAAAAAGAATCATTTCTAACCACCCTTAATCCTCAAATACTACAGAAAATAATAAAGTATGCTTTTATGTAAGAAGCAAGAATGTAAGGGAAAATATGGGACTCCTTTCGTTGAGGCGTACATGTATTATACTGCTTGGCTAACGGGATATTTCCACGATGTCTGAGATTAAGTATGGTAACATATACTCATACTCTCAACTTTTAACATTTGAATGAAAATTTGCATATTACTATAGATATTGAATACAAATTTGTATACTAAGTAAAATTTGCATATTACTGTAGATATTGAATACAAATTTGTATACTAAGTAAAATTTGGCAGAATGATATCAGTATAACTTGTGCTGTTTTAGACTTGAATTCTGGCTCCATTGACCGAATGCCATTGTACATATCACTCTGTGTTTCCTTCATATTGAATAAGAAAAGAATTATTGAAAGTCCGTTAATATCTCTGTTTTATTGATGTTCCTTCAAAAGCAAATGGATAGTTTACTTCTGATCTTTCCTGAAAGAATTGCCAGATACTATTTGGTATAAAACATGCTCTAGAATTTGTTTTATGTTTTTGAAAAACTGGAAGCATTCTGACTTTATTTCATAAATTATGCTATTTGTAAATTTGTGTTTTTCCAGGTTTGGTTGTGTTGTGTAGCCCAGTAGGTCAAGCTTTACAGGAGACTGACTCGAAGACAACAAAGGGAAATAACTCATCTAAGTTGTCTAATGGTAGTGGAAGCCAAAGTGGGTCTCCATCTAGCACACCTCCTGTCCACAGACAGCGAGAAACTTCTCCAGCACCACTCTCAAATCGCAGACTTGATGTTTGTCGCTCCTCCAAAGATGCAAAACAGGAGGCTGCCGACTTAGGTATCGCCATAAAACAATTGGACTTTGATTGTGTCAGGGAAACCCATGTGTCCACACCTGAAATTTACCCTGTCAAAGTGACCATTCCATGTTCGGACACTGTCCTGATCAATGGACTTCGAGACAGCGATCAAATCCTTATTCATAACAGAGAAAGTGCACCTCTTATGTCTGAAGCAATACATTCACGTATATTTTATTCTGAACATGAAATGGACGTTGCTGTTATCACTGCACTTCTTGGCACAAGGAACAGTCTTAAGAAAGGTGGCCAAATTTCTTCAGTAGGATGTGAAAAGTCTGAAAACTGTTCCAAAATTCAAGATAAATACAAGCCAATGAAAAAAAGAAGTTTGTCTGATCTACATGCGGACAATTCTAGAGAAGATATTGAACCCCAACCAAACAAAAAACTGTTAATCGCTGGTAGTCAGACAACAGCTAGCTTGCCTCTATCTCGAGTCTCGGCCAACACCAGCAGTTATCCTCCAGTGATTTCTAATGTTCCGGTTTTACTCAGTCACACAGCCAGAGGAATAGGTATCCCACAGACACAGAGGGATGGCAGACAGGTGTCTCTGTTACCAAATAAAATTGCAAACAGCATAAAAATAAAGACCGAGCCGGTTGATAAATAACTGTTGATCCCCTCATTGTTTTGTATCAGTTTTATATGTTGTATTTATGTATTGATAACGGTTTGAATGTTGTTAATAAAAAATAAGAAATTATATTTTAAAGACATTTTTTTATGAATTGTTTCCAATATGGCTATCAAACCCACTGGAAGATGATGGGAAAACGATTTGTCTCCTGTTGTGTCATCCTCTGCTTGGTTGAAGAAAAATGATTGCTCTTTAAGTCTGCACCATGAGGTCAAAGTTCATGGTCATTGTCACTATAAATAGAAAATGGATTTTTAACAATATCACAAGTTATGCTGGTCATTTCCACTCGGACTTCATAAAGTATTTCCTAGAAAGAAATAGTTGCTTGTGATTGGTTTTCAGGAATGCATTTTAGTATTTATAAACCTGTTACCAGCTTTTCCTTCTTGGTATCACCATGACTAACTTCGATATTTATCTGATTAACATCCAGCACTTTTTGTGGAGTCTTGTATATATAATTGTTATAAGCCAGTATAGGTTGGAGAAAATATACATCCATCAGTCATTCTTTAATTTGAAATAATATGATTTGACTTTATATAGAAGAGTTAATGCCCTTTATTTGTTTCATAATGTCAATCTTGTCCACAGATCTCCTTCCTCAGTTTTGAATATTTTTGTCTTCCTTTATGGCATGATGTTTTAGTATTTTTGTCTTGTCCTGATATCTCCTTCATTTTTTCATCAATTTCTTTGAGAATTTGTAGGCTTTAAAATCACAGTGTGAACAACCCTTTGATTCATCAATACTTTAAAATGTTATTGTTTGTGTTTTTGTTTTTTTTTTTGTTTTTTTTGTTTTGCTTTTTTTAATGTTGTCCAGAGATTTCTCTGTTTGAAATGTGGTATATTTCTATTTTCCAACTTGACCTTTGACCTGTTGTTCCCATTTCCACATAAGTATTCTTTTTGTGAGATGAATCACAAATATTTGCTATGGGGCAAGGGTATATTGTACTGCGCCACAGGACTCTTTCATTTTTTTTCAATCATGGCTTTAATTTGAAAAGTTAAGTTGATGTGACATGAGAAAATACTAGATTTAATGTGACTGGATATTGGGAAGGATTATGATTGGAAAAAAATAACTACAATTAAAAAAACACAAAGCATGCTTTAATGTATATATAAATATCATGTGGGTCATTTACAATATTTCTGTATTTCCAACAAATGAATACATTCTTATGCTTGATACAATGGGGCATGACTGTTAGTTATCATCAATTGGTAAGATTTAAATTCTCCTATCTGATCAACACAAATGAAATAAATTCTTAAAACTACTGTAGCCTTAACCAAAATATCAGTTGGTGAATCCAAATCATTATATCAGTAAATATCTGTTGTATAATGTAAATCATATGGAGTAAGATTCTTGTACTAAAATGATTTTATAGAACAAGACAGGCTGTCAGAATACACAAGTATGATTTGTCGTTTTTCATTAGAAAAGAATATCTCAAATATCTGAACACAGAACCCCTTTAATTGCCATCTGGACCTCAAATCTATTGAGTTATCTTCCCTTGCTTCTTAAAAATTGCTGTTGGATATATCGTTGACAAGGAATCTTGCATTATTTTTTAAAAATGAGGTATGTCGCAGAATTTGTTTTTACACTGTACTCCATAGATTTAGTGTATATTCAAGTGAGGACTGTGTTGTATAGTCTTACGACTTCTATTACTGCTAGTTAAAATCCAAATCCAATTACCACAAAAAATGTACAGAACGTATACCTGATGCAAAGTACATGGAACTCTCTGGTAAAGGAGGTATTTACATGCATGCCTCACTACGATCTCGTTTCAACCTTTTAAGGGTGTATGCTATATGCAACATTATAGTAATCCTTTCATTGTACATGAGAAGTACACTACAGTAGCCTTACTCTTAACAATGTCACGACTCACAGAGTCGACAATAAGGCCAACCCCCTTGCGTCATCTGTACATGAGCTTCGTCGGTTAAATTATGAGCCGATAAACTATTCAAACAACCAATAGTGGGATTTTCCCAAACGATTTTTTCTCTTTTTCTTTTTCTCTGCATTATCAATCTTTTCCAGCTGATATTGATAATGTTTTGACGTCATTGAAATTTCATGATGTCACAAACGGCTCCAACGGCATTTGTCGTCTAAAACGTTTGTAACTTGCCATTTTATTCGCATTTACGAAGGGGATCATCAGAAAGTGTCATATGTACACACCGATATCTGTAATAGGTATATATTGATGAACACAATTAAGTTCTGTGCTGATATATTTACAAGAAACCAATTTAATTTGTGACTGTTCCCTTCTCAAATTTAAATACCATACACCGTGATACCGGAAATCCGAAAAAAACGGTGGTTTCATACATTTACAAATGTCAGACTTCAGTTTCCAAACCGTTTTATCTGCAAATTGTTACCTACAGACAAAGAGAGGGAATTAAAAATTTTGTAAAATTAGGAATTCGTGCAACCCTTATTTGGTAAGACTGTAAGCAGCCATTTCTTGTTGAAATGAAAATGTATAACATAATTCATCTCAAGTAGTCTGTCTTTTGTTTAACTATTCGCATTCGGCGATTTTTTTTTTTTCAAAATTCCACAAGATCTTTCAGAAATCATCCGTTATTTGTTGTCACATCGCTGATCTAAAAAGGAAGAAGAAAATGTATCGTTATATTGCTGTATAAATAATTCTCAACGAATTCAATGATTAGCAATTAGTAGGCACGGCAAAATAGTTATATCATCGTCATCGAAACAGACCACTTCTCCCATAACTATGAAAATCGTGGTATTTTTTTTTCCATTTCTAGATAGCAATACTCCTTCTTCCTCAGTCTATGATGTTTCGAAGGGGCCCCTTCCACACAATGTACAATATCAACCAAATGTGGGTAAAAGGGGGAAGGCAAGTCCTCTCGTCCGTCTGAGTGTCGAGAGAGGGACGGGATCCGCGTCATGCCACGCTTTATTATATTATTGAAATACATGGTAAACAAACCCATCGTTTAAAGCTTATTGTTTGGATTGACCAACAATTTCATTACGGGTGTCTTCGATGAGGTTGAAAAAAGCGTACCATTCCTGAACATCTGGTCTTAGTGTGCTTGTACTTTTTCATTGATTTTGAGTTTGAAATCAGATTTTGTTACCATATGGAGAGATTTTGTTATCATTTCGAGATTCTTTGGCACTTTTCACCATCCTACCCTTACCTGCTTGCTGTAGACGGGGATAAAGATGACTCCAGAATCTACACTCACGCCGTCGGTTGTGAGATCCTGTCTTTATGAAGTGACCACAGTCCAAAACAATATAACGGTCCTCCCCTGGCCGGTACTCCGGCCATTCTGATACGGTCACTCCGAGGTCGGTATTCATGGGATTAGGGTTCCTACACAAAATAAATCAGGATTTATTCAGACTAAAGTTATGTCGACCTTGACATAGAATAATTATACATACACAATGATATTAATCAATCGAGTCAAGGACGAGCCGAAATGACTTGTAGTTATGACCTTTGCGTGAAATATCCATATCAGGCGATAAGTCTTTTATATCTATTTACATCTATGGGTTCCACTTTTCATGGAATACTATACATGTACTATGTACGCATGTACTGACGCGGTTTTCACCTGAATGTCCTGGTATAACCATTTTGTTGTCAGAAAGGTCATGAACCAAGTTCAACATGTGATTATGTGGCATATAATCTGTGACTACGGAAGCCAGTGAGGGTCACATTAAGTATTTTTTGTCGTAATTACATGTACGACATAAGACTTAGAGATCTGGTAATTACGACCTAAAATTGTTTTGTCTGGCCCTATCTGGCTTCCATAGCTAACACTCCCAACACGCGGTTCTACGAAAAGCTCATCGGTAATTATATATACAACATGTTACTGAGTCATAATTACGCCATAATTTATCATAAATATGTAACCCTACCTGGCTACCGTACATAGCTATATATTTTATTCCAGAATTATAGTTTCCCATATGTATACACAGGAATTTTGAGTCTGAAGAGTAGCAGAACAACATCTAAAACACTGGCAGTACCTTATTGTTTTTACAAATTACAGATAATTAATCAGTTTGGTAGATGTATCTATCATTTTTCAATATGTACCAATTTTAGTTAACAAAAATATCCTACCCAGTTTTGGCGAACGTTGCCCAATATTCCATCATTCGTTCTGACAGGACGAGTTCGTCGTCTGTATAATTGGCACACTCTTTCAATGGCATTCCAAACAAATATTCAATTTCGTCCGCGTGTAACACGCCAGTCCAGCGCGGCCACGGGTTGGACGAGGTTCTGTGTTCAAATGAGTACACGTATATCCCGGGCGTTGAGGGCGTGACGGTGTTCTTGTGTGCTAATGTCTCGGCTACCTCCAGCGTAGGGCATTTGAAAATGTAGTCTCCACCTACAATACCAAGATAATTAGTTAACAATACTTTGCGGGGAGATTCTAGTTACGCAGAGTCCAATTTCTTCGAAGTACGTTTCTGTGTGTGTGTGTGTGTGTGTGTGTGTGTGTGTGGTTTTTTTTTTTTTTGTTTGTTTGTTTATTTTCTTCTGTTGTATATGGTCATATTGTGAGACCTGTTGGAGGGTGGGGTTGGGGTGGTGAGTGGTGGGTGGGGGGGGGAGTTGTTGGCAGGTACATATATATGCACTTATATTCTTGAAGATGACTTGAGGTTAAACTGTAAAAACATATATATTCGTGGGACTCAATTTTCGTAGATTTTCAACAAAGAAGTGTTTTTTCTTGGACATTTGACTTCTTAGATAAATATAGCACAATAAATCTACTTATTGCAATTTTATCGGCATGTGGACATATGAATTCGTAGTATGACCAAGAGTTGTCGCTGAAAATAAATCCCCCTGAAAATTCGGTTAGTGTTCTTTAGTTGGAAAATCAGTGATACATTTCCGATTAATTAGTACAATCTGACACCCAGATAACGATATAAAAAAAAGCTTCAAAGAATTTACTTAATGACTTAGTTTAAACATATACATTTCATTTGGCTAGGAAAAGAATTTGACACCGGGAATTTCTGAATAAGCCGTTCTAACAACTATTTGTTAAGAGTTTAAAAATTACCTAAAATTTCAAACGGTGTGTAGATATTCGTCTCGTTGCCACTACAGTTGATCCAATTTGCTAATTTTTTATTCGTAAAAATAAAAACTAAAGTGTACAAAAAGTACAGTCATACATTCGGGGTCTCATTATTTATCGGTTTTAAATACCATGTGAACTGAACTGTGGAGGAGATAATACATTTCCCTATGTATTAATTGCTATATTGACAAAGCAGCTTCACTATGAGCTTGCGTTGGCTGTATAAAGACATACGAGAGTCAGGTATGTGGGGGTAAAGCGAGGAACTAAGCTTAGTGCTGTCTCTTGATTCGCTCGGACATTTCCGTGTAACTCCGGAGGAGGTTTGTTGAGGACCCTTTCGGATGGCTCTTTATCTGTGTCTATATCGCCTATCCATTAGAAGAAATATGTCATTTTTTTCTCTTTTTCTTTATCGTCACTGAAAATTGAAAAATGCCAATTGTTTTTATTCGTGTCTGTAAAATGCGAACCATTCCTGCTTCCTCTTGAGCAAATGGAGTTGTTTAACTTAAGATTAATGTATTTTTAAATACAAAGTACCAGCCGCTATTTACCATTCGACAACAGGGAACTTCTCTTTAGCTCGATAGGTTCAGCGTAAGGCAAGTAAGTCAGCGGTTCCGGTGTTGTATGATGGAGTGAAACCATAGTAAATTGTACCGCAGTATGGTGATTCGGGGTTCGATCCCCAGCGGAGAAATTGAAAGAGATAAAGACATTTGTTACACTGAATTGGTGATTACCTCTGTTACAACAACATTAACAACAAACAATATGTAAAAAAAGTAATATCTTATTAACAGATCAAAAGTATACAATAAGATAAATATAGCAATTCATTATCAAATCTTGTAGATTCGATGGCTTGGACATCTTTGCTCATCTATAAATGTACGTCACATCCAGTATTGGGCAAGAAGTCGAGGATCCCGAAATCGTTTTCTTTAGTTGAATCTTTCGTCGTTATTTTCGTCGATTAGATGACATATTTTCAAATTTATGAATCTGCGGTTGAAAACTTGAAGTTAATTTGCAGAAGAACTTGCTGTGACAGAAGGCGGAAGAGCTGGAAGTGGGCGGAGCAAAGGCTTGGCTCCAGCCGGAAGTGGACTTGGAGGCGGTGGCGGAGGACATGGGTAGATTGGGTCATTGTCCCTGATCCAACAAGTGCCTCTCACGTCTTTTGTGCAGATGGGGAAGGTGAACAATATCTTCAGTCCACGTGGTGGTGGAGCAAGTCTCAGGCGGTAATATTTCTTCCCATATGGCACTTGCGGTTTCATTCCTTCCATTTCTTCTTCCGTCATATAAGGATGGATTTTCGGTTTTCTGTGACACTTCAGGAAATCGAAACAGCCCATGGTTAAAGTCTTGAGAGATCGTGCGTGTGTTTGTTGATGTTCGGGAAATCAATTATGACGTCATGATAATTATCTGCATGGTTACAGATTCACGTGACGCCGAAAAACTTTAAATCTCGACTTGACGTGATCTGACGAATGACAGTTGCTCAGAGACTGGATAGCTTGCCTTTAGAACAAGTTTTCTCTCCAAAAGGCTGCGTTCGTTGAAACTCATACTGGACCAAATTACCTGCGTTTGTACGTTTACCACTAGACTGCGCCCGATAAATTTTCGAAGCGAATTCCATACCGAAGGGCAGGTAACCCGGTCTACTTTTCGCATTGAGAGCAGCCTTGCGGAAGAAAGTTAAACTTAGGCCAGTTATTGACCCTGTCTAAACTTGGTTGTTGATGTCATATGTTCGTGTCCTCATTCCTGAACTCGTCTTCGATCCTTCTTGTTTTCTCGTTGAACGACATTGTCTTCACATGTGTTCTTCTATCTAGTGTGAATACAAAGTGTGTTTTCTTGTCCCTATAAAGTATAATCCACTCTTGTATTTGGTGCCAAAATTCTGGATCCAACACCAGGCATTCAGCTTATATATATATATCTGGTCGGGACCTGTCAAAATGCCTGAAACACAGGCATGATAGGTTGAAAGTCAATGTGAACAAGGTGGACATTCCACAGCCCAAGACTTAAGCAAAGTTCCCACCAGCCGAGGTCAGTCTACTACTCCTTCTGTCACAAGTCTTCGCTCCCGATAACAGTCTCGACCCTGATTCTTTATTTCCACGTATCATACTCAATCTTCATCTGGCATCGGAGTGGTCGACTGCATCAAATTGTAACGAGACGGAATAATAAAAATTTCCTGCCTCTGAATGGACACCTCCTAGCGACCTTCCTTTTCAAGGCAGTCTCTGTGTAACTTGAGTGAACGAAATTCCCACAGGTCGAAAATTAAACAAAATAATGGTGTTATGCAATCTTAAAACGGACCATGTAATGACTTCCCATCAATACGTGTGCAAATCTTCTTAACAGACCAGAATAGGTCAATACACACATCGACTGTAAAATATCAGATCCCTTTGATATCGGAGGAAATTCAGGCCTTTGGTTTATCTATATGTTATGAAATTTACGTTGACTTGTCGACATTAATTCTGCTTCACCGCCGATACCAAACAGAAACGATAAGACATCGTATAGCGAAAAAAAAAGAAATACATTTGCCTTCAGTCTTTTTTTAAGTGTAGGTGTATTATGTTCAGTAAACGACTCCCTCGGGTATGTTAAAATGTGGCATTTCGTACGTCAAACAATGTGGTCATGTACTTACTGAGCGAACTTGGCCAAAGACACAATGCTTGAATGTTTTCATTTGGGGGTCAGAGGGAACTAATACTGCTGTTTATGGAAAACTTTCCTTAATTGAAGGTCAGATGTTACTTAATAAACGGTGCTGGCCTGGAATTTCCAATGCCAACATGACGTTTTCACAATTTAAATCGATCACCGGTTGATACGACAAACATTTATGCTGCAAGACCATAGAAGAGTGCAAAATGCATACAATATGTACATAAATTGCAACACCCTCAAATGCTTTCTTATCAATCATAAAATTCAAAAGTCACAACGAAGGACCAAAATTTCATACAAAATTTGAGAAAGATCTACCCATTTATCAATGAATAATAGTTTATAAGTCAACAAACTCAAATTTTCAAAAATCCAAGATGGCCGCTAGTTCCGCTATATTGTGATTTTGGTAAAGTGTCAAAATAAATGGAAAACACTCAAATAAATTGGGGGATGAGGGGTGGGGGAGGGGTATATGCGTGTGAAATTCGAGGAAATATCCACTCAATACTTCCGTAGAAATAGCAATACTAAAGTTAGATATTAAAATCCATTATGGTTACCTGTCGACAATTTTGTTTTCTAATCAGTTTAATTCGCACCACGAAGGACCTAGGTCAACCTATTTTAATTTGGACAGGAGTGGTTTATAGAAGATATCGAGCCAAATTTTAAATATTTTAAAGATGATGAAAAAAACAAACAAAACTTTCTTATTTGTTCCTTTAAATTGCCACAACAAAAAATAAAGGATTCTTACCAATGTCGTCCAGGATGTTTATATACGGGGTCTTCCTAGACGTGAAGTCAACGTCATATTGTTGTATGATAGATTCCCGAGTCAGGTTATCTTTCTTGTGTGGCAAGACACTGATGAACTGGTCGTTGGTTAACTTCTCTGCAACCAGGTCAGGATCTCCGGCCAATCCATAATTAAGAAAATATGAATATTCATTTTTGTTAACACCCATCAACATATGAATTGTTTGTTTGTTCTGACGTAGTAGAATGGACGGACTTGTAGTCAAAAAGTAGTCGTCGACAGTTGGCGCAAACGCTACACCGAGAAAAGAGAGATTTGACGGGAGACTGAACTGCGCCTCAATTAGACCATCTGTAGCTTTACCGCGTAAACAGCCTGTAATATAAGTGACGTTCTCTCCATCACAATTCATTAGTTTGGCAAATGCTCGGGCCGTCGAATTCGCTTCTTCCGGTGAAATAAAAGCCCAAGGTGCCAAAGCTGACCCGCTTTGCAATATAGCGGAAGAAAAATATCCCAAACTTTTTTGTGATAGTGTATGATAATGCACACTTGCGGCACCGGCACTTTCTCCGAATAAACTTATCTTACGTCGATCTCCACCGAACTTTTCGATGTTATCGTACACCCATTTGATCGCTAGATTTTGATCCAGTAGTCCAACATTACCAGGAGCGTCATCTTCCCCGAGATACAGAAATCCCAACGGACCAAGCCGATAGTTCATTGAAACCACGATGACATTCTGTTTAGCTGCCAAGAATTTGCCGTTGTACACGTCCAAGGAAGTCGAGCCAGAGTAGAAACCACCTCCATAGATCCATATCATGGTCGTGAGTGTTTTCGCCTCAGACGTGCCCATGGAGGACGGTGTCCATATATTCAGATACAAACAATCCTCGTTGAGCTCTGTTTTCGGATTCCACATCGCTTCTCCTGGGTTTCCAGGAAAGACATTGTAAGGTATTTGAGGACAGGAAGCGGAAATAGATTTAACGCGGAGAGTCTCCGTCCAACTTGGAGCCGCCACAGGTCGTTTGAAACGAAGATCACCAACCGGTGGAGCTGCAAATGGTATTCCCAAGTACATTTGCACTTCCGTTCCGTCAACAGTTTCAGTTAATCCTTGAATTCTGCCGTTCAACGTTTCCACTTCCGGATAATTCTCTTGTTCCTCTGATAAGCTTTCTTGTTGCATCGGTAAAGCTAACTCACTAATTTCATCTTGAACTGGTTCTACTAGAACAGATGTCCATGATATTGAAGTAAATGCTAGAAGACTGCAGACAAGCACAATAAAATCCATGGTGTCTGAAAAATACAAGACAGTAAAATGATAGATAAATGAAATAAGATGAAAATAACAATATGATAGAAAAGTAAATATGTAATCATTTGAAACGTCACCAGACATAATGACACTGATTTTAGTATTCTGAACCCTCTACTTCCTATCAGGTACCCTCTAATTCATATCCGGTACTCTCTACTTCCTATCCGGTACACGCTACTTCCTATCCGGTACCTCTACTTCCTATCCGGTACCTTCTACTTCCTATCCGGTACCCTCAACTTCCTATCCGGTACCCTCTACTTCCTATCCGGTACCCTCTACTTCCTAGCCGGTACCTTCTACTTCCTATCCAGTACCATCAACTTCCTATCCGGTATCCTCTACTTCCTATCAGGTACCCTCTTCTTCATATCCGGTACCCTCTACTTCCTATCCGGTACCCTCTACTTCCTATCCAGTACCATCAACTTCCTATCCGGTACCCTCTACTTCCTATCCGGTACCTTCAAATTCCTATCCGGTACTCTCTACTTCCTATCCGGTACCCTCTACTTCCTATCCGGTACCCTCTAAATCCTATCCGGTACTTTCAAATTCCTATCCGGTACCCTCTACTTCATATCCGGTACCCTCTACTTCCTATCCGGTACCATCTATTCTTTACCCTATGCCTTCTGCCCCTTGCCCTGCACCCTCTATTCCTTAACCTACATGTATACCCTGTATTCCTTACCTCTACCCATTACTCTGTACCCTGTAACCTCTGCCATGTATCATGTCATTTCTTTTCCATATTTTCTACCCTGTACCCTCTACCCATTACCCTGTACCCTCTATTCCTTACCCTGTATCCTTCATTCCTTACGCTGTACCCTCTATTCCTTACCCAGTATTCTCTATTCCTTACCATGTACCTTCTATTCCTTACCCAGTATCCTCTATTCCTTACCATGTACCTTCTATTCCTTACCCTGTACCCTCTACCCCTTACCTTGTACGATCTATTCCTTACCCTGTAACCTCTTTTCCTTACCCTGTACCTTCTACTTCTTACCCATAATCTCTGTTCCTTATCATGTACAATCTATTCCTTACCCTGAACCCTCTATTCCTTACCCAGTATCCTCTATTCCTTACCTTGTACCCTCTATTCCTTACACTGTACTCTCTATTTCTTACCCTGTACCCTCTATTCCTTACCCTGTACCCTCTATTCCTTACACTGTACTCTCTATTTCTTACCATGTACCCACTATTCCTTACACTGTACCCTCTATTCCTTACCCTGTAAGCTCTATTCCTTACACTGTACTCTCTATTCCTTACCATGTACCCTCTATTCCTTACACTGTACTCTCTATTTCTTACCATGTACCCACTATTCCTTACACTGTACCCTCTATTCCTTACCCTGTAAGCTCTATTCCTTACACTGTACTCTCTATTCCTTACCATGTACCCACTATTCCTTACACTGTACTCTCTATTCCTTACCATGTACCCTCTATTCCTTACACTGTACTCTCTATTCCTTACCCTGTAAGCTCTATTCCTTACCCTGTACCCTCTATTCCTTACCCTGTAAGCTCTATTCCTTACACTGTACTCTCTATTCCTTACCATGTACCCACTATTCCTTACACTGTACTCTCTATTCCTTACCATGTACCCTCTATTCCTTACACTGTACTCTCTATTCCTTACCCTGTAAGCTCTATTCCTTACCCTGTACCCCCTATTCCTTACCCTGTACTCTCTATTTCTTACCCTGTAAACTCTATTCCTTACCCTGTACCCTCTATTCCTTACTCTGTACCCTCTATTCCTTACCCTGTACCCTCTATTCCTTACCCTGTACCCTCTATTCCTTACACTGTACCATCTATTCCTTACCCTGTTCCCTCTATTCCTTACCATGTACTCTCTATTTCTTACCCTGTACCCTCTATTCCTTACCCTGTACCCTCTATTCCTTACACTGTACTCTCTATTTCTTACCCTGTAAACTCTATTCCTTACCCTGTACCCTCTATTCCTTACTCTGTACCCTCTATTCCTTACCCTGTACCCTCTATTCCTTACCCTGTACCCTCTATTCCTTACACTGTACCATCTATTCCTTACCCTGTTCCCTCTATTCCTTACCGTGTACCCTCTATTCCTTACCCTGTATCCTCTATTCCTTACCTTGTAACTTCTATTCCTTACCATGTACCCTCTACCCCTTACCCTGTTCCCTCTATTCCTAACCATGTACCCTCTACCCCTTACCCTGTACCCTCTATTCCTTACCCTGTATCCTCTATTTCTTACACTGTACCCTCTATTCCTTACCCTGTTCCCTCTACCCCTTACCCTGTTCCCTCTACCCCTTACCCTGTATCTTCTATTCCTTACCCTGTACCCTCTACCCCTTACCCTGTAAGCTCTATTCCTTACCCTTTACCCTCTATTCCTTATCCTGTACCCTCTATTCCTTACCCTGTACCCTCTACCCCTTACCCTGTTCCCTCTACCCCTTACCCTGTATCCTCTATTCCTTACCCTGTTCCCTCTACCCCTTACCCTGTTCCCTCTACCCCTTACCCTGTATCCTCTATTCCTTACCCTGTACCCTCTACCCCTTACCCTGTAAGCTCTATTCCTTACCCTGTACCCTCTATTCCTTACCCTGTACCCTCTATTCCTTACCCTGTACCCTCTACCCCTTACCCTGTTCCCTCTACCCCTTACCCTGTATCCTCTATTCCTTACCCCGTACCCTCTATTCCTTACCCTGTACCCTCTATTCCTTACCCTGTACCCTCTATTCCTTACCATGTACCCACTATTCCTTACACTGTTCCCTCTATTCCTTACCCTGTACCCTCTATTCCTTACCCTGTACCCTCTATTCCTAACCATGTACCCTCTACCCCTTACCCTGTTCCCTCTATTCCTAACCATGTACCCTCTACCCCTTACCCTGTACCCTCTATTCCTTACCCTGTATCCTCTATTTCTTACACTGTACCCTCTATTCCTTACCCTGTACCCTCTACCCCTTACCCTGTAAGCTCTATTCCTTACCCTGTACCCTCTATTCCTTACCCTGTACCCTCTATTCCTTACACTGTACCCTCTATTCCTTACCCTTTACCCTCTACCCCTTACCCTGTTCCCTCTATTCCTTACCCTGTACCCTCTATTCCTTACCCTGTATCCTCTATTCCTTACCTTGTAACCTCTATTCCTTACCCTGTTCCCTCTATTCCTTACCTTGTAACCTCTATTCCTTACCCTGTTCCCTCTATTCCTTACCCTGTATCCTCTATTCCTTTCCTTGTAACCTCTATTCCTTACCCTGTACCATCTATTCCTTACCTTTTACCCTCTATCTTATTCTTTCCCTGTCATTTCTCCTTATCCTCTACCTCGTGCCCTCTAACCATTCTGGGAATTAGTATACGGACTTCTAACAGTATTTGACGATTTGTTTTTGAATTTCTGCCCATGCTTGTCGTTGAACCAACCAGTATGAAAATAATGATCAACTTATCATCGCTCCCCTGTAAATCCTTTAGTTGTTTAATGTATCTTGGTCAACTGTGGTCATTCATATTCACGATATGTAAAATCAAACATCCTGGTTTACTGACAGATCGATGATGTACTATCTTTATGTTCTCAAGATAACTATCACAATTCGTTAGGCTTAGTTGACTTCAAAGTCCCTCTAAAATCAACAAACCACTATTCTTACTAAAATATGATAAAAAATACTGATGAAATTTCTTGTCCCTATCATTTCGTATGTATCGATTCTTTATCATCAGGCCCTTGTGATCGGCCGCAATCACAGGTATCGGCCGCAATCACAGGTATCGGCCGTAATGTATTTCCTTGTGGTAAGTTGGTATAAAGGCCGATCTTAACGGAAATAAATGGCTTTTTGACAACTACAGGATATAGCTATATCATGTACCGATGGATGTGAGATATTATCGCAAAGTTTCATAATGATACAGTATGGCTATCCCCTATTGAAATCAGGCCCCTGTGATCGGCAGATATCACAAGCACAGGAACTTGGCACGAATTCCAAGTCCAAGGTCCATATATGTGTGTATTAGTTTTACTATGATACAGCATATGAACCGTGGGTTGGGAATCCGTGCCAAGTCCCTGTAATCACAGGTATCAATAATGGATATCTGGCATGGCAGCTGATCTTTATGGAAATAAAATGAGATCATTACCCGTGCTTGAATAGATCAGATATATACAATAGAAACAGCTTACCAGTCATGTACATCTCGGTCACCAACATAAACAAAGTTTGTCGGAGATAAACTCGTACGTGTCGTCTGATGAAGGTGACCGATCTTCATGAAAACCTAACCATATGGAGAACATCGCTAGTGTGTGTCACATAAATTTCTGTCGAATAAGAGCGACTATATTATTTGTACGATTTTAATACATTCAGTGGGCTGTGACCCCTAAAAACGAACTGTCGCAAGTTGAGAATACAGGACACATTCACTAGTGTGAATTTTGTCTGCGGAGCGTGAGGCGACATGGGATATTTATTCACAGCGCGACGCCGTCCGTCCGTTGTCAACTTTTTTTCGCTGTGAAAAACTAAGATCTATCATAGATTGCTAATAGGCCCCAGAAATGAAGCCTGACAAATTTTGCCGAAAGAAATAACATTAGTTATCATTCAATAACAAAAACGCGGTATCAGGATACTTGACTAGTTAGTCACTCGCAAACTAGCAAATGGAAATATACAGGGGCACAAGGGTCAAATTTATCTTTAAGAAAGGGACACACTGATGAATAATGTTTAATCTTATTTTAAGAGTGGTTGAAGTAGACCAAATTTAAAGGTCAGTATTCTGAGATATAAATGTACAAGTGCAAAAATCATTGAGTACCAGATGAGGGATGCAAGTCTTTTAGGCCTCTTGATTAGTTTGAATTTCTTGCTTATTTTATCTTACTTCATGAAGGCGTTTACGCCCTTGTGTAGCAACCGTCCTTCCACCAACAATCATTTTTATTTTCTTTAAACGATTTCTTCTTTAGATCTGTACAAGATGATATTTAATCTCTCACTGTCGGAGAAATGATTAAATATCAGAAATGAATTTCTTTTTATTTATTTATTTTAAATTTCGCAGAAATATGACCTTGACCTATATTCAAGGTCACCGAGTCAAATTTGTTATTCCGCTCAAAAAACTTTTTCTGATTAACCGAAAGGCCCAGGATGACGGTGTTATTCGATGTGATATCGACACTTGTTGATAAGAAAGCCATATAATCTTGACCCACATTCAAGCTGACATTGCTCAAATTTGTTTAACAACGCAAATTACTTCTTCTAATTAAACGTGAATACAAAAGGAAATCACATTGACCTCTAACCAAGGGGTCAATTTGTTTCCATTTAAGTCAGAACAAAAATCAGAAGAAAAAAAAACAAAACAAAATATGACCTCGTACAAAACTTATTGATAAGAGCCTAGCGTGCAACGTAAATTTATTAAACTGACACGTTGGTACAGATGTATAGTGTAATGTCCGGGATTTATTTTCCGCATGTATTAAATACTTATTTATTTATAAATTTGTAAATTACTTATTTGAGAGTAATTATATTAATACAAACATTATCATTCTTGAATTTTGATACTGATATGAAAGATTTTCACAATGAGGATATTCCGATTTTTGCAATGTTAAGCTAACGTTTGCGCGTTGTCCTTGGAGCTGTAAAACTAGATCCTTCTCATTAATGATTAATTATCTAATTATCTGATATAAGCTTACATTACTTTAACAAAAACAACATATTTCCATCCTTGCTATTCAATAAATATATATTAACTTTTTAAGATATGTTCGCCCTTCTCTGAACGCGATGAATACGTTCGATAGGATTATGGTTTTTGAAAAAAAATCAGTGAAGCATTATGAACTTATTTACTAATGTCCGTCTTTCATATATTAAGATAAGATTTACTTCAACATCAGAATCACCAAAAGTCAGAATTTCAAAAACTTAAGATCAAGTTATGAAATTTTTCATACTTACATTTGTTTTTTTAGTACAGCACCCTCCAAGCCAATACCAACAAACTGTTCATCTGATGCGGCTGTGCACGCCTTTCATAACAGCTGCAGTCTATCACATACTTGTGAAGCGATGGTAAATAGGTTGCCGTGCGAGTTATAGATTTAAAAGTTTACAGATACATGTATATTTTACATAGGTCAGTTGGAACATTTTAAATATCAATTTTGTACACCGTGTAGAACAAACTAAATTTAGCCGATATTTTGACGGTTTCGTTATCTTCAACTTCACTTTATAATAATAATTTAATCCGAGTTTTACATTGAATGAAGATAAGAACACAATAAGTCATGTACATGTATGAGGTTCGCTGGCCTGAAATTACTTTAATCAGCTGCGAAATATATGTCGCACTTATCATCACACCATCACAGCTTTCCCAAAAAAGGAACTTTTATATCGCAATAGTCGTCGGGTCTGATATGAGGTAGTACACGTATATCTGGATTTCCAGGGTAACAGTCATAACTAAAGTAAAGTGGCCTTTCACCAAACTGGGTGTGAAGTCTTGATGGATCACAGGGACATGTATAACTACATTTTCAAAATTCAACTATGCTAATTACATATGTGAAAATTTCACCAGCCCAACCACAAGGACTGTCTCCGGGTTCTCCGCTTTCCTTCATTCATTGATTTCCCGCACAGCAACTACTACGTGTTATGCAGGGGTGATTGATTGTATGAAGTGTGTAATGGATAATTTTAACTATTTAAGATTTAGCTGCTAGGATGTTCTGAAAAGATTGCAGAGTACGGCCAACTTTTTTAAAAGTATCCACTCATTTATTTTTAGCTTACTCTTAAATTGTGTTCAGCAAACCACACCGTCACGTACTACAAATGTAGCTACGACTGTTCTGTAAACAAACCAGAATTATGTAAAAGAAGAAAGCTCGTGAACATATTGACTATAACAAACTTTTATGGTTGATTGAAGATAGTAAACAGACTATTTATAAAACTAATCTCAAACATGATGAAACCAACTGTGCTGTAACATGATTTCGTTGAAGCATGGGAAAGTTTAGTATAGTTAATATACAGTCCCTTAGATAAACATCTCAGCCCTTCTGTATGTATGTAGATAAATTTATATTTTTGCGAAGGTGCCAACTGAAATCTTAAACTAGATTCGAGTGTATGTATTTATAAATTATCTTCCGAAGTCACGTTACTATGGAAATGCAGAGGGGAAATTAGGTAAACATGTACATGTATATTACTAGGAATCGGGAATCTTCGGTACTTTCCGTAACGGGTAGTATTAACTATGTTACGGAAAGAGTCGCAGATTCAGATGTTATAAAGCCATTCAACAGAGCATTGGTTAAGTTTAACACGATAGTTATTACAGGCATACACTATAAACTACACACGTATTGGACACAAGTAACTCAATTAAGTAAGGAAGACAACTTTTGACTCGTGTCCTGTCCAGGCCTTCTCAGGATCTACGGCAACAAATCGCCTAGCCAAGAAAGTACAGACTGTCTAACCATAGCACCATCACAACATCCCCAAAAAAAGGATGTTTGGAAGTTGTACCGACACACAGCTGGAATTTTCTCGACAAGATCATAAAATTGTCTTCCGAGTTTAGTAATTGTGTCACAATGTCCAAACGATCAATAAAATAACACAATGCTTCATAAACATTAATGTTACTGATCCGAAGGTTCCAGGTTTGAATTACCTGTTGTACAAATAATGTAACTGTGCCCGAATTTGATATATATATATATACATGTATATTCTATTACTAGGACCGAAAAAAGTTTATTATTGCGTTACTTATATCACGTACGCGCTCCATATCTAAACTATGAAGCTTTGTGCGTCTCTTCCGTATTTCCGTACTCAATAGATGCAATAGGAAAAATGCAAAATAGAATAAATAAATAACAATAAAAAACATGATCAGAAAACGTTATCGCGGCCGGATATAGATATTTCGTGTTTACAAAATGGTCTATACATACGTAGTAAATGCTTTTCCATACACAGTCAGAAATACGGGTATGAAATCATTATCCAGTTTATCATGTTTCTCGAATGAAGGTAAAATTTGTCACTTTCTACTGATTCATAGTATGAAGGAAGTGTTTTTTTCAATCCATATGGACAAAAAAATCCATAATTACGAAATTCATGTAAGGTGTTACATCTGAAAGATATCAAGATGACAGAGTGATGACTAAACAATAGCCGAATCCTTTGTATGTCGGATTATAGAGCACCAGTAGCAAACTCGGTAATCCGGACTCTTATCAATGGATTCTGATGATATCTTCACCGTGGTCCCTTTATTCCGACTTAACTGATAGATAAAATGCTATTCTCGTGTAATGTACTGTTTTAACCAATACAAATTGCCTTAGATAAAAGTATCAGAGATTGAACAGGTAGAACTCTCTTGCGCAGGAAGTGCAATACTAAGACGTGTGGCCGACTACCTTAAAAAGTTAATATAAGCTCTCGAACTTCGGTTCGAAATTGAGTATGCATTTTAATCAAAGAGTCGGAGAACAACGGGCGGAATGGACAATTAATAAAAGAGCTACTTAAAAACAACGAGAAACATACTATAGACATATCTCTGAGCACATGCTAACTTGCTACATACATCACAACGTCATTTGACTGGCGTTTTCGCAGTTATTCGGACACTCACGTACGGTTTTACATTATCAGACACACTAAATATAATATTTAAGCCTGTGTTAGCCTGAAGTTACGTGGCTCATACTGTAACATTATCGACAGTGATGTCATCACCATAAACAAAGACACAGTATGGACAATACGGACGCTGTGTGACAGTCAATCTATCCAGGATATGTTTGCGTTAACATAGCCGTCGCGGTCGATTGCGTTCCTGATATTAGGGTTACCCCAAGGCAAGGGAGGTAATCACAGTCACGTGACTTCCCACAGGTAAAATTCCAAGATGGTGGACACATAGCGATAGAGTGCGTGCTTTCGGAGAAGTATGCAGGTTTTCCCGTAAGTTATTTTCACTACTCGCGAAACGTTAACATTAGTGTCAGTATTTAAAATACACACTAACTAGACTTTCTGATAAATATTCAATCTTGTTAAGTGCAAAGAAGTTAATGCTACGTTTTAGCAGAATGTGTCGTGTGTCTGTCATAATCCAGACACGTCACCGAGAAATGTGGTGACGTTTCCAGCGTTTATGAGACAATTTGACAATATTGCTTTTTGTCTTCATATGCAAATATTGAGTTTTTATACATAACAAAAGCATGATAGCTGACTTTTACGAGTTCGTTACACAGGAGTCCAATATTTTGTCAATGCTGTTGGTAAATACTGCAGTTTTAGGGCTTTATTTTTTAACAGGGCTCCGGTTATCATATACCATTTTCTGACAGACTAAACGTCACACTCACAAAATAATTATATACAAATATTTACAACGGATTTCGGAATCTTAAGATAAATGTACAACTAAAGCTGTAACCATAAGCAAAGCCTAGAACGAGAATAGAATACACTGTAATGTAGATAAATAAGCAAAAAGTATTACATACATGTACAATGCAATAAGCAGGGTTGATACTGCAAGCACTCGTACACAATAAAAGTGTATGTTTCTATTTATAAACCACTGACAGGTAAATGGATATGCATTGCTTTTACATATATTTTTATGCTTATGTTAGAAAGGAGTAATGAAAAACACACCGCTTTCACAAGGTCTCAAACAAACATCGTTTCAGTTTATAGCCAGACACCCTACTGCTTGACAAAAGCAAATTCCCACCAGCCAAGGCTAGTAAGGCAATGTGCTGTCAATTTCTATACTTAATAGGGTGTATGAAACAAAACTGATCATCATGTGGTTCTTACAGATATGAAAAGTCCTAGCCAGGAAATATTTTGGATTTCCATGTCAAACCTTTTTGTGATTTTATAGGTGATCATATAGTCAAGTGATTTGCACTTTTTGTTTTAATTGAAGTCGCACTCAACCCAGATCTGTTGACATTTTGATGTCGAATAAGCTCAGCTAAACCCAATGCTGCAGTCAAATACAAACCAGATATGTTGACAATTTAGGGAGAAAAGAATGAGCTAGTTCTGCTTATTTTTTTCACAAGGAAAATGAATATCATGATCATACTACTTTCACTGAAAAAAAATTACATTATGCATAAATTGATGTTTCACGAGTGAAAGTTACATCGCTCAGAATTGATTTCTTTTTATGTATTTTAGGATCCTGTGAAGACATAGAAATGGGATCTAAACTTTAAAACAGCTGAAATGCTGAAGTTGAAACTGAATTAGCCACATTATTGTGGAATAGCCGCACTCCACCTTGTGAACACGCACCAGACAAGTAAGATGGCAGACAGTGACTTAAGTATGCAGTACGAACAGCAGCAGGTAATGATTGACCAGCTGAAGGCAATGATCAGGGAACGAGAGGAAGCCTTACTCACCAAAGATAAGGAGCTGCAAGTAGGTTAAAAGTCAATGCATTAGTATAGACATTGATTGATTTTAAAATGTTGGAACATTTTCCACAAAATAAAAATGGACAATCCCTATATATATAAACCAAGAATATTAACAATTTATGTGTCATTTGTTCTGGGACTTGAAATTAGATTAATCACAGTATGAGTTGAAGAAAATATATTCATACAATTATCTTCTTAAATTCTGACTAAATATGGCATGCATTCAAGTATGGAGTGAATATCAATGGAAAGGTGTGTTTAGTGCACATATATCCCTGTTGACCCCAGTTCAAGTAAGTTTTCTTTTGAAGCAAACAAGGAAGAGATGATGTCAGGTTGTGCAGTTGCTTTTCACCTGGCTTGGGAGATTTCCAATCTAGATATGAAAATAGCATTACAGCCATTTAGGTTTTTTCTTAAAGATTCCTGTCCCCTTAAACATTATAAGGCGACTTGTGTGTCGCATTAGGTTTTTTCATAATTACTTCTCATATCCACTTTTAAATAAGATCTTGCTTTGAATGAAAAATGATAAACTGATTGTTTAATATGAATGCTATTGCTATTGGGATGGATATACTGGATGTTTTCAGCTCAATGAGTAATTGTGGGCTACTATTGTAACTAAAAGTTGTCGTCTTATTTGGCATATACAGAAGTTTACTGATGTTTAACAATTATGGATTGAAGAATATAAGTTGAAAAAAGTGTTTTGTAGTGATTGGTGCCGGTGAGTTTTGCAGTCATTATTAACACTTGTTTTCCTTTGCAGGAGGTAAATTCAAAGTTTTCTAAGTTAAAACTGCAGGCGAAGGCACGCATAGCCAAGGAAGCTAAGACTGGAGCCGCAAAGGAAGCTAAGACTGGCGTCACAAAGAAGTCTTCAGCGGAGGCAGATGGAGAAACTAAGGTAAAAAGTAATGAAATGTGATTGTTAGGTACCTGGGATCAGATACTGTCAAACGATTTAATTTGGTGCAGTCAATATGTAGCGCTCTGGGGTCTGGGTACCTTTTCGCACAGTTTAAATTTAGCGCTCAGAAACAGTGGTATAAATTTTGAAGTCATGCAAGTGGGGAATTCCCATTCTATTTATAGCATACTCTCAGCAGTCAGAACAGGTGAACAGAGTCACGGGTATGGGTCACTGGTTTTTCGGTATGTGTAACCATAGATACTAAATAAATAATTAATACTCAAGGTTGTAGTATGCATTGTTTTTCATTCTCTCAGCAGTATAGAACTTTTATCTGCCTTTTCACGTTGCTTGGCTTGTGAGAGCCCATGACACCATCACACAAAACAAAGAACTCCTAATTAAGTCATTTGAGACTACAGGAATATTAGCTGTGTTGTAAAAACAACAGACTGTCCAAGCTATCAGTTATTGTGTTACTGAACTGTTGTACAAATTATTGCTGTTAATAGATTATGTTTCCAGTTCCCGATTTTCGTTGATCTGTTTCAAGCATCACAGAAATTTTAGTCGTCATATATGTTTAGCGTTCGATGGCTATGCGTGAAATTTGCTTGTATTTACTGAGCACTCAAATTTCTTGTTTTACAATAGATGATTTGCTGTACAACATACTCTGTTGTAATTGCTTCAAAATTTCTAGCACAGTCTCAGTTTTTGTTGTCGCCATAGGTTGTTTTTACTGGAATAAAAGGAAATAAAAGAATGTATTGTATATTGATTGTACTCACAGTTTACTACACTTGTATATAGAAGAACTACACGTTGTTTCAAAATGAGAATTTTCTTCAAAAATTGAAAGGAAAGTGGGAGAAACTGTTTACAAATCTTGAGAAATCAGGAAATTGGTTATGATCTCTTATCGTAGATCAATGATGAAAAATTGAAGACTTTTACTGAAATGTGACAAAAGAAGAAAACATGAATTTACTATAATACTGTAGAGTACTTGGTAAAGCAGGGCATATTAGATACTATTTTGAAATTTTGTTATTTGATAACAAAGTTCATTAGAGAATGAAAAACATCCCTTGGAATTATGGAAAAAGGAAATATTTGTCCAAGTTATATTACAATATATGTACAAGAAATATGTTGTTTGTAGACTTTTATGTAAATAATTACTTTTGAATGATTTATCTTGAACAGCTCACATTGAAATTACATACTGGAGTTTTCATGCTGATGATAGGTTCTTATCAAAAGTCTTGTGTACTTATGATAAATTTTTTGTATTGTTTTCTTGCCAGGATGGTGAAGGAAAGTCTGAATCAGCATCGAGTGACAAAGTCCAAAGAGCTAAGATGTTAATGTTGACTAAGAAACTAGAGGAACGAGAGAAGGCAATAGTGGAGAAAGAAGAGATTATTACATTTCGAGATCAACAGCTGGAGTCGAAGGTTCACCTAATACATGAACGGGACGAAATGATACAAAGACTGACAGAACAGCTGGAGGAAAGCTCCAAGTTGGCAGGACAAGCAACAGCATCAGGAGATGAGTCTAGTTCAGAGGTATAAACCGTTACATGAAATTGAAAGACAGGAATCTTGGAAATGGAAAATGCATACTCAGGGGATGAAAATGGGGAGAGAGAGAGACTATGGGGAAAAATTATTGTGCATTTAAAGCCAATATTCAAATCTCTAAAATGTTGTTACTTTTTAGAGCCATACACTAAGTTATGGATGGAAGATTTCAGAATTATCCAATATATGAACTAACATGATGATTTGTTGTGAAAACAGGTAAGGTTTACCTGAAATGGAACGGTTAAAAAATTGGAAACCAGCATGGTTTTTGGAAAAAAATGATAATGTCAATTAATATTATTATTTTTGTGTGAATAATTTGTGTAGGTGATAAATATTTAAGCATCTCTAGACTGAATTTATTAATTGTATATTAATTATTTGTTTCAAATTTTTGTATGAAATAATTTTTTTTTGTTCTGTTGTAGATTCAGCAGATGTACGCACAGGTTGTTTACAAAGACAAGAAAATCCTTGACCTCAACAACAAGATTTTAGAACAAGAACAAAAAATGATGGATGTCCAGGAATTTGTGTCGGAAAAGGACGAGGTTATCCGAGGGAGGGATAAAGTTGTCAAGGCATGTTGACCTATTTATACACAAAGCAGAGAAATATTACTTAAAAACTACAGACATGTTTTACACTGCGAGAGTTTGTTTTATTAATGTTCAAACATGCACACGATAATTTACCAATCAATTTCATTATTTTGTGAGGAGAAAAAATATACACAACCAATAATGTATCATGTTGCAGTGACGAGTATGATATACAAATACACCCTGTTGTCTTATATTTGTGTATGAATTCAGAAAAGGATTGTCAGGTTCGATTCATTTACTTTTTTAAGCCTGTGTTCATTGTGTACACTTGAATGCTATCTATATTTACTTGGTCAACCTATCAGAAATTGGCTGAAGCAAAAATTTAAGAAAACAAATAAAATAAATAATACTACCCTATCATCAGTGTAGTAACACCCATTACATAGTTTTGGTGATTGCACATGTGTAATACGACCTATGTGATTGGTTTCAAGTTCACATTATCATCATGATGTCATAGCTTCATGATGTCATTTGCATTATGACATTACCAAAGAAGAGATATAGAATAAGAATAGAATTAGATTTTGTTGAAGTCTAACAAAATGAATGTTTAAAGTATATGAGTTATGTGATAAACAGAATCTTATATTCTGTGACTTGTGTCATCAGTTTCATATTGAAGATGTAAGGTCTGTGGACTTGTAGCTGGTTTCTCCAGTTAGTCTACATGTATATAGATTTTTAGCTAGGTTGAAAATTTGAGAATATTTGATCATTGCTTGCACTGAACTTTTGTTGGTACTTGGTTACAGATCCTGCAGACCACCATTGAAGAGACAGAACAGCGAGCCACCAGTCAGGCTCTTCTAATTGCTAAACTTTCTGCAAAGGTAGAGGACAGCGAGGAGACCCTTTCACACTACAAGGAACAGGTTAATAAAGCTGATCATAACTTAAAACAGGAATCGGACAAATTCAATCTTCGTCTGCAAGAGACACAAAAATATTTCGAGGAAACTGTTCAAGAGAGAGAAGCAGAAATAAAGAAACTTAGAGCAGATGCGTCAAAGAAGGATGAAGAAATTCTCACACGAGAGAATGATCTAAGGGAATTGATATCAAAACATGAGAAAGATGTTCAAAGAATTATGGCTCGGGATGAAGTGAATATTCAGGATCATGTGCTTCAAATGCTAGAACAGAAGTTAAAAGATACAAACTCTGTCCTTGATGGGAAAATCAAGGTCATAGAAACACTGCAACTGGAAATAAGTGAAAAAGACAAACAGATAGCTGAGAGTTATGACATCCAGAAAAGTTTCAAGGAAAAATTACAAGTGACTTCTGAACAATTAATGTTAGCGCAGGCAGAAAACTTAGACATGGAGGTACAGTGGCGAGATGAAAAGAAAAAAATGGATGAAAAATTCCGAGACTTATTGGAGAAACATGAAATGGAAAAGACAGAAAAAGAAATGAATTTACAGACAATGCAAAGTCATTTGTCCCAGTATCAAACTGCTTATACACAAGCCGTATCTCAATATAATGCACTACAAAGCCGTTATCAGCATTCCATCAGGCCAGGTGGTGCCGTATCACAAAGTACAGTGCCACCAACGGAACCACTTGTGGATCCAGTTGCTGAATCGAATACAACTCTCGTCAAGGAACTCCAGCAGAGTTTGTTAGAGAAGGAAAAAGAACTCTCTCAATTGATGTCAACACAAACTCAGCTTGAAGAGACGAAAGGGCTGTTAGCAGAGAGAGAGAGGGTGTTAGCTGAAAAGGAGGTGGAGTTGAAGGAGGCCAGGAAATCAACCGAAGGAAGCGGTGCTAAGACTGATGCTAAGGGGCTCAAAGACAAGGCAAAGCTCACAGCCAAAGTGAAAGCTCTGGAGAAGGAAATATCACAACTGAAAAAGGTAACATAGTTAATACACAATTATGTATTCTGTCTCATTTTAAGTTTAATTTTTGATAAAGGGATTGTTCATGTATCATTTAATCTGAAAATGTAGGCATTTAACAATAGGGCCATTGCACAAAGAGTTGGCATCTCCTTGTATTGTGCAACCTTTCCACAATTTGAATGCATTTGTTTGGTCGCAAGTTGCAGGAGCTAAATAACTATATTAACAAGTACAGTTTTATTTTAAAGCAAATATTTTGTTTGAATTGTGTAAATGTCGATGCCTTGATTTGTCTTTAATAGACAATTCTTATTTATGTCCTGCAATTCCAAGAGATTATGATGTCAAATGTAAAAAAAACCCATGAAGTATAACCATATACTGAATGGGACAAAAATCAGCTTTAAGTTAAATAATAGCCCAAAAAAGCACATTGAGAATCCAATATCAAATTTTCTGAAACTTTTTGTCTAATTGGCGATAAATATTTCTTTGTTGTTGATTATTTTGTCTTGTTTTTTTAAAATAAAATAAATATTAATTAATATTTTTTCCTTAATTTTGTAAAAGTTTTATGTTAATTTTAAATTGTGTTTATCCAAGGGTGGTGAGGTGTCCTCAGAACTGGAATCCTTGAAGAAGACGATAGTGGAGCTTGAGGAGGAGAAAGGTATGGTATAACAGAGCTATAGACTGTTTATATTCCAAACAGAAATGAATCATGTGACATTGTTCTAATGTATGACTCAACTCTTTTCTCATTTGATTAGTTTCAAGGCATTACAGTAAAAGTCTTTCACAACAAATGATGCCAAAATGTTTTATTTTGGATCAAATGAACATCACTACATTTTAGAGATGATGTTTATTTAATTTCTGCCGTAGCAGAAGCCACCCAATCTTATATATATATACAAAAGTTAATCAATTTTAGAGCCCTGTGTCAGATCTTTCTTTCATGTTTTACAATGAAATGCATTTCAAATCAACAGAATTTAGTTTTTGTTTTAAAAAATTGAATATGTAATAGTTTTGATCTCAGTTATAAACAAGTGAAGAAATATTTTACATTTCAACTATGATAGAGATTTGCTCCTGTGAATTCTGTTTGATATATTCAAATACATGTATTGTAGTGTCTTTTGAAATGTGGTATATAGTATGACATGAAATGTTCATAGTGTGAAACCCAAATAGTGTCCATAGCTATATAAAAATTACATAAGATGGTATCCAAGAATATTTTTACCTTTGTATAATATCTAAACCACAAAAAGGGGACCCACAAATATTTCAAGTTGCACAGTAATTGAAGTAAGTGTGAAATCTTTATTTATAATTGTCCTATTTATGCTTAGCGAGAGCAGAGAGCGAGCTAAAAGAGACCAAATCTGTGGTAGAGGGACTGCGGACAGAGATGTCGGAACTCTCTCTCCAGTTGTCAGCTGTGACAGAAGAGAGAAACAGTCTCAGTCTGGTGAATCAGGATTTACAGGAAACATCCCAACAGGTAGGTGTATTGTCGATGTACAGTGGACCCTCAGTAGTCATGACACCTCCATTCCATGGTGAAATATTCCAGATTGGTGATTTTGAGGTTGTAGGTCTTGTAGAACATAAGTATACACATGTCCAGCAGTTTTATTGTGCAGGAAAATATGTGTTCGAAAATGCGTCTTTGCTTTTACTATATCTGGAACTCAAAGCAAAAAACTTAGTCACAGAAAAAGGGGACAAAAAAGAAAAATATCAAACACAGCAACAACATAGGGGGAATGGAGGGAGCGCAAAGGGCCATCCCAAAGGATGACTGTTTTGTGTGTTTAATAAAAAAGCTATCCTGGCTATATTTGCATTTGAAGAAGGTTGGGTTATATTTATTTTAAACAGATTTGGAATAAGGTTGATTGAAAAAATTTTAAATTAAGTTTATGAAGAGAAATAACATTGCCTTTCTTATATTTTATTACAGATATCTGAACGGGAACAGGCTCTGGAAGCTGAAAGAGGGACAAACAAACAGCTGAAGGATGAGATAAACAGTCTGCGGACACTATGTAAAGAAGCAGAGAGTAAGGCTGACGAGCTGGACCTGATGACTAAGAGCTTGTCCACTGACCTTCAGACTGCTCAACAGACTGCACATGAGAAAGAGGCAGAATGGACATTAAAATTAGCAGCACTGGAAGAGCAACTTCAAACAAAGCAGGAGCTTCTGGAAACAGAAACACAGAAAAAGGTACAAATTGTCTGTCTAATCTTTCCCTACTGTATATGGAGAATCACACTTGCATGGGACTGATAATTTTCATGTAGCATTAAATTTGTCCATAAATACCTAATAGTGCTCTCTTTATAATAGCCTTCCCCCTCCAAAAGGAAGTTGGGGAGGAGGGGTATACTGGAATCAAGATATCCATCTATCTGTCAGTCTGTAGATGTAATGATGTACCAGCCTCTCTTAAACTACTGAATTGGTTTCAGCAATACTGGCTGGCTATAATCTTTATGCATTGTAGCTGTGTGTAACCTATATCAGATTGAGCTACCTCTCCTTTTTCGGAGAGTTATGCCCCTTTGGGAACTATGTAGGCGAGGGGTTTATTTGTTGGCCTGCAAACGACACTTCCAAGTTTCTCCACGAGATTCATATCCTATTAGGAAAAGTATGAAAATTCCATGTTATGTACCGTTACACAAAATTAACGTTCTTACTGACAATTCATTTGAATTTCAGGAGGAAGCAGAAAATAACATACAACATCTACAGCAGGAAGCTCTTGTTGTTCAGCAACAGCAGCAAGCAGTTCAGGAAAACCTGCAGCAGTCCATGGGAGATGCTGGATCCTTGAAACTCACAGTTGCCTCGTTAACTGCTGATCTAGATTCTAAAATTGGACAAGTAGAAAGACTTGAACAACAGGTCACAGAAATGGACTCTGCAATGCAAGTACTTTCTAACAAACTGGATGCAGAGGTGAAGTCTAGTGGCGAAGTTAAAAGTGAGTTAGAGAAGAGTATAGAAATACTCCAGTGTGAAGTAGCAGACCTTCAAAAGTCTGCTGCCGAAAAGGATTCGGTGATTAGTGATTATGATTCTCAAATGTCAGCACATTCACAAGAATTAAAGGACAGGTCTAGAGAGTTTTCAGAACAGCTTAAACATGAAAGTGAAATACGTGCTCAATTAGAATTAGATTTAGAAGAAAAGCAAAGGATATTAGCAGAAAGGAGTCAGTCATTTTCAAGTGAGTTAGAAAGTCTTTCATCCAAACTTTGTCAAAAGGAAGCTGCATGTCAGCAGAATGAATCTGAAGCTAATTTACTAAGAGAAACTCTTCAAAATAATGAAGGTGAGAAAGAAAACCTGCAGGAGCAATTGTCCAAATTAACCTGCGAAATTGAGGAATTGCAAAGTGGTCTTTCAGAAAGTAAAGCTAAGTGTGAGTCTTTGGCAAAAGATGTAGAAATTCTTAAAAGCGATTTGAGTAATGCTACAACTTCTGTGGCAGATTTGTCAAGTCAAAATGCTTCCTTAGAACGTAGTTTAGAAGAATCGGTGATTGTTTGCCAAGAAAAGGAAAAGACATTAGAGCTACTTACTTCAAATGTGGAGGATAGCAAAAGTGAATTGCAAAACCTTAACAAGCAGAAAGAGGAACGGATGCAAAATCTTCTGGAGGAAATAGCCCGTGCTGAAACACAGATTAAAGAAAGTACTTTAGAGCTTAATGCTTTGAAATCTGAGTTGGAAATGAAGAATTTACAATTAAGTGAAAATGAGAATGCTTTAGAAAAATATAAGGAAAGGACTAAAGAATTAGATGAAAAGTTAGCTTCTGTTTCTAGTGAATTTTCAAATGCTGAAAAAAGTGCTTCACAAACTATTGAGAGTCTATCGCAGGACAAAGTGTCATTACAACACGAAATGAGTCTCCTAGAAGAAAGTTCCTCAAAATTACAGGAAGAAAATGTGTCTGTTAAACAAAGATTGGAAGATCTTTCAAAGGAATTTTCATTAGTTCAAACCACAGTGCAATCTCAAAATGAGGAAATGGAAGTGATTCGGGAACAATTGAAGGAGTCTAAAAATTTGTGTCAGGCAACAGAGGAAGAACTTCGTACTTCAGTTGCAGAACGAGATGTGTTACAAGACAAATCACAGTGCTTACAACAGGAGAAGGATTGTCTGTCAAGCCAGGTTAGTGAATTAAAGCATGATTGTGATGAGAGACAGAAAGAAGTGTGCACTATATCCAGTACTGTTACAAAATTGAACGCTCAGTTAGAATCATTACAAATTGAGAAAACTAAAGACTTGGCAGCATGGAATGAGCATGTGAAGTCCCTTAAAGCTGACGTAGAGTCAGCCTCGTCCAAGTGTTCTAGCCTTGAATGTCAACTCGAGCATGCCAATTCAGAATTGAACAACTCACACCTGTTGCATGAATCTTATGTGAAACTGCATGAAGAAAATCTGGAAATTGTCAATCTGCAATTGAAAGAGAAAGAGCTGGCCTTAAAGGGGCTGGAAGAGAAAAACGTTTTGTCTAATAAAATGTTAGAGGATCTTGCCCAAAAGACATCGGTTGAATTTAAAGAATTGTCTGAAAAGTTGAAAAGGTCAGAAGAAACTGTATCTGATTTGGAAGGACAGTTACAGGAATTCACAACGTTTTGTTCAGAGAAAGATTATGAAATTTCGGCCATTAAGCACAAGTTTTCTGAGGCTTCCTCTGAATCAAATGAATTGCAGGTCAAAGTTGAAAGACTAGAGAGTGAAAATGTCAGTTTAAGTATGAGTGTGAATTCTTTGAACCAGTCAGTATTAGAAAAAGACAAGGCTATAGAGCAAAAAGATGAGAGAGTTGCGACACTGGAATCTTGTGTAATAAATACAGAAAAATTGAAAACTTCAACTGAAGAAGAAAGAAACTCTCTGCAGGAGACTAGAGAGCAGCTGGAAAAGGAGATAAGTGTTTCAAACAAAAAGCAGTCTGAAAGTGCCAAAATGATAGAAGATTTGAGTTTACTCCTGAAGAAACAGTCTTCATCCATTGAAGATATTTTAACATATGTTCAGGAAAAAAATCAGGAAATTGGCCAAGAGAACAATCATGTGCTGCTGCAAGACTGTGATTTAGAGAAACAAAAAGAATTTATCATGGACACTGTTTCTTCATTTGGTGATGAAATCCTTCAACTAAGAACATCTGAAAGTAAATTGATGTCACAGGGCATGGAAAAAGACAATCAGATAGTGATACTAGCTAGTCAAATAGAACAATCTGTCCATAATTTTCAATCTGTTGATTCCAAGTTGGCAGCTCTTCAAAAAGAAACAGTTGAAAAAGAACAGACTATAAAGGACTTGAGAAAAAGTGATGATATGTTGAGTGAAACCATAAATAGGATGGAGAAAACGGTGGAAGAACAGCGTCTAGCTGGAGAACAATCAAATCTAGAACTCAGCAGTCAGTTAAAACTTGTGACCGATGAAAAGCTTGCAATAGAAAAGTGCCTGTCAAATGAAGTTCAGAATCTTCAGATGGAAAAAGAGAATTTGGCAAAGGAAATGAATGACAATATACAGGCTTTAATGCTGGAGAAGGAGAAGATGTTTGAATCATTATCAGAAAAGATAGCTGCTTTAGAGGAAGGCAGAAACGAAATCACAGTTCAGCTGTCTGACAAGATCCAAGTTCTGTTGATGGAAAAGGGGAAATATTCTGATGAATTGGAAAACATAAAAAGAGAGAAAGAAACGTTGACATTAAAGTTTGACAGATTGAAACAGGAGAAAGATGAAATTGAAAAGATTAACACAGAGCAGGAGAGGCAGTTATCTACTGAACTGGAGGCACTAAAGATAGAGAAAGCTGACTCAGTCAGATCATTGGAGGAGAGAATAGAACTTCTGACAACGGAACATACCAAGGCCATAATGGAATGTGATGCCCATTTACAAACTCTCAGACAAGAGCAAGAGGAGCTCACTACTCATTTGAAACAAGAATTTTCAGAAATGAAGCAACAAAAGGAAGAGGTGATAAGGAACCAGAAGGATATGGAGAAGGAAAAAGAATGTGTCACACAGCAGCTGTCTGATCAGGTCAATACTCTCACAAAAGAAAAGGAAATTCTCTCACAGTCCTGTGTGGAGCTAGAGTCATTACTCTCTAACAAAGAGGAAGCGGTACAGTCCATGAAAGGTCACATCAAAGAGCTGACAACTTCCTTGGAAGAAACCATAGAGCGTTCTAAAACTGTAACAGAAGAAAAGGCAGAAGAAATTGACAAGCTCTTGAAGGAAAAGGAATTGATTGAAGAGAAACTTTCAGTTACAGAAAGAGGGCATGAAGAAAAAGTTCTGCAATACTGCAATGAAATCAAGTGTCTTAAAGAAGAAAATGAGTTTTCAAAGTCAGGTTTGAATGACGAAATTCAGTGCAAGACTCTTATTGTAGAAGAACTAGAAGCTAAACTTCAGATGTCTCAGAAAGAAATGTTAGATAAAGATGAAAGCAGCAAAAGGGCTTTGGGGGATTTTGAAAAATTGTTGACTGAAAAAGAGGAAATTATTTCTACTGTACAACAACGTTTCAGTTCATTGGAAGAGGAAAAAGATCATCTGCAGATCAAGTTGAGGGATGTTATATCAAATCATGAGGAAAGTGGAAAGAAACACATGGCAGAGTTTGAAGAGTTCAAGACTGAGAAGGAGGAATTAATAAATAGTCTCAGTGAGAGAATCACAATATTTGAATTGGAGAAAGGAAGACTTTCAGCTGAGTTGTCGGATAAAATCAAAATGTACGAGTCTGAGAAAGAGGATTGTCTGAAGGAGCATGCATCAGAGATTAAAGGAAGACAAGAAGAGCTGGACAGTGTTGTAGAGAAGCTGCAAACAAACATTCAGGTTTTGGAAAAAGAAAAAGAGCAACTAGCACTTAAGAACAAGGGTACAGTTGACCAGATGTGGAAAGAATATCAATCTTTGCAGGCCGAAAAGGAAAAGACCATTCTTTCTCTTGAGGAGAAACTAAAGTATGTTGAAGTAGAGAAAGATAAAGTAATGCTGGATACCTCAACAACGATAAAAGAACGAGATGAAACAGTAAAAACACTTGGGGATGATTTGGCCAAGCTAGAGGAAGAGAAAGTGAAGATTTCTCTTGAAATGGCAGAGAAATTACAGTCATTGAAGGAGAAAAAAGACAACATTGAAAATTCTCTATGCACTGAGTTAGATGCACTAAGAAAAGAAAAGGATGAAATGATGCAAAATTTGACAGAAAGAATGGGAAAAGTTGAACATCAAAAGGAAGAACTTTCCAAACATTTTGATCAGAAAATAAAGCAGATGACTGAGGAAAAAGAGAACATGTCAAAGGACTTCCATAATTCAATATGCTTACTTAAAGAAGAGAAAGAGGATCTTGAATTAAAATTATCAATACAGGTGAAAATGTCAGGAGATGAAAAAGAAAATACAAAACAGCTTCACTGTGAAATAGAAGATATTAGATTAAAGATGGAGAAAGCAACATCTGGAATGCAAAATGAGATAAAAGATAAGCAATCAGCCATTATAAATCTACAAGAGAGCATTGACGTTTTGGAACAGGAAAAGCAGGAATTAGTTCAGTCCTCTTCTGCCCAGCTAGAGAAATTGTCAGAGGAAACAGAAAAAGTGATCAAGGAGCTAAAAGTGTCCTTGGCAACTGAAATAAACAGTGGAATGGAAGTGACAGAGAGTTTATCATTGGAGATTATGAAATCTTCAGAATTAGAAGAAAAGCTAGAAATACAGTGTAAAAAGAATGCTGAATTGACGTCTGAACTTGGTGCTTTGAATGAAGAATTAAGGTCTTTGGATTTGAAAAGATGTGCACTTGAAGACCAGCATGTTGTTGATGAGAGCATGATTACACAATTGAAAGAAACAGAGGTTAAATTGAATGGAGACATAGAGTCATATAAGTGCAAGTTGTGTGAGGTTGAGACGGAATTATCGTCATCAAAGAATGCAGAGGAACTTATGAAAAACAACTTGGGAAAAGCTCATCGTAAACAAGAGGAAGCAAATGCAGAACTTTCATCAACAGCTTCTGCTTTATCACAGTCACAAAAGGAATGTGAAACTTTGAGATCTGAAATGGACAAGACCAAATTCAAGTTTGAGGATACTGAAAACACACTGCAGAAAATGTGTTCTGATGTTTCTTCAGAAAGAGATACACTGCTTCGCCAAGTTGATCAGTTGTTGGAAACTGCACAAAGAGACTCTAAAGAGAGGGAAATTTTATCTCAAAAATTGGAAAATTTGTCTGCTACTTCGACTGAAACCAGTAAAGAGAAAGATGAAGTTTGTCAAAAACTGCAAAATACAACTGAATTGATGAATGATATTTGTCAAGAAAAGGAACGCCTGTCTCAAGACTACACAGCATTAACCAAGGACAACCTTATTCTGTCTCAGAAAGTAAATGATTTACAAATTAAGTTGAATGAAGATGCAGAAATTACACAGAAGGAAATTGAAGCTTTAGCATGTAAAAACACTTCTCTTCAGTCAAACATTGAGGAAATAAGTAACACATTATCAAGGGAATTAGATGAGAGGAAGAATTTGGAAACAAAACTTGAAAGCCTTCAACATGAAAGAGACACTTCAGTGGCCACATTGGAACAAGAAGTCACACTCTTACAACAGAAACTGGCTAATTCTGAAGGAAGGGCAACTGAGCTCGAAAAAACACTTGATACCTTGCAGACCGAGATGACTAACCTCACAGCATCCCACAACACACTGAACACAGAGTTTCAACAGGTCACAGAGCAATACATGCAAGCAGAAACAGCTTGTTTGAAGGCTTGTCAAGAAAAGGAAGAGGCAATTCAAAGGAATGAAGTGACAGAAAAACAAATACAAACCATTTCCGAAGAATATAGACTGGCGAAGGATGAAAACATAGATGTTAGAAGACAACTTGAGAATGTGAAAGATGACTATGTGGCTGTTGCAGAAGATTTGAAGTCTTCAAATATTGAACTGCTTAATAGAAATTCTACTGTTTCCATATTGGAGAAAGATTTGGCTACCTTGACATCATCTTTTGAGTTAGTAAAAACAGAAAAAGACGATCTCTCACACATGCTGCAAAAGAAGGTAGATGATCTTAAAGCAATGTGTGATGCCAAAGAGGAGCTTGCTGAAGCATTAGAGAAAATGGGAGCACGACTTCAAAAAAAGAGGGAAAAATTGGACGATGTCACAACTTCCTTAACGAAAGAGAAACAAGAACTCCAGTTAAGTCTAGAAGCTGTGGAAAAAGACAAAGATATTTTGACACTTAAACTGGATGCTGCAGAGAAAGATATGAAATGCATTACCGAAGATAAACAGACCATTGCAGGAACATTAAAAAGTCTTAATAGTGAACTTGTAAGTATATCTGAAAAATTGGCCAAAGCAGAGACACTTCTAGATGCTGCAAACCAAGAAAAAGTTGAATTGATAAGTGAATTGAGCAGTGCAAAAACAGACAATGAAGAATGCAACAGACAGCTGGATGAACAAAGCAATCTATCTGAAGACATTGAAAGACAAAGGACAAAAATGGCAGAAGACCTGAACAAAGCAAAACAGGATTTGAAAAGAACTAATCAGTCCTTAGAGGAAGCAAAATCTGAGCTTGAAGATCAGAAAACATTGATGCAGCAGAATGAAAAAGTAATAGAGAAGGTGGAGAAGAATTTACAAGAGGTATTGGAAGAAAGAAGAATTCTGAGTCAACAGTTAGATGAAGTAAATAACAATGTGGATCAATTAAAGCAAACTTGTACCGAAAAGCAGAAAGAAATTGATGATCTTTGCACAGTACATCAGCAATTGAAGGAAACAAATACAGATTTATCGAAAGATGTTGAGGAAAACAGAAAGGTTATTGATGGATTGGAAGCCACCAAAGATGATCTCAGTCTGAAGACAGAAACTTTGCAAGCCAGTATTCTATCACTTAAAGACAATCTTCAGCATATGGAAAAGCAGCGTAAAGAGCAGCAGGAAGAGAAAGATGAATTGATGTTGAAATTGAAAGATGCAAATGATGAAATACAGTCCTTGGTAACCTCATTGCATTCGAAGGAAGACAATTTTGCAAAATTGGAACAAGAATTGTCAGCTTTATCACAGGAATATGTCTCAGTAAAAACAACTCTATCAAATTTACAACGGGAAAAAGAAAGCTTGTTAAATGAGAGTGAACAAAATTCGAATGAATTAAAGCAAAACTGTGAACAACTTGAACAAAGAGTTTGTGAAATGGAATCAGAACAAGCAACACTTACATCAAGTCACGACAAATTGAATATTGAGCTAGGGAACGTAGAAGCAGAGCTAAGCAAGAGGAGAGTAGAAAAAGAGAGGATAGAGCAAGCTCTGAGGGAATCAGTAGACAGCTGTCATGGATTGACTGAAGCACTACAAGAGGCACGAGATGTTACACAGAGTAAACAGGATCGTATAAACGAAATAGAAAATTTGATGTCAGAGAAACAAAATGAAATTGTCATGATGAAGGAAAGTGAAATGGAAAAGATGGATTGTATATCAGAGCTTACGAAACAAGTAGATATGCTTACAAAACAAATTCTTCAAGATGAACAGGAAATTAATTCAGAAAGAGCTATCACCAGGAAAATTATTCAAGAAACGAAATGTCAGGCAAGAACTTACTGTGAGGAAAGACAGAATCTTCTGAACATGCAGAAATCAAAGGAGCAGGTTTTGGAGCAAGAGTTAGTGGATTGGTCAACCAAAGTATCAACTCTGTTGACAGAAATGAAACACATTCAGGATGCTAAACATGACGCTGAGACAAAGCTTGAATGTGTTCACACAGAAAACAATCAACTACATCTGCAGATTGCAGACATCCAAAGTCAGGTTTCAGCACTTGAATCAGAAAAGAGAAATTCAACAACACTGCTGGAAGATTCATTTCAGCAAAGGATTAGTATTGAGAAGGAAAAGGAAGAAATCTTTCAACAGATGACAGTCATGCAAACTCAGATTGCAAAACTTGAAAAAGACTCCACTGAGCAAATTCAGTCACTTCAAGAGGACAGGCATCAGTTGTCAGAACAGTTATGTACATTCCAAAGTCAAGCAGCAGCATTAGAGTTAGAAAAGAGGAATTCTGAGTCAGTCTATGAGGAACTTTCCACTAAGCTAAAATGTCAAGAGGAAAGTCTCCTTCAGGAACAGTCTAATGCTGTGGTAGCAAAGACAGAAAATGATGAATTGAATTTTCAGATTAACAAACTGAAGGAATTTCAAGCTGATCAACTAGCACAAATCAGTATTCTAGCATCTCAATGTGAGGACCTTGAATCTTCTACCCATGCTGATAGAAAAGCTTTCAAGAATCAGCTGATGGAAAAAGAAAGACAGATAGGAGAGGCCCATGATTTATACAAATCAATGCAGACAAAATCAGAGGAATTGGGACAGCAGCTTCTTGATTTGCAAAAGAATCATGCTACGGTTGAAACGGAAAAGAGAAACATTGAGGTATTGCTTGAGGAAAAATGTGAAAAGTTGACTTCTGTAGAGAGCAATAGGGATGAACTATCTTTGGAACTTGCCTCTATCAAAGACCAAGTCATAATACTTGAAATTGAACAGAAAAAGTCTTCAATTCTCCTGGAAGATACAGTTGATAAAAAATGTTCTATTGAGGATGAAAAAGCAAAGATCACACAGGAACTAAAAGAACTGCAACATAAATTCACAGAACTGGAAAGGGAGTCTTCTCATCAAGCAAAGACACTTGAGGAGGAAACACATAAATTATCAGAGCAGCTATCCACATACCAAAGCCAAATTGCAACACTTGAATTGGAGAAAAGTACTGTTGATGGAGTACAGGAGGATCTTTCCAATCAGCTGAAGTGTGTCCAGGAAATTCTCCATCAGGAACAATCCAATATGGTTAATGCAAAGACAGAAAATGATGAATTGAATATTCAGATTAACAAACTGAAGGAATTTCAAGCTGATCAGCAAGCACAAATCAGTATTCTAGCATCACAGTGTGAGGACCTGGAGTCTTCTACCCATGCTGATAGAAAAGCTTTCAAGAATCAGCTGATGGAAAAAGAAAGACAGATAGTAGAGGCCCATGATTTATACAAATCAATGCAGACAAAATCAGAGGAATTGGAACAGCAGCTTCTTGACTTGGAAAAGAATCAGGCTATGGTTGAAGAAGAAAAGATGAACTTGGAATCATTGCTTGAGGGTAAAAGTTGTCAGTTGACTTCTTTGGTAAAGGAAAAAGATGAAATGTCTCAGCAATTAGTGGCAACTGAAAATCAAGTGAAAGCTTTGGAAGCTGAACAGAAGAACTCAACAAGTCTACTGGAAAATTCATTCAGTCAAAAATGTTCTATTGAGGACGAAAAAGCAAAGGTCACTGAGGAGCTAGCTGCATTGCAACTTCAATTTACTGATCTGGAAACTGAATCGTCCCAGCAAGCAATGACTCTTCAGGAGGAAAAACAAAAATTGTCAGAACAAGTATCCTCATTCAAAAGCCAAATTGCAACACTTGAATCAGAGTTGAGGAACTCTGAGTTAGTAAAGGAGGATCTGTCCCAACAACTTAAATGTCTTCAGGAGAGTCTTCATCAGGAACAATCAAATACAGTGGCAGTGAAGACAGAAAATGATGAATTAATTATTCAGATTAACAAACTGAAGGAATTTCAAGCTGATCAACAAGCACAAATCAGTATTCTAGCATCACAATGTGAGGACCTGGAGTCTTCTTCCCATGCTGATAGAAAAGCTTTCAAGAATCAGCTGATGGAAAAAGAAAGACAGATAGTAGAGGCCAATGATTTATACAAATCATTGAGGACAAAATCAGAGGAATTGGGACAGCAGCTTCTTGATTTGGAAAAGAATCAGGCTATGGTTGAAATTGAAAAGAGAAACATTGAGTTATTGCTTGAGGAAAAATGTGATAAGTTGACTTCTGTAGAGAGCAATAGAGATGAACTATCTTTGGAACTTGCCTCTATCAAAGACCAAGTCATAACGCTTGAAACTGAACAGAAAAAGTCTTCAATTCTCCTGGAAGATACAGTTGATAAAAAATGTTCTATTGAGGATGAAAAAGCAAAGATCACACAGGAACTAAAAGAACTGCAACATAAATTCACAGAACTGGAAAGGGAGTCTTCTCATCAAGCAAAGACACTTGAGGAGGAAACACATAAATTATCAGAGCAGCTATCCACATACCAAAGCCAAATTGTAACACTTGAATTGGAGAAATGTACTGCTGATGGAGTACAGGAGGATCTTTCCAATCAGCTGAAGTGTGTCCAGGAAATTCTCCATCAGGAGCAATCTTATATGGTTAATGCAAAGACAGAAAATGATGAATTGAATATTCAGATTAACAAACTGAAGGAATTTCAAGCTGATCAACAAGCACAAATCAGTATTCTAGCATCACAATGTGAGGACCTGGAGTCTTCTTCCCATGCTGATAGAAAAGCTTTCAAGAATCAGCTGATGGAAAAAGAAAGACAGATTGTAGAGGCCCATGATTCATACAAATCAATGCAGACAATATCAGAGGAATTGGAACAACAGCTCCTTGATTTGGAAAAAAGTTTCACATCAGTTGTTACAGAAAAGAATAACTTGGAAGCATTGCTGGAAGAAAAATGTTGCCAATTGACTTCAGTTGAGAATGAAAAAGATGGAATGTCACAGCAATTAGCAGATGTTCAAATTCTTGTTGTATCACTACAAACGGAAAAGAGTCACCTCGAAACATTGGTTGAGAATTATAGCAGTCAACTGAAGACTGTTCACGAGGAAAAGGATGGAATTTCTCAGCACCTGGAAAATATTCAGATGAAGCTGGCATCTCTTGAGACAGAAAAGAAAACTTCTGATGACTTGATGAAGGATTACATCAGTCAACAGCAATCTGCACAGGAAGAAAATGAAAGCATGAATCAACAACTAGAAACTGTTAAATCAGATATGGAATTCCAGCTCAAGAAACTTTCAGAAGAACTTGAAACAGCCAGGAGAGAACAGAAAGAAACAGAAACGATATTGAACCAAAGGGAAAGTGAAACCAATTCTCAGATAAGTCTTCTTCATGCAGAAACATGCTCTGTGCAAGAGCAACATGAAGCACTACAGAGCATGTTTAGAAAACTTGTTTCTGATCATAAAACACTGACCAAAGATTTGGATAAGACAAAAGAACTGGTTGCAGAAAAATCAAAAGAGATACTGGAAATGAAAAATAATCTGATGGAATCAACAGACAGTTTTCAGCATAACCTTGCTATTCTGCAAAGTGAAAAGGTTGAATTACAAGAAAATCTGCAGCAGCAGAAAGAGAAGTTTGGTCAAAACTTAGGTATATTGGAAGACGAAAACAACAAACTTCAGAACCAGTTTGTTGATGCTAGAGAACAGTTGAGAGATTTTGAAGCTCAGGTCACAGACGAAAGAACCACACACGAAACACAGTCAGTTGATATGGAGAAAAGATTGACTGCACTTGAGGATGAAGTAACGAAGAAAGAGACGGAGATTACACACCTCAGGGAAAGCTTGATGGAGAAAGAAAGGGAACTTATTGATGTTCATGATATCAACACAAAAAATGAACATTTAACGGCAAAGCTTCAGGAGTGTCAACAAGAGATGATGGAGAAAGAAACCCAAAATAGCATACTCGTTCAAGAAACTTTGAACTCACAAAATGCAAGATATTTATCTGAAATATCCTATGCTGCCGTTATGAAGAAACTGGTTCAGGAAAAAACGGAATCTAAGAGAGAGAGGGATATGGTGTATATGGAACTGACTGCCAAAATTGAACAGAACACATTACTACAAGACAGGCTATCAGAGTTGGAGAATTTCAAGGAAACCTTTGAAATGGATAGGAAAAATCTCCAATCTGATGTTAAGGATTGGTCTGAAAAATGTGAGGGGCTCATGAAGGACATGGCACAAAAGAATTCTGAACATGATGTTGTCCTCGAAGAAAGAAACAGTCTCCTGAAGCTACATGAGAAAGATGAAGATGACCTGAAGTCACGAGAAATATCGTGTTTAGAGCAGAATAGATTAATAGAAGAGCTGCGTAATCTTCTTGACAGGAAAGAGGAAGAGATCGTTTCTCTGAGGACGGCTTGTTCTGATTCTCATGTTGAGGTTGAAAATTTGCGGTTAAAACTAGAAGATACTGGTAGCCAGTTGGAGGGACATTTACAAAGTAGAAAATTGTTACAGAGTGAGATAGACACTTTAAAAGACAACAAGAACAGTGAGTTGAAAGACATGGAATCAGAAAAAGCAATGATCATGCAACGTTTGGAAGAAACAGAACAAAGGGTGCAGACATTGGAAGATGAAAATAGAAGCTTGGCTGACAATATTGTAGACTTGAACAGCAAGGTGAGATCTGCAGGTGATGAAATCAAGGTCGTCCTTGACAACAAAGATGTTTTGGAACAACAGCTGGAACAATATGTGCTTGATAATGAACAGCTAGCAAAACAGGTAATGATGCATAGCCTGTATAATTTGAGAGATGGTATATCTAGATGCAAACAATTGATATCTCATGGTGAAAATCACAATGAAAAATCAATTCCTCTCAAATTGTACAGAACTTTGAATACATAAATGACTTCACATGCTCTTTCTATGTCAAAACTCCATTTCGCACTGTTCCATTCTTCTCTCAAGACTTTTGTCAGTATGGCAAAGTAAGATAACTTTAAAGCTATGTAACATATATTTATGCCATGGGAATACTTTTGAAGTATTATAGATATTTTTGGAGATTTGCAATCAAAATAACATTAGAACTGAAGGCCTTGGCATGAAATAATGAGTAAAAAAACACAGTTATGTAAGGAATGCACTAAATTTCAATGTTGTTCAAAGCATGTTTTGTTCATTAATATTTCATATTTTTTTTTCAAATTTTGAAAAATGCCCTATTAAGTACATATTGTATTGTAGAAATTTCTAAAACTGAAATGATGTTGATAACACATCACCAGAATTTAAACATACAACAAACATATAAGTAAACAAAAAAAATCAGGTGTAGGTGTTCTCTTCAATAACAGAGCCTTAAATGAGACAAATTAGATTCACTGCTAAACTTATACTTTTGAGACACAATTTCAAAATGAAAGTATTTGCCATCACATGCATTTTGTCAGTTTCTGTCAGTTGTTTATACAGGTGAAAGCAGTTCAAAGGTCATTAGGTAAAATAAAGGTGACAAGCTTCAAGATAGTATAAGGCCTATTAAATCATGGTTTGATGAATTTAAAGGTTTATTCATATTTCTACTTAATGTTGTCAGAAAAACAATACAAAAATATATGACAAGCATTTCTTGATGAAGTATAATTTAGTGTTGGAAATCTGAAGTTACATATTACCATTTTTAATAATGTACACGTGTAATCCAGTAAGACTTATATAAACCTGTTAAATTAAATACATCTCATGCTTGATACAGACATTTACGAAGCAATGATATAAAAAATAGAATACTGATGCATTTTAGAGAACTTTGATATACAATATTGTTACCTACTGGCAGTGCTTACAATTGAATTGCTCAAGAAATTTAGTCTTTATGGTCTGTATCTGTTTTTCAAAAACCTGCCACACCACATATGGGATACTTTTGCAATTAGTTTTATTGATAAATGTCAATAATGTGTCAAATTTTAAAATTTACTCTGCAAAGGTTTTGTGTATTCTTACTGTCAAGCCTGAGAAAAGTACATTTCATAAATTCCTTCACTTGAATCATATCGGATATTTTTGCCAGAAAAGTAGGATTTTTGAATTTATGAACAATTTAAAAGATTCCCAGACAATTCATGTCTTAAAGCAGTAAATTATAACTCTATTCAAGATATCCTTTATGTGATAAGATTTTTAAGCAATTAAAAAACACCCGTAGTGTTAGTAAATGCACATTCAAAAGACATGTTTATTGGATAAGTACAGTCTACTATAAGAACAAAGTACTCAGTATTTCCATTTCAGTACTGTATTATAGTATTATGGTTAAGTGTTGCCTTGTGGCAACAGGAGGGAGACTGAAGTGTTCTTTTAAATACTTTTCAATATCGGCAGACACCGATGTTAATGTAAGGAAGTTCTGATAGGCTTAATTTCGTGACAATTTTCAGTTTAGTATTTTTGATGTAAGGATGTCTTTTCACTTGAGGGTGTATAATTCTGTATTAAAGTTGAGATTAAGATAACTTATATCCCATCGATAATCTTCAGATTACTTAAATTTATTCTGAAGATACCTTCAGCAAACATTCCACCAGATTTGTTTTGGTATTAACTTTGTGATGTCATATTCTACATTATTAATAAAAGTTGTGCTCAGGTCAGTTTCTAAAAATTATTTAGTACAATAGCAGACTTGTTTTGACGCATACAGTTTTCAATCATGATTAACACAGATATTGGGAATGTAGTGATTAAAAAATTATCAGTAAAAAAGACATTTTTATGGGTCTTGAAAGTTGGAGATGACTCTTGTAGAAAACTTCAATTATCAGTGAAAATAAACATACAAAGCAAGATTTTTTTTCCCTCAATATTTTTTTTTCTGGATTTCATCTTGTAACAAGTCAGGGATAAAAGTTTGAAAAAAGCTATTTCACTGAAATTCTTTTACATTAATTTTTGTTTATCTCTCTCCTTGTCTCCTTTATAGTAGATTGATTTTTTGAAAAAAAGATATTGTGTATTCTAATTCTTATTCTTCATGCAATAGATACCGGCAAATATTTCTCTCAGGTGAAATGAGAATTTTTGTATTTTATTGCCCTCACTTGAAGTAAATTTTCCTTTCCTGGAAATCAAGTTCTTTCCAGAAATAATGAGTTGATATTTATAAAAATGTAACTGATTTGCTGTGATCATGAATTTTATTATCACAAGGATTATATTACCGAATTACAGCAACAACTACTGGCATCAGAAATAGAGGGTCTTCGCCAGACTGCCGAGGAGAGGGAGGCTAGTCATAAACATGATTTAGAAGACAAGGACAAACTGCTCACTTCTAGAGATGAAGAAATTCTCAGTATCTCACAGAGGTTGCAGGAAACGGAGCAATATCTACGAGCTGAGAAGGAGGCACTTGAAGCTCAGCAAGTCGAGACAAATGTGAAAGATGAAACATCAGATGAAAAGGACAGCATAGCTAATGAGCTGAAGAAATTCAAGAAATTATGTAAAGGAAAAGATGCAAAGATCAACAAACTGATGAAAGATCAAGAAGAGAAACTGGCTTCAGTCACTAAGGACTTGGAGGAGAAGATCATCATTCAAAAAGCAGACCTTGAAAAATACCAAACATTACTGTTTGAGAAGGAAGGCTCAGAAACAGAACTGCAGAAACTACAAAAACTTGCCAAAAGTAGAAGTGTAAAAACCAAAAAGTTTGAAGAAGTTGTTGCTGAACAGGAAAAGATTATTGCATCTAAAGACACAGAACTCTTCATTATTCAGGAGAGAGTGAAAGAGCTGGCAGAAAAACTTGAAGATGCACAATATGAAGAGGATGCACTCCGCAGCCATCTGGAACATGAGAGCAAAGGTCAGGAAGAGCTCAGACTTAAGTGTAAAAGTCTGCAAAACCAGATTGATGTGATGAATCGGGAGGCTCATATTGAAAAGATGCAGATATCCAGCACTATGTCTCAGTTAGAGCAGTGCCAGGTAGAATCAGATGATATGGCAGCAAAATTGATGGCAGAGAAGAAAGCTTTAGATCAGTCTCTGACTGAAAAGTTATCCACTGTCAACGATCTCCAAGAAAACTTGACATCAGCTCTTCAAGAGAAAGATAGGTTGACCGTTGAACTGAAGAAGATGCAGAAGATTGTGAAAGGGAAAGAAGCAAAGTTGAAGAAAATGGATCTAGTCATATCTGAAAAAGAAGAACTGGTAAAAGTGAAAGAGGATGCTGTAAAACATCTACAAGTTCTATTTGAGGAGATGAAAGAGAAGTATGAGGACACTGTGGATGAGCTTGAGAAACTAGCGAGTGAGAACGAAAAACTACAGAAAGTTGGAAAAGGTAGGCAAAAGAAGGCCCAGAAGTTTGAAGAGGTTGTTGAGGCACAGGAAAGAGTGCTGGCTAGTAAAGATACTGATGTCATTATACTACAGGAGAGGGTGAAAGATCTCACACTAAAACTAGAGGAGGTTGAGGAAGAGAGTGAAGATGCCCATTACCGCCTAAACGACAGTCAACAGGCCACAAAAAGCTTGGAGGATAAGTGTATTGAGTACGAGTCCTATGTGACCCAAGTAAATAGTACCATATCACAGAAGGAAAGTGAAATTGTATCTTTACGCGAAGACATTGCTATATTAAATAGTGAAAAGAAACAGCTGGCATCAGAAATTCAGGAAACAAGACAAGAATTACTGAGTAAAGAGCAAACAATATCAGAAATAGTTTTGCAGTTAGATTCTGCAAAAGAGGAAAAAGAACAACTGTTGAAGGAAGTCAGTGTACTGAAAGAAGGGGGGGATGATTTTGTGAAAAAGGAAAGGGAGCAACTAATGAATGAAATAGATAGACTTAAAAAGGTTGGGAAAGGAAAAGCTGCAAAGGTGCAAAAGTTTGAGGAGATTGTGGCAAAACAGGAGCAGATATTAGCTGAAAAAGACACTGATGTGTTGATGCTCAAAGAACGTGTCAAAGAACTGTCTGAGAGTCTTCACCATGAATCTCAAATGGTAGATGAGTTGGAAGTAGAGGCTGAAAGGTCCCGATACTGGGAGGACAAATTTGCTGAAGTAGACAGGAAAAACCAGGAACTAAATAAACAAATTGAGGAGAATAATGCAATGCATAGTTTAGGTGATAAGATGGATGAATCTTACTCCATGTCTGTTCAGAGAGTTGAAGCAGAGGTGATAGAACCAGTGTTTGCTGCTCAGTCTATGCAATCCTTGATGACAAGTACGCCGAAACGACAGGAAGGAAAGATGGAAGAACGAATGAAACAACAATATGAACAAGATGTTCAAATGATAAAAGAACAGGCTGAACAAGACAAACATGAACTAGAGACTTCCCTGAACAAACTCAAAACTCTTTGTAAAGCCAAGGATGCAAAAATAGCCAAATTGACAAAGGGAGGAAAGGTTAAAGGGAAAGGGGCGGATGTTACTGCACCAGATGTTGACATATCCACTCTGATGTATGAGTTGGAAAATTGCAAAAAGGAAGTGTCGGTGAAATGTAGTGAAATTGAATCCCTAGAAAAGTCATATAGAGAGGATCAAGAAAAAATGGCATCACTGCAACAAAACTTCAACACTATCCAAGCTAGTGTAGAGGTGAAGAATGAAGAAATTGTCCAACTGAAGGAACAACTTCAAGGCTATGGTGATTGGCATGAAAATGCTGTAGCAGACCTACAGAAGAAAAGCGAGGAAAAAGACGCTTTGTTGGTCCAGTGGCAACAATATGGAGACAATACACAAAAGCAGATTGCCTACCTTATGCAGTTTGAGGCTCAGTGTCAACAATTGCAGGCTGAATTGGCCAGTGTAAAGGAAACTATGGAGAACTTGGAAGTAGCCAAGCAAGAAAGTTTAAACAAGGTGATTTCATTGGAAGGTGAGATTGAGGACATGAAGGCTGAATTAGACAAAAGCTCAGGAAATGATGAAATGTATCGCCAGTTGGAAGTGAAGCACATGGAACTTCAGAACCTTGACAAGTCTCGAGTGGATGATCTCGCTTTTAAAGACCAAGAGATCATGTCAATTAAAGAGGACATGGACAATTTGAGGTTGACACAATCAGATGTTGTGAAGGGATTACATATCCAATTACAGGAAAAAGATGTTGAATTATCAAATATGCAACATGCCCTGACACTTTCTCAAGACAATCAGTTAGGAAACCAAGCCAAACTTGACCATATCAGTACCACGCTGTTACAGATAGTCGATGACTATGATGGTAACCAAGGATCTTTAAAGATGGAGGATGTCAATGAAACCAAGTTGGATGCTGTTGAAAGATGTCTGCCACTTACAAGGAAGTTAGTTTCTCATTTAAGAACTGCAGTTGAGGAGCTGACAGAAAAATGTCGGGAGAAAGATGATTGTTTGTCGATTCTAAATAATGAAAACAAAAATTATTCAGATAGAGCAAGAAATTTAGAGCACAGCCTTCAACATTTAGAACAGTCCTATAAGGAAATTCTTTTTGATGTTGAAATGAAGGATTCTAAAATTTCCTCCTTGGAGGAGGGTATCAGAATAATGCAGTCAACTGGCCAGAACAGTGAACAGTCTCTACAAGACAAAGCTTTAGAAATTCATGAACTGCATACTCAGATTCAACGTCTTAAGGATAATTTATCTCACCAAGGTGGGGAGATGCAGAATCTACAGGAACTGTACTCTAGTCAGTGTGAGAAACTTGAAGAGACGTTAGAGTCCATGGAAGAAGCGGGGCAAATATATGGTCAACGACTCCAGCAAAAAGAGGCCCATATCTCAGAGCTGAAAGATGAGATCATGCAACACAAACAAGCTACACTGGAAGTATTGCAGCAAGTAGATGGGAAGGAATCCCAGATCAGCGAGCTACAGAACATCACGCGAAACTTAGAGGAATCAAATTCCAAGCTTCATGCTGATATTGGAGAAAAAGATACAATGATGAGTAATTATGAAATGAAAATGGCGAATATGGAGAATCAGCTCCAGAAACAAATTAATTCAACACGAGATTTTCAGCAAATGTACAATGACCAAATGGAAAAACAAAATCAAATGATGAAAGATATTGAAGAGTTCAATGATGCCAGCTCAATACGGTTACAGGAAAAAGAGGCTGCACTTTTAGAATCCATGAAATTGATGAGTCAGGCACAGGCATCACAGAAGGAGTTAGAAACGGCTAACTTGTCTTTAAGAGATATGTTAGACAGCAAGGAAGCTGAGTTATCAGTTGTACAACAAACATTGGCTCAAGCTGAGGAATCTGTAGAAACGAATTTGAAATTTTTGAGTGAACGCGAAGGTGTTATTGCTGAACTTCAGAGCAATTTGACAAAATCTGAGGGATTTGTTAGGAGCCAAGCAGTCAGTATTTTAGAACTGGAAAATAAGCTTGAGTCCTTAACTCAGGAATTAAAAATGTCACAGGAAACGTCAAGCCATTTTCAGGAGACTATCATTGAAAAAGATTCTGCTCTTCAGAAACAACTTCAAATATGTGCAGATCAAAATGACAATTTGCAGAGTTTGAATTTAGATGTAAGTCAGTTACAAAATCAACTGAAGTCTGTTGAAGACAATCTGCATCAGTCGGAAGAACAGACCCGAAATAAAAATGAGGAACTCGCGGCATTGAGGCAAGAACATCAAAGTCTACTTGGAGAATACACCATGAGGAAAGATTTTCAAACTTCTGTCGAAAGTCAAATGCAGATGGAAAGAGCACAGCCATTGAGGTCATCACCTTCGGATAAAGATGGAGTTCCACAAGAAATTGTGGACGATATAATCAGAGAAACATCTGTATCCTTGGAATCGGTTCCCAAAGATGTAAGCGTAGTTGTTTGTCGAGGATATTTCAACCCTGTATCACTTGTATATTCTGTGTATACCTTAACTCTCTCTAATGCATGCCTCTGCCTAGCTTTCTTGACTACTGAGGTGTATCTGTGGTGGCTAATGTAGTTCATTAATATACACAACTCACCGCTCCTTCTGTACACATATGTGACAATTCTGAAAGCTTGTATTGTATGATACAGACTGTTAGAAGCTAGTTTTTTTCTTGGTTGGCTACTTTTTAATCATTTGCTGTATAACAGTCATTAATTCATTGATTTTTTGTTAGGCTTTTTGCTAGTCATCATTTTTGTATAGTTATAGTCAATTTACTTTTATTTAAATTTTTGTAGATTCATCTCCCTTGATTATTACACTTAAAAGAGTGGTCATTAGGAAATCTCACTAGCACATAAGAAATCAAAATTATACCTAGAAAAATCTACAATGTTATTGCATTGAATTACAGAATATTTCAATACAGAACCATATTTTATTATTCCACTTTGAATTAAGTCAAAATAATTAAGCATGTTGCATTAATTTTGATTTTTGCTTCTTTTGAAGATTGCTGTAGTGAAGTTTTTTCAGATGAAAATCATAAAAAAAATTTGAAGTCATTTTTATGAAAATAAGTCCTTGATAAAGCAATAAAATAAGTCTTTAATAAAGTAATATGCTGGTGGACAATCATTCTTTAAATTAGGATTATAATTTGTTATTGTTTCAAAATGAATTGTCACATGTTGGAAATTATCACATTTAATGCTACTAACAGTGGGAAGATGGCAATAGTCTGTAAAACATATCTTATTTTTTTTTGTGTCCCTCATTTTCTTGTCCTTAATTGGGCATTTGCATTAGTGTGTAATTATACATAGGTCTTCATAGCTATAAATTATTTACATAAACTTAAGTGTTATACATGTAGCATATTCGAAAGAGCTTGAGGTTTTTTGTTAAATGCCATGATATTGCAAATGTTGTTTCTTGAAATATCATTTGTTAAGTTTATCCACAAAGAGATAACTGGTCAATCTTCTATCAAGAACTGCGAAATCTGTTTCTGAAGAAAATTGCATTCGGTAAATCTGTAACCAATAGGAACAATTTCTTGTTAACATGTAGTAAATCTTTAATTACAGCTGGTAGTTATGCTACATATAAAAAATAATTACTGGTAAATCTGTTACAATATAAAATCAAACTACAGACAATTTAATTCATTTGTTACCTGCAAGGAAAGAATAATTAGTAAATTTGTTACCATGGTAAATCTGTTACTTAGGAAATAAATACTGATAAATCTGTTACCAAGGAAACAACTTCTGACAACTTGATCTGTTACCAAGAAAATTAAATGCTGGTAAATTTGTTGTTGGGAAAATAACTTAAACAATAAAGATGTAGAAAAAACAGTTTATCAATAGGAGAAAATCTTTGAAATGATTTTATGCATGACGGTACATGTTAAAAGTTATAATGTATTGTATGTTTTATCCAAGAGCTACTAGTCACTGATATATGTGCATGATTTTTACTGCATGGATGACTGAAACTGAAATATTTGTGGACCAAGATTGATGATAAATCGGTGTTATAGTGAAGTTTGCTGATATCAAGAGTTAAATGTTACATGGCAGTGTATGGTCAGGTGAAACAGTGGGAAAACATGTACTATTTACTATACATGACCAGGGTTTAATTCTCCAATTAGAGGTTAAAAGGTATGGGGTCACCTGCCCATCAATATGGATTTTCCCCATGTACTCTAGATTCTTCACAGTATGGTCAAAATATTCTCCCACAAGAGTATTTCATATAAGTGAAAATAAGTTTTCACACAAATATTTTAAGATAAAGAAATTAATTTAAATACATTAAAGGAAGTGTTGTTAAAAAGAAAATAAACAAGATTAAGTTTAATATTTTTGATAAAAAAGTATTAAAAATGAAAAAGAAAATGTTGTTTGTGCTGTATTTTTACCGAATGATGATGAACCATAAATATAACTAAATGATATATAATACCATATTTTATTAGCAGTGATGAACATAGCTTCGCCAACAAATATTTGTAGTAGGTAGCATTACGAAACAAAATGTCCTTTGAGGGTTTGTTATATGAGAATAGTACACAAATCATTCAGCTGTCCATAGTATTTGTATTTACAGTGACAACTGATTAAGCAGAAGGTATCGCCATTGTTATATCATGGTGGTCTATTTAACTCATTATAATGTGATTTCAGTTTCAAGAGAGTATCATAAATGTTTGAAGTTTTATGCTTGTCGTGAAAATTCTTCTCTGTGTTAACCCTAATACACTGTTGTAGGTGTTGTTTTGTTTTTCTTTAAAACCCAAACAGGTCTTCTGCCATTAGAAATGGTAAACTCTTTATCCCAAATGTTATTATTAGAAAATGGAATATAACCTGTTCAAACTTATATGTAATACCAGTTCATCAACAAGATCGATCTAACGTTAAATCATTAATTTTTGTGGAAGATGTATTTTCGTTGGTTTGGTGGGTACTTTTGATCCACAAATTCATATGTTCCCAAAATGTTAAGCAAATGAAGTTTACATAAATATCTATTACTAGTGAATTATTAGCAAGATTTATCCACAAATTAAATGACAATTAAAGTTGGATATTTTTCGGAAACCAATGAAATTTGAGCCTCACAAAAAGTATGGATGTACACTATTATAAGTATGGGCCTTTTAGAGGTAAATAGCAGTAGGATGGAGCATATATATATAGGACTAATATAGTACAGCTAGTACTAAAAGCTATATATATAAATTACTTATATACCTACATAGATGTCCTGTTGTATATACCTTATATATAACTATATATTTGTATACTGGATGCTTGTGAATGTAATTCTAACATAAACACTGCTGGTATATGTTATTTTGCATGCCATGGGCTTGTCATGTGTGATAATCTTGTGTTTTTGTTCTAGAAGAATGCAGATGTCAAAAGTTTACAAATTTTTCTGTATAAAAAGTAAAAATGTATAGCATTAGATGTATTTATTTCAAATTAATTGTTTATACAAACCTGAGTATGTATTCGCATTTGGTCTTATTTTAAAGAATTTGACAATATTTAAAGAAAAACAGGATTGCTTAAATGTTACTCAGGTCAAAACATGCAGTCAGTGATAGTTTTTATTTTAATGTTTTGTTTAATTTCATTGACGATGAGTAATTTTTCTAATGATTTAGTTTGGAAACAGAACAGTTACAGACACAAGAGTTATGAATTATAGTAACACAGATGTTTTGTTTTCTTTTTGTAGAACTCAAATATGGAGGAATTGAATGTTCAGATTCAAAACTATGCAGAAGCAGCGAGTCAGCTACAGATGGACTTAGAGAAAATGGAGGAAGATCTGGATAAGTCCAAGTCTGATTTGGAAAAATCCAATCTAGAACAGGAGAGGTTGAGGTCAGTCAAGGAAAGTATACAAGGGGAATTGGAGGAGTCAAGGTCAGCCTTAGAAAGGTCACATAAGGAGGTAGAGGAGTCAAGGTCAGAGTTAGAAAGGTCAAATAAGGAATTGGAGGAGTCAAGGTCAGCCTTAGAAAGGTCACATAAGGAGTTAGAGGAGTTGCAGTCAAAGCTAGAAAGGTCACAGAAGGAGTTAGAGGAGTCAAGAACAGAAATAGAAAGGTCACAAGAAGAACTGGATAGGTCAAGGTCAGAGTTTGAAAGGTCATATAACCATTTAGAGGAGATGACATCAGAGAGGGAAAGATCAAAATTAGAACAAGAAAAGTTGAAGTCTGAACTTGATCAAAGTAAAAATGATTTATTAGAGCAACAGAAAGCTCTGGCACAATCACAAGAGGAGGGTCGTTATTGGAACACTGAGGCTGAACATTTGAAAGGCTCTTTAGAAAATGTCACTTCAACATTGGAAAGTTTAAAAGCTGGAGCCTCAGACACTGAAACCGAGTTAGTCCAGACTATTGAAAAACTAAACAATGACGTGACATCACAGAACCAGGAGCTTGTTAGAGTGAGAGATGTAGAGAAAGAATTGAGATCAGATCTGGAAATTCTTCAACAGCAGACAGAGAGCGAATCACAGATCAAAAGACTATTGCAGGAACAGTTACAACAGACAGGCATCGAACTGCAGAGTTCAAAACAAGATCTAGACATATTACGGGAGGATTGGTCCAAGGACAGGCAAAATCTGGAACAGCAGCTTCAACACACAACAGAACAGTCACAGGAGAAACAGGTGAAGATTGAATCACTTTTAGGTAATTTGCAAGAAATGGAGGAAAGATTTACACAGATAGAAAGCATGGAAGAAAAATTATCTCGTATGACAAATGTCCAGGAAAAATGTGACGAACTACAAGCTAAAATTCTTGCCCATGAAAGTGAATTAGAGAGCATGAAGAAAACTGCAGCAGATAAGGAACTCCAGTTCAAAAAAGCTCTTGCAACAGCCAAAAAACTGAAGTACCAGCTTACGCAGGCAAATCTTGCCAAGGATGAATTGGCTGCAAAACTGGAGGCTATAGGTAAACAAGATCAAGGTTCAAATGACGAGGGATCCAAAACTGATGAGAGCTCCGTAGAGCAAGATACCAGCATGAATGAATCTGTTTTGAATAGCTCTACAAATCAAGAGAATAAAGATCGTATCAGTGAACTCGAAAGTCAGCTAGCGACACATGCAGAATTCTCACATCAAATGCAGGAGAGGATCCAAAACCTCACAGAGTCTGCTGCTGCAGGGGAGAGAGAGCTGAAAGTAAAGGATAACCAAATTGTTCACATAAAAGAAGAGTCGAGTGTTCTGCAAGATGAACTTACCAAGTATGTACTGGAGAATGAACAATTACAATGCAGTTTACAGGATCAGGAGAAAACAATAAGTGAATTTTCTATTTCATGTCAAGAGAAAGAAAATATGTGTTCAGAACTTAGGCAAAGGCTTGCTGATGTTATGGACCAACAGGTCCAAGCTGAATCAAAACAAAGCAGTATGAAGTCTGAGCTTGTTTCCTTACAGGATACAGTGAGAATGAATAGCAATGCTCTTGAAGAAAAAGACAGCTTATGTCAGATGCTTCAAACACAGGTGTTAGAGCTCTCCTCTAAACTGCAAGAAGTCAACCATGACGCTGAAACTCAATCTGCAACAGAGATGAAAAATCTTCAAGATGTGGTAAGAGATCAGAAAGATACAATCGAACACATTTCACAACAGATCAAACAATGTGAGGGGGCATTGCAAGAAAGGGATGACAAGTTAAATGACCAGAACTCTCATGTGGTGAATCTGGAGTCATTACTACAGTCATTACAGGGTGAAATTCGGGAAAAATGTGAATTAGTGACAATGCTGGAGATCAGTGTACAGGACCTCAGTCAGGAGAAGGCTCAGTTTGAGGAAGCAAAACAGACATTTGTTAAGGAGGCTGCAGAGACAAAAGAAGGTCTGGACCAATTATCACAGGAACTGGAAAGGGCCAGTCAGAAAATTGTACAACTAACAAGTGATTTGGAAAATAAGGAACAAGTGTTGATATCTGTTTGTGATAATGTTAAGAATGTTCATCCTATTGTAACAGACAAGGCAAGCAGTGCTACTGCAATGGAGGATGTTTTGGCCTGTATTAGAACAGTGATAGACACACAAACTGCTGAGGTGGTGCAACTACACACCCAGCAACAGTCTTTGGCAGAGCAGATCACTGCTCAACAAGCCACTCTGGAACAGCAGAGTGTTTCTCTGCAGCAGTTCACTGCACAGCAAGATGTGTTGGAACAGCAAAACACTTCTCTACATGACAAGCTTAGGTCAGAAATAGAACAGCAGTCTAAAAATTTAGAATCAGAGCGTACAGACCTTACAGATAGAATTGCTGCCTTGGATAAGTACAATTTACAATTAACCAATCAGATCTCTCAAATCCAAGATGAAAATTCTAAACTTACCAACCAACTGACAGCACTGCAAGGAGAACATAGTGAAATAGAAACTCAGCTAAGAACTCTTCAATCTGTGGAGGAAGAAAAGGTACAGTTAGAGAACCAAATCCAGTCTGCAAACTTAGAAATTAACAGCTTAACTCAACAAATTGATGATCTTCAAAATGACAAGGAATCCTTGATGAAAGAGCTTTCTGTGTTGTCAGATACGGGAAAGGAATCCGAGCAGTTAAGATCATCATTGCAAGAATTGGAACAAGAAAAACCTCAGCTTTTATCAGAACTTCAGATTGCTAAGAATGATGTGCTGCAGCTTCAGACAAAGTATGAAGAATTAGAGTTGGAATTGGACCAAATTAAAGGGGAAGCAACTCAGAAAAAGAATATAAATGACCGACTTGTGGTAGAATTGTCAGAAAAATCGGAGGAAATCAATGAAATCCAGGGACAGTTTTCACAACTCTTGGCAAAACTTGAGTCTGTCAGTGATGAAAACCATCAGTTACGGGAGAAAGTGTCAAGTTTATCAACTGTTCAGTGCAAGCCTGAAACTGAAGCCAAACTCAGTGATGTTGCTGATAGTGGAGATGGATGGGGTGATTGGGGGGAGACTATTGAAAAAGAGCATGTACAACTATTGAAGCAATCAGCTCCGGGAGAGGTAGAAACAATTTCCTCTGCCAATGAAAGCATCAAAGAACTAGCAGAATTAAAGGAGAAATATTCTGAATTGCAAAAAGACCATGACAAAATAGCAAATAATCTTCAAGCTACAGAATCAAAGTGTGAGAAGATGTTGCTGAAATTGAAGGCTTTCAAAGCTAAAAATGAGACCCTACAGACAGAAGTGAATCAGATGAAGGAGGAACTATCACAGTCAGCACAATCACTGGAGAAAGACGAGGAAAGGATGAAGCTGCGACAGGAATTGTCTAGTTTGTCGGAACAATTGCAGGAGGAAGTTCAAAAGAATCAAACATCTCAACTAGATAAGGAAAACATGGGGACGGCCATGACAGACCTTCAGATGACCTTGACACAGGAACAAAATAGAAATCAAGACATGGTCAATACATTGGAGACTTTGACTAAGGAGATGGATGCCTTAAGGACACAAATGGCTGCTACTCAAATGCAGAAGGATGAAATGTCAAGTGCTTTAGAGAAAGAAAAAGAAGAATATCTTTCAGATCTCAAGTCATTAGAGGACACCAATAAAAAGCAGCAGACAGAATTAAACCTCTTACAGAAAAGGAGTGATTCTTCGCAGTCAGATTTGGCAACAATGGAATTGGCCTTGGAGTCATCGCAACAGAAGGCAACTGATGCAGAAAGACAGTTGAAGGATAGTTTATCACTGTGTGATTCTTTGGAAAGTGAGAATAAGACTTATCAGGAGATATTGGAGAATATGAAAGCAGCCAATCAAAAGCTTGCTCGAGAGAAGGAAATGGCGGCTATTGCTTTAAGGCAATCACAGGAAAAAAGTCAGAATATCACTCAAAACTCAGACAGTTCTGTGGAAGAGATTCAAAACCTTAATGTAAAAATTGAAGAACTTAATAGAGAAGTGAAAGAGGTTCAGAGTCTGAAGGAGAAGATAAAGGAACTGGAAACAGAAAGGGATGAAATAACTGAAGAAATGGACGGACTTCAGCAAGACTTGATAGTAGAGAGGAAGGAGAAGAAGACCTTGAAAGAAGAAGTAGAATCTGTAAAACAGCAACAGGTTCAACACTCTGGAGTGTCTGAGGAAGAAGTGATCAACTTGAAAGAACAAGTGAAACTTCTGAGCGACAAGAATGATGGACTGAATTGGAAAATTGAGGAACTCACAGCAACAGAGGAAGAATTGGGCAGTGTTCAAACAGAGCTTGACTTGACTAAGGCTGAACTCTCAAAAGTGGTCAAAGAAAAAGAGCATTTAATAGAGGAGACTAGTCGAATGTCTCTTCATGCCCAGTCAATGGGGGAGAACCAGAACAATGCTTCCAGCGAGTGGAGGATCAAAGACGAAGACTACGACAACAAGCTGAAGAGGAAGATTGAGGAGTGTCAAGATCTGGAAGAGAAGTACGATTCTCTCATGGAAGATCTCAACGAGTCAAATTCAGAAAATGATGAATTGAAGTTCAAGTGTGTACAGTGGAAAACGAAGGCGGAGTTGTATGATGCTATGGAAGAGGAATATAAAGTTATGAAGGATAAATATACCAAGATACTGTCAGAAAAACAGACCACATCTTCACAGTCTGGTGCAGATTCATCTCAGTCACAGAACACTAAAGCCCTGGAAGAAAAGTGCAGCAAGCTGGAGCAACAGGTGAAGGAACTGGCTTCAACTAGTCACAAAGTCGTTGATGGTGAGGACTTGCAACAGAGACTTGAGGAAATGGAGGAGAAATATGACTCGGTGATGGAAGAATTAAATGAGGCGATGACAGAGAACGATAATATTACAAAACAAATGCTGGATTCAAAACTCAAAGCAGACCTGTATGATGCCATGGAAAATGATTACAAATCAATGAAAGATAAATACACTAAAGTTTTGACTGAAAAACAGCAGTTGGAAACAGAAATATATGACTGGAGGCAGGCAGGCAACATAGTGAAAGAGGCTCCTAGAGCTGTTCATGAGCCTATGGTTGTTCAAGAGGTTCTTGTGCAGGCAGAACATACACCAGGAACAATGTCTTCAAGACTGCCAGATGGTTCAGATGAACTGGAAAAACTGAAGGAAGCATTTGAAGAATTACAAGAGAGAGAAGAGTCATTGGTTGAGGAACTGAATGAGGCAAATGTTGAAAACAACACTTTACAGGAGAAAGTATTGCTGATGACACCCAAGGTCCAGATGTTTGAGAAATTGGAGACGGAATATCAAAGCAATGTAGACAAATATAACAAAGTCTTATCTGACAACAGTAACATGGCACAACAGATTGAAGAATTACACCACCGACTTCAAACCAGCACAGAAGCTGATAAGGATCTCAGCTATGTCAAGGAAGAGCGCGACCACTATGGTCGAGAACGGGAAAATCTCACGAAACGCATACAGCAACTGGAGGGCCAGTGTCAGAGTCTGTCGGACGAGAGTGTTGGACTGAACCAAGAGGTCCTGAAGCTAGAGGGTGATAACCAACAGTTGGTGTTTGACAACAACACACTCAGAGCACAGCTTGGTATTTCCAAGGGAGGAGGCGAGAGCACCAAATACCAGAACGAGTACAAGAAACTCCAGGAGCAGTTCAACATCGCCATCACACAGAAAAACCAGGCTCAGAAAGAAGTGAACCAATTCGTACATCGACTACAACAGAGAGACAGTCGCTGTCAACAACTTGCGATGCAGGTTAGTATACAATGAAGAGCTCTCTTGCAAACAGTGACTTTCAGGTGAATAATGAAAAATCCAATGTGTTGTTGTTTCCTACCACGTAAACATATGTCAGTATAATCATTATCTTTTTTTCCTCATACACATATGTTTGTCTTGATTTGTACAACTTGTTCAACATCCATGAATTCTAAGGAAGAGATTTTATGTGAAATGAGGCTAAGAAGTCAAAATTTATCTATTTTAGGGCTTTTACATCCACAATTACGGCCTTTTGGCCTTTCAGGGGACGTTAGTAGGTTACCTCAAAGATTAAAAACTTTCTTAATGGCTGTTTATATATGGCAAAATTAGGATCCTATTAAGATTTTTGTTTAGGTTAGGTCACATGGATGCTTTAGATATTAGATATGTAGAATAAAATCTTGTTGGTTTGTATTAGAAAAACCCTTTCATGACTTTTTTTAGGTGAGCCAGTTAGCAGAGGATCGTGGGTACTTGAACAAACAGCTTGGCCATCTGTCCAAGAGTCTGCGGGAACGTGAGACACAACTACAGGGACTTCAAGAGGAGTATCGCGTACTGTATCAGGCTCACATAGAGACACAAGCGAAGGTTAGCGTACAGATGTGGTGTTGTAGAGGGAGAAAACGGGGGCTAGATATTGACTGTCATATACATGTTTGATTACAAGTCAAAACAGTATTTTCAAGATGGAATTTTCTTGTCAGGATTCGTTCTGTTTTACATTAAGGGCATTTTCCATAACAAGATTTAAGGCTGTATCCTACCTTTACTTTGATTGCTTGTTTGATAGATGAGTGTTTATACTATTCTAATTGAAACTTACTGATGTCAGAATATCAAATATAATGATGTATCCTGACTTAACAAAAGAGTTCTACTCTTGGTTATAATAACTATTGCAAAAGAAGATCATTTTGACAAGGGGGGTAATTTTAATACATATCATTGGTAAAAGGTGTTATGTAACAAGTGGTATCTTCAGAAAGGCTTTCAGTATGATCCTCAAATGTATTTTACTTACATCCATTTATCTTTGTTTAGTTAATGGAAACAGAAAAGAAGAATGTATCAGAGGCAATCCATAGGGCTTCAACTCCACAACCTACAGACATCAAGGTTAAGTCAGAGGTCAGCGACACTGTAGAGGTCAAGGTTGTTGATGATGAAAAACCAACAGTTACTATTGATGCAAGTGAATTGGCAAGGATAAAGAACAGGTATGATGTAGGAGATTCAAAGTCTGCATACAGCAATGTATGTGTACAATAGTTACATATGTAGGATGGTAAATTAATTCACAATTCATATGAGATTTTATGAAACAAGTCTTTGAAGATGAGTGATGACAGTTTTAGTGTAAGGGTGTGACTGAATCAGTGACAAAAAACTGTCATTGTAAGGGGGAATAACAATGAGTGACATAGAAACTGTCATTGTAAGAGGGAATAACAATGAGTGACAAAAAAGTGTCATTGTAAGGGGGAATAACAATGAGTGACATAGAAACTGTCATTGTAAGGGGGAATAACAATGAGTGACATAGAAACTGTCATTGTAAGGGGGAATAACAATGAGTGACATAGAAACTGTCATTGTAAGGGGGAATAACAGCGAGTGACATAGAAACTGTCATTGTAAGGGGGAATAACAGTGAGTGACATAGAAACTGTCATTGTAAGGGGGAATAACAATGAGTGACATAGAAACTGTCATTGTAAGGGGGAATAACAATGAGTGACATAGAAACTGTCATTGTAAGGGGGAATAACAATGAGTGACATAGAAACTGTCAGTGTAAGGGGGAATAACAGTGAGTGACATAGAAACTGTCAGTGTAAGGGGGAATAACAGTGAGTGACATAGAAACTGTCATTGTAAGGGGGAATAACAATGAGTGACACAGAAACTGTCAGTGTAAGGGGGAATAACAATGAGTGACATAGAAACTGTCAGTGTAAGGGGGAATAACAGTGAGTGACATAGAAACTGTCATTGTAAGGGAGAACAATAATCAGTGATGAAGAAATTGTCGGTGCAAGGGAAAATAACTGAATAATTGGCAACTAAATGGTCTGTGTAAGGGGAGGTAACTCTGTCGTTTTTTGTGTGTTATAGACTTGGAGAGGTGGAACTTGCCTGTGTCCAGTATCAGGAATTTACTGGTCGGCTTGAAAGGACACTGACTGAGGAGCGTGACACCAGGATACAGATGGAGGAAGCTTTAGCTGCGAGTCAGGAGATGCTGCGAAAGGCTGGCAACCCTCAAGAGGTACAGTAGCATGGGATATTGGATAATATTTCGGCTGTGAAAGAGTTATATCTCGGCCGTGAAGGTGATATATCTCGGCCGTGAAGGTGGTATATCTCGGCCGTGAAGGTGGTATATCTCGGCCGTGAAGGTGATATATCTCGGCCGTGAAGGTGGTATATCTCGGCCGAGGAAGGTGGTATATCTCGGTCATAAATTGGACAATTAGATTCGAGAGTTATATTAAATTTTATTAGACAGCAAGCTTAGATTGTGGGCATTTAATGTGAAATGTTATAGAACTATAATGAAATAGTGTTCTTATCATATAAGAATAAAATAGAATTATTTTCTAATCATATAGGATAAATAGGTTTAGTGTTCTAATCATATAGGATAAATAGGTTTAGTGTTCTAATCATATAGAATCAAAAGAGATTAGAAAATAATATCACAAATGAATAGAGAAATGCTTGCTTCATATCAGGCATTTTTTAGGGATTTTAAAAATAATTCCATGTTAAAGTGATATCAAATTTTTAGAATGAGTATTATTTAATGTTTGTTAGTTGTGGTGATATGTTTCCCATTGTCTATACTAGACTGTAACGGCTAATGCCTGTTTCAGTTTCACATGGAAATTGGTGACGAGGATGAGGACCTGGCAAGGATCAGAGAACACAGTCCCATGTTGAGTAAGTCCCACTTCAGCCTGAACAATCTGTGTAACTCAGAAAATTAGGAATTTGATAAACTGTTAAATTAGACTGTTCATTCATAATCATATTTGCCAGAACTGTTTGTTTGTGTGAATGAGCATCTTTAACTTATTAATTCAACGAGGAAAAAAACCATACTGCAAATGTCATTTAATATTCAAGATGATTTTTGATAAAAAAAATACTGAGAAATTTCTTGTTTTGTATTGAGAAGCCATCCTAGTACTTCTGATTTGAATCAGACAGGACATTCCCTCAGTGGCAGACACAGTTCTGCAGTTAAAGTTTAGCATCTTGACATACCCCCTTTCCCTGAAAAAAGCAAAAATCTCCTAATTTTTGAAATACAACCCTGCTGGAGTGTTAAGGCTAAGAAGATTATCATACCAATTCCCCAGATCTCGAGTGTAGTTTCTTTGTAGTTTTAAAGCTGACTCTAATCAGAGTTAGACCTGAAGTCACAGACGATTTGTCTGGAGTTAATTGAAATATGTCTTTAGCTGAATCAGAAATGAATGACTGTGAATATGAAACTGATGACTAGAGGAAATTTCCACATCTTCATTCATGAAATTTAGACTGATTAACGTGTGGATTATTATATTTTAGTGCGACACGGATCTGGTTACTTGAGCAGGGTACAGCGCTGGTTACGTGTTCAACGGTAAGTGTTGTTTTCACTTGTGAAATATTAGATAAAAACAGAAGGAAAAGAAATATTGTAGATAGAAATGTCTTCATGTCTATCTTGCATTTTTTTTTTTTTTTGTTCTCAAACATATTTATTTTCAACTGTTGAACTGTAAGTTTTTACTTCAGTTATTTACTTGTCATTTCACATATCAAAAGTATTAGTTCAAAATTACCTTGCTTCATTTCTGGTTTATTAGACATTTCAAAATCAAATAAAAGAGGAAAAAAAACTAAAAAAGATAGAAAAACCAGAAATACATGAACATAAAATATTTACAGAGACAGCTGTTGTTTAAGGTGTATGTTGCTTTTAGTTGGATCCATGGTAAAGGTCACAATGCACTGTCATACTGCTACTAGGGTCAAAGTTCACCTATATGCTACAAGGTTTCTGCACTTTGAACCTGCTCCTATGTTGCATGCTAACGTCAAAGGTCAAGGCCAGAGTAACTGATGAAGTTTTTTCGTATGCCCTTTACTATACAATTAGGCAAATGCTTCTTTAAATGTTTAGACTTTTTTACGTATCACTGTACAGGATACAATATTGTTGTTAAATGAAGCCTGTTAGAATAACCAAGTATTGATATAAAACCTAAACATTGTTCTAATTCCGCAAAGATATTTTTCATAATTCAAAGAACCCAGCAACTGTTATCAATATATTGAATTCAGGTGAATATTTTTTTTTTTTAATTTCAATAGTGATGACAGTTAATTGACCTGATAAATATATATTCATTAATTAAAGGTCATTATAATACAGTGGTAATTTAGAAGCATTTTCAATGTTTTTTTAAAACTTGTTTGTCAGTGCATGGTCATTGCTGTACAATACATTTATATCCTGACCACTGTCTCAGCTTTCTCTTGCCTTGGAATGTCCAGATAAGATGTATGTGTGAAGCCTTTGGTTTGGTTTTGCCCCAGATGTTTGACTTATATAGAGTAAACCTTGATATACTGTCTGTCATAGTCTCTCCAAATATCAGGGGTTATGGTGATAAATTAAGATAAAAGAAATAGTGATGAAATGGGAAAGGTGACTTTTTAACATGTTGGAGGATGTGTGAGCTGAGAAGTAAAGTATGATTACAGTACTAAGGGTGTGTGAAATGACAGTATAGAGTAAGACAGGTGGGGAATGGCAGTATTGAGTAAGACAGGTGGGAAATGGTTATTGAGTAAGACAGGTGGGATATGGCAGTATTGAGTAAGACAGGTGGGAAATGGCAGTATTGAGTAAGACAGGTGGGAAATTGCAGTATTGAGTAAGACAGGTGGGAAATGGCAGTATTGAGTAAGACAGGTGGGAAATGGCAGTATTGAGTAAGACAGGTGTGAAATGGCAGTAAGAGGTGATGGAAATGATAGTAAGAAGGGATGGAAATGACTGTAAGAGATGTGGGAAATGAGAGAAAGAAGAAATGGAAATGACAGTAAGACAGATGGAAAATGACAGTAAGATGGGTGGGAAACAATAGTAAAAAATGTGGGAAATGACAGTAAAACAGGTGAGAAATGACAGTAAAACAGATTGGAAATTATCATCAGGGTGGTGGCAAATGACAGAGAGCTGGAAAAGAATAGAAAGAGATGTCGGTAATGACAGAAAGATGTGGGAAATGACATTAAGAAAACCGGGAAATTATTGTAATGGAGGTGGGAAATGACAGTAAGACCGGATGGAAATGACAGTAAGACAGAATGAAAATGACAGTAAGAGATGTAGGAAATGACAGTAAGACGGAATGGATATGACAGTAAGACGGAATGGAAATGACAGTAAGAGATGTGGGAAATGACAGTAAGACGGAATGGAAATGACAGAAAGATTGGATGGAAATTATAGTAAGACAGTGGGGAATGACAGTAAGAGATGTAGGAAATGACAGTAAGAGATGTGGGAAATAACAGTAGGAGATGTAGGAAATGACAGTAAGAGATGTGGGAAATGACAGTAAGAGATGTAGGAAATGACAGAGATGTAGGAAATGACAGTAAGAGATATGGGAAATGACAGTAAGAGGTGTAGGAAATGACAGTAAGAGATGTGGGAAATGACAGTAAGAGATGTAGGAAATGACAGTATGACGGGATGGAAATGACTAAGAGATGTGGGAAATGACAGTTAGAGATGTGGGAAATGACAGTAAGAGATGTGGGAAATGACAGTAAGAGATGTAGGAAATGACAGTAAGAGATGTGGGAAATAACAGTATGACGGGATGGAAATGACTGTAAGAGATGTGGGAAATGACAGTAAGAGATGTAGGAAATGACAGTAAGAGATGTGGGAAATGACAGTAAGAGATGTAGGAAATGACAGTATGACGGGATGGAAATGACTGTAAGAGATGTGGGATATGACAGTTAGAGATGTAGGAAATGACAGTAAGAGATGTAGGAAATAACAGTATGACGGGATGGAAATGACAGTAAGAGATGTGGGAAATGAGAGTAAATGACTTGAGTGACAGTATATGGATATAGTTACTTACGAGGTTTTACAAAACAGTAAGTATAAATAGGTCGAATGGTTTTTGGCTGTGCTAACTACAATCCTAGCTGCATGACGCATCTGTATACCCTTCCCTATATTTACTGCAGGGAATACTTCTGCCTTTCCAGCCGCCAGCTGAACCGTGCCATGAGGATGAGACCAGGGATCCGTACCATGATGTGGGCTTACTTTGTCTTCATCCATGTCCTCATGCTTGCCTGTGTCTTCGGATTTCTCTAAAGCCCGCTTCACGGTGGTCATTAACACTCTGAGACCGACAACATCCATCAGCTATGTGACGAACAGATGGAAAATCTTTCCCGATTAAGTTACAATATTTAGTCAGTCTCATCCATATGATAAAATAGGGTACTTTTTTATTAAGAGTACTTAATGTTATTTTAGACAGAAATGTTTAATCTCTTGGGGAAATTTGTATCATGCATGATTACCATTTTATTTCATAACATCTTATCTGATATTTGTTTGTAAATATCTGTTTACATTATAAACATCAGGATAATAATTCTATTTTATTTGTCCCACTTTTGCCTGTTAAAGAATCTCTGTGAATATTCTGTCTATATTGTGCAGGGACACAATTTTAAATTTGTTTTGTGTCCGTTATCGCTGCATGACAATTCTAGGACAGATTACCATAGCTACCTGTCTGTCCATTACAGAGGAATGTGTTTCAAATGAATGCAGCCTCTCACTGTTAAAACTGCCTTTAATATTAGCAATGTATTTGTCTTTGTGTACATAAAATATCTTAAATGTAAACAAGGAATTTGGTGGCTTGCATCTAAAGTGTGCCAAGCTCAAACGTTGCCGTAAAGGTCATTGTTAAATCATGCAATATTAGTACATTCCATTACAGATAATTTAGAGAGAAAAAAAATGTGTATACATGGAAAATGTTGGTGTGCAGATGTAAAAATGACATACATGCATTATATTTTTCATTACATCTAGTCTGGAAGTTCAAAAGTTGTGATGGACTGTAAAATAAAATTTTCTTGTAGATTTAAAAATTACATTTCTTAAGATTGTAAATAGTCATTGTGATGTGGGATGTCCAGTTTTTGTCACATGAACAGGCACCACAAAATATATCCTAATTTATTGTTTTGAAGTCGAACCTCCAGTTCTATAGAAAAACTGATTCCTGTCGATATCATGATCCAATTTGATGTAAATATTGCGCATTTATTAAAATTTTGTTCAACTTCAGAATTTGGATAGAAATGAAGTATGTATTTGTGTAGATAAGATCAAATTGTAAAGATTGAGGTATAAAATATTGTAAATACTAGATCACCTTGGAGACTATATTAATACAGAGCACTTGTTGAAGATACTACATCACAAATAGATTTTTTGAAATTGATTAGTTTTATTTAAGGGGGGCAGTGATACATTTCATGAGTTGTGATGGTATAGTTTTAGTGTTATATTGTTAAACTGGGCCTATTAGCAAATAAACTATTAGGTGCTCGATAATATTTAAGTTATGTAGAAATACATAGTGTTTACAGAGTATATGATCTCTCCTATGGTGTTTCAGTTCGTTTCATTACCAAGAGGTATATGATGACCATCTTTGATTTTGAAAGTTTGAGTATCTGTCACTTTAGAAATAAAAGCATGGGTAAATAAATCCATGATTGCAATAGATGTGAGGTTGAATGAAAGACAGAAGAATGAAATGGTTTTTTTTAAATGATTTTCTTGTTCTGAATCAACAAAATGTTTGCATTAAAATCTGGGTTAGTGATATGTTTGAAGAATATGTTTAGCTTGTTAGGAATAGGCATATCAAGGTTTTTAGGGTGTCTTTTTTTTTTAGAAAATTGAACCAAAATGAGTACTCTTATACAGGACTGAATAAAGGAGTAAAGAATAAAGTGGACGATTTGTAAAAATTTCGATTTTTATTTAGGAAAAACACATAAAGTTATTTATTTTCATATAACTTTTCATGCATTGTTGTTAACCTTTATGTCCAAAAGTGATAAAGACTTAATAGATTAACAATAATTTTACTAGTACTGGTTTTTACGATGTCATTCATCCATAAAATCAAATGGAAACCAAATAGATTTCATTTTTTGAAAAAGCAGGAGGTTTTCGTACCACAGCAGGATCTGATTATACAGTAGTTCATGGTTCTCGTTGCCTGCAAATGAATTGGTTTGAGATATAAGTTTATTATAAACAGGAATAAATAAGATATAAAACAAACATGTTTTAAATTCAAATTAGCCTTATAATGACCTTTAATGGCCAGGTGTTTGGAGGTGGGTTTCCATGGTAACAGGGAAACAATAATTTATTCAGATGACAGGTGTTTAAGTCAAACACTCCAGAAACAGACCCTATTCACAGATTTTCTAAATACATAATATTAGAAAGAATGGCTTTGTTTTGTCTGTAAATATCATTGTGATATAATGCTATGGTTTTGTTATTTACTGTCTATGCAATATATCAAGACGATGTGAAACTGTGGTATATTGGTACATGTATGTGAGTCTGTGTTTTACCATTGATGAATGCATGTTCAGTGATAATCCCAGCCTGTTGTTTAAACATACTTACAATAAAACTCAAAATCGCCTCTATACCGCATGTATAGAAGTATGATTCTGGCATAAATTAGTACCTATTTACTTTCTTGTTCAGGAGGAGGTGGTCTGGTCACAAGTAAAAGCTGTGAGAAATTATCAGTTTACTTTCAGCAATATACGATGGTAGTAAGAGAAGATTTTCATAGACAATATATACCTCTACACCTGTGTGATTAGTGAAATACGATGGCAGTAAGAGTTAATTTTCTCTGATATCATATACCTCTACATATCTATGCAGTATGTATAAATGTTTATTTTAGTATGGCTGGTCAAACTTTAAAAGCTTGTGATAATGAACTGTTCAGAATTTGGGAACATGAACTAATGTTTATAACGATTTTGCAAATATAATGAAATTTTTGAGACATTGACTAACTTGCCTAAAATTAAAATGAACTGATATTTATTTCATATATACAAAAAATGGATTCTTTTTTCTTTTCTTTTTTTTTTTTTTTTACATTCCTTCTGTTTCCTTTCAAACATTCCACTTGTACTTAAATCATTTTCATCTGATGTTTGAATGCTTTGATGTTAAATTCTGTGTTTATTAGTAGCTGAAAAGGTACAGATTATTCCTCAATTGATATCCCAGAAAACTTCACCAAATCTACTTTATACCTGGTTTAAACTGCATTCCTCTTAATATCATGACATGGGTAAATGTGATATTAAACAGAACATGAAATTAAACAAAAATGTTCACTGCATTTACTAATTATAAAGCGAATAAGGTACCATATTTACATATTAAGGAGAAAATATAGACTACAACAGTAAGAGAGGTGACCAAATACAAAGATTTATGAATGAAAATTTCATTTATTTGCTAAATGATAAAATAGTATTTCAGAAATATTATTTTTTTATCAATTTTATTGTTTTACACACTAATTTATATACATTTGATATGACAGGCATATGGACGTTTTCCTTCCGTGAACAGATCTTGCTTTGCCAGAGAATATTACCTGTTAAAGATGTTAAGGTTATCATTTATGATTTATTTACATGTTTGACTGGCCATTTGCTGAACATAGCATTGATTTTGATAAACAATGACTTACAATAAATAAATCATAGTTCAGCTCTTTAATTTTATAATTTCAATCATGTTTAAATTATTGTGATTTCAATGGCACTGCAAGAAGAATATTTGATTTAGAACATATTGTAAAGTTACATTGAAGTTGTTCTCTATTCTTGTTCATGCTCCCTCCACCTCAGGGTGGGGATTCAAGGCCTGTGTGGGGCAGTCGCCAGGCAACAGGTCGGTGTTTTTTCTCTAGAAAATCTGGCTTTCCTCCACCACCCGTACCTGGCACATCCTTAAATGACCTTGGCTGTTAATAGGACATTAAACAACAATAAACCAAACCTCACATTTCACTGTATTTAATATATATTGAGTGCAGATTGTTGTCTGCCTTTATCAAACTGTGAATGATTTTAATATATCTATTTATGTACATTAATTTTACATTAGCTGCATGTATTGGAGTTGAACTACTTAAGGATGTATACCATCATACTCCAATACAAATTTCCCTTCCAAAGAGTTCCAAAAAACAGACTTGTACAAAAACAAAAAAACCTCAACTTTTATAATGAATTACCGGTATATCAATTGAAACACAGTGTTGTTTGATGATACTTAAGGGAGGTAATTCTTGCACACAATTCGATGTAAGGAATATTGTACCATATAACCTTAAATCAAATTTACTGGTATGCATTGTGTTAAAATATATTAGTAACAGAAGCCTTTCATAGGACGGCTGATCAGGTGATGATTAGGAGGATATTTTGATAATGTCTGCCATCCGTGATGGTGAAGGGTTGTGATAGTTTGGGTGAGAATGTGTGAGATTGATTGTAAAATTTTGTGATGACAGAAAAAATGTTTGTGAAAAAAAATAAATGACAAGTGAATGATTGAACTTCAGTGTTTAGTTTTATCATTTTATATTAGATGGGAGAAATGCAAATTTTTTAAATGAAATCACAACATGTAACACATTGACAAAGTCCAGCAAGCAAAAAAAACAAGACTGAGGTGGGTCAGGTGGGAGATGACCCCAGCTTGATATTTTAAATTTCCAGATCCATTGTAACAGCACTAAGCTCTTACTTTGGTTGTAAAACAATTTATCAAAAAAATTTTAGGTCATCTGATGGAAGAGTCAAGATGACCTATAACTATTGTGTTTTGTCCATTGTCGTGCGGTGTGTGTAAACTTTTTCTTTAAAACCCTACTCCTCTTTCTGAACTATTAAAAGTTCATATGTAAGATTAAATTATTCAATATTGTGCGAGACATAAGTCAGATGTTTCATCATAATTTATCTGCCTTTGTTAATTTATTACCGACATCTACTGTGAACAATTATGTATTGACCAGTGGCCAGAGGCATACTGTCCTTGCTGATCTACTACACATGTCCTAACTTAGTATATTTATACATTTTTTAGGTCACCTGAGCCAAAGACTCATTGGTGACCTATTGCCATCATGATTTGTCTGTCGTCGTGCGTCGTTAACTTTTCACATATTCGACTTCTTCTCAAGAACCACTGAATGGATTTTGACCAAACTTGGCACAAAGCATCCCCATGGGAAGCCGCTTCAAGTTTGCGTAGAAAAAGGGTGAAGGCCATATGAAATTAAGTTGAAAAAAGTGATAATGTCCCCTTTGGGGCCCATAAGGGGTGTAAAAGGGGCCATATGTAAAAAACTTCTTTAAATGACTTCTTCTCAAGAACCAGTGGATGGATTTTGACCAAACTTGGCACAAAGCATCCCCATGGGAAGCCGCTTCAAGTTTG